CCCCCCCCCCCCCCCACACACACACCCGTACACCCCCTCCCCCAATGTTGTGTCTACAGAGTCGACCTGCTGAGCACGAAGACAGTCTGAGACCGCGACATCTGAGACCGCGACACCGGCTCACTGCGTGCAACCACAACACCTGGGGGTCAACAGTTCGACAGGTTGTAAACATTCTTGTACACGGGTAGATACAAGTGAGTGTATCCGCAACGGAAATAGTCTTCAGAAAAGGTAAGTAATGGTGAACGTTGAAAGGAACTGAAACAGTGTCCTAGAAGTTTTTACACTTACTAAACGTACTGCACTGTAAACTTTCTCAGTTTTGTTCTCTTGTGGTAAGTGTGGGGCATTTGAGCAATGGACAAAATTACAAAATTCTTACCAAGATTTGGGGCTGCGGCTAGGTCTTCCGCTTTGAAAAGGGCTGATTTCCGACAGCCAGGAGTTCAGTCTTAGAGTTAATTTTCAGAATAGAAGAAGGAGAAGAATAAATTTTGGAAACGGCTTTAACGTCTTCACTGACGTTTCCAATGTATCGGTATATAGATCTAATAGGTGTGTTTTGGTATTTATCAGCGAGACGTTTAAAGGTATATAATTTCTACGAGCTTGGAAAAAAATCCCTGAGTCATTTTTCCTTGTCTGGATATCGTGCAAAAGGGAACTATCTTTCTCAATTCAGATCTTAAAGCAATGAAACCCCGTAAATAAAAGTGTCTGATGTCAATAATTCCTTCTGAAATGTAGATGGGGTTCAAATTAATGAATGGTTATAGTTTTATAGAATTAAATTATCAAATTAAAAATGGAATGATGTGATGAATAATTCTTAAGTAAGATAATTTTTTCCTGAGGAAAATTCATTTTTAATCCCATGTAGGGTACAGTGTTGTACATGCATGTTCGATTGAGGGTTTGAATCATTGATCGAATCATCAGGTCATGTCTTTGACAGGACATAAAAACATATACTAGTATGTAGATCAATGTCCTGATTTCGAGTCTAGGCAGTCTTAGTAAAATTGAAGCCACCTTGAATTTAGTGAGGCTCGAGCTGCACATGTCTATATAACATGCAGAGTGATACAACCTAATACAAAAGTGAGTCAAAACCCCTTCGCTGTTGTAGCTAGCTAGAGCTTTAAAATTATGTGATGTGAAATAGTTTCTTCGCACAGGATGGGACATGCATTAAGGGAGTCATGGAACTGGTTACCAGAAATTATATGCAGCTGGTAAGGAAAACTGGCTGTGAAACTTCGTGAATAATCATAATTAAAAGCCATTAAATGTCAGGATATATATTTGGTCTTAGGATGTGTGTTTTCGCTATTTAACGCTTTAAATAAACTAGGAGACAATGTAAAAACACTACTATAGTGAGTAGAAGCCAAGTTAAAATTATTTCAGTCAAAAAAAAAAAAAAAAAAAAGGGTGTAAACCTTGAGGATAACTGCTCAAGTAACAAGGTGTACAAAATGACAATTAATTGCCACTGCCCAATATTAATGAGTGATACTGATCATGTAAATATTTAATTCAGTGACATGCTGTTACAATAGGGTACTATAGTAGCTGCAGGGACCATTTTTGTGTCCTAATAAATTTTGGTGGTGACTTTCTACAAATTATTTACTGTCATGTGTATTCTTAGGGTCTTTATTCTTAATTATATATCTACAAGAAAGTTTGTATCTCAAATATATAACTTTTATGAATAACAGTTGAGAAATATATACTTCTTATTTGGTGTTGCTTTGTGCTTTCAGTACATAAACACCTGAAAAGGTCTCTGTTATTGACTGATGACTTATGGATTATTGTACTGTGTTGTATGCCGTAAGGGGAATAAAATGGCGTCACCAATACAAACTTCTTATGTCAATACTGAAATAGAGGAGATAAACCTGAATACACAAAAAGGTCAGATGGATACACACTATAGTACTGAAATCCACTGAAGCCATGTACTAGTTAGTGATATGGTAATCTTTCATTGACTATAGGCACATTCCAGATATTGCAGGACATGATTCTGTATCCAAGTGACGTGTGAAAGAGGTAGTGCTTGTTAGAGGCTTTTTTTTATCTTTTAGAGTCTCCCATTCAAAATGAAAAAAAGTATGTAAAAGTGTGTTGAGTATTTAGATGCCCTAGTAAGTTACATGCATGTGGCTTATATAAATTAAAGATACAGGTCGAAGCTGCTGAAGGTTTTGATGGACTTTAAGATGTTTTCATCATTTTATAATGGATTTCGGACAATGGCGATGACAAACACTATATGTAGTAGCAACAGATGTAGACATTAATTTTAATAAGTTTTGGGAAGGCGTAATGATTTTTCCTGAAAGACATTAATGAACATTGGGTAGCTAACTTTCTGAACTACATGTACTTGTTACTTAAAAGCATTCTCAGCCAGTAAGAAAAGTGGCTTAGGGAGCACAATCCTTGGGCTGACTAGCTGCAGTACAGTACTTGGAAAGAGTTTTTCAGTATCTTGTCTGGCTTTTAAATGAAAACCTGAGCATTTTATTTTAATACTGCAAGTAGTGACAATCTGAAGCCACTGCATGGTATAGCCTCCTTAAAAATGACCAAGCAATATATTTCATTATGTTTGCTTCCAAGTTCTGGCATTTTACTTAGTTTAAATGTCAAGTAGGTTATAAATATTGCAAGTCTCATACATGTTTGCATAGTTTTGATGTGGAGCAAAATACCTAAGGTGAGGTTTTAATTCCCACATACTGACTTTTTAGTAAGCTAGGCTCACTTTTGAATTTATAATCATCACTTTGTTCAATTTAATCATAGTTTTAAAAGCAAATTCCAGTCACTATATGTCAGGGGAAAAATTTCCCAGAAATCATTTAGATCTGCAACATGTTTTAAAAAGAATGTTTCACACTTGCATGCTCATAATAAAAATGATGGCAATTATAGCAATCGGTTAATCACTTTGGAAGTATGGTAATTACAAATTTTGATGTGATATATTCTGGACTAGCAAAACGTAAGTTAAGTTATTTTGTATAAATGAATGAATTGATAATATCTACATCAGATTGCATCATTGATTAACAGTTACTGTATATAGTGAAAAAATGCAACACAATGCCAAAAACTCAATTAAAATATATTGCCATATAGGACAAAGCTTACTGTCCTTCATGAGGCCCCCCACGATTCAATATCCTAATAATAAAATAATATTGACATATATTTTGTGCTTTCAGGTAAAAGAACTGTACCACATTCTATGTCTAAGTCAGCCTAATTATCATCAACCTTGAATCATGCAGCAGGTGCCAGATCCACCATGATATTGTTGAAAACACAGTGCCTTTGACAACAGCCACTATAAAAAGGAAACCATTAAGTTTATGACTGAGAATCAGCCAAGATAATTCTGTAGTGGGAAAGGCAAAATGTGTAAGTACTGTGAAATTGGTACAGTGTACATGTAGAATTAGTATTATGTCTATTATCAGCAACCTTGAGATACATATAGCAGAAATTTTAAGTAATTTAAGGGTATCAGTGTTTAAAGTCTGCCAACATTTACTGTACTGTAGGTAATTGGAGCATTACCTAGAGTGTCTTTGATCGTTATACCCGTAGTTACCTGCAAAAGGATAGCATTTATCAGGAATCATGATAATAATTGAAATTCTGATCAAAAATTTTAAAGAACTAATTAGTTTAATTGGTATTATTATTGGTTATAACAAACAGTAATAGTCTACAGGCCAAATTGAAATAAAAGCCCTCTATTTAAGAAGTTGGCCCCTTCCCCAGGAAAAGATTTTATAATGCTTATTATATTACTTATTTTAGAATCTCTTTTATTTTACAGCTCCAGTAAAACAGTTGTAAGCAAAAAAATAGAACAGCATGCTAAATTAGCTTGTGCTGACAAGAAAAATATGAAAGAAGAAAGCATGGAAACAACCAAACATGATGATAGTGAAGATAGCATGGAGAATAAAACTGATGATAAACTGCCGCTGAATCATAGAACAAATATGTGTGAATCTCCAGCGGAGGAGACAGAATACCAGAAGGCTGGTTCTATTCATCTTCACAAGAATTCATCTAAGGAGAAATTTGATTTGCTTGGCTTGTTGTCTCCTGCTATTCCTTTGTATCCACACATGAATGGGGTAAGCATGAATGTAGTAGTACACACAAAGTCTTTTACACAGAAAAAGCAATTGATAAAATTTTCTCAGGTGTTTTTAAACCAAGTTTTTCATAACATGGATTCCTTGCATTTTTACTTAACATGAACAGGACAAAACATGAAAACTGCAGCCTATATTTTTTACTATTTTTAATGGTGTGCTCTTGGTATTTTATTTGAACAGACAGACAGCATTTCACAGCAGTTTGAACAGTTAAGTGGCAAAGACAAGAATCTCATTTTGGTGGCTGCACATGTGGATGATGCCTTGAGGGGAAGGTAATAGAGATTGAGTACTATTCAGTTTGGTCAGTTGAGGATTTTCACCTTTTGCAGAAATGAAATAAATGTGCATGGTACGTAGGAACCCTGTGCAGCAGTGGGTGCAGGATGAGCACAGGTCTCAAACTACTGCACATGCGCGAAAAGTACGCTGTTTGAAATAAACAAATGGTGAAATTGACAAAGCCTGTCGGTGTTTACCGTCTGGTTGATTTGATTTAATTTGCTTTCTGGTGTTGTTTTGAGAAATTATATTAGAAATATTCTGTTGATTGTATGTTTTAAAAAGCAAATCCATCGGACTTTCCTGATTAACATTCATTTTGCCGTCATTGTAAGGGGGATTCCCTTCGCATTTATAGTGTTATATGTGGCCCCAAGGGGATTTTCCACCCCTCCCCCACTCTTGATTAATAAAATTCTTCATCTGGAGGATTGTAAATTATATTGCAAAATACATTGAAAATCGTAGGAAGGTTAACTGCAGATAATGCTGCGAGGATATTCTTAACAGTGGGGGAACTCGGCCCATATGAAATTTTTAACTTCGTTTTACAATTTTGGAGCGCCTGTTCTAATTTTTGAAAGCAAGGCAATGGAACCAAACAATGCGATACAATTTGTAATCTCGTAAAAATTGCTATTTTTATATAAAGGTCATAGCATGGAGTACATCGAAATGCGACTTGTTTATTATTATGATCTTAAATAATAATTAATATAAAACAAATGATATAATACGTTCTTAACGTTAGCCTATTTATTAGCTTAATTGATTTTTTTTCGTATTTGGAGATTAAAAACACAAAAGTTGTCTGGTTTCATATCGAGGCACTACGTTTCGTTCGTGTGCTTGCAGGATGCCTTTTCAGTTTCATGGCTAAGCTAAGAGGGGTTTTACTCAATGATTGCATTGCCTTATATCATGTTTAATTCAGTTGCTATAGAGTTAGGAAATACACAGTTCAACAAACTGAAGTGTTGAATTAATTCTCCCAACAGTGTGCAATTCTATTCATTTATTTATGCCTCTACCAATGTTATGGATCCAAATTTTTCATTCCAGTGCAAGTTAAAATGGTAATTCATTTTTATTAACATTTTTGAAAGACATGGTCAGGGGGTGTATGAACAGTAGCTTTGCAGGCAGCACACTTTCAGAGTTTTGGTTATATGTTTAGAATATTATCTTTATTTCAGAGGTGCTTATGGGAAGGCGAGAGCCATTTTTAAACTAAAATGGCAGCGACGGTGAGTTAATAAGTGCATAGCTGTTCACTTTGGAATGATTTTATTAAATGGACTATATGTATATTTAAAACATATACAATACCATATTAGCCCATAAAGAGAGAGTCAAGATGTACTGAAAAATAAAATGTTTCATATGGAGAAGATTTTCCTCTTTGGGCTCCACACTAAATAAGTTGATGAAGGTGACAACTGCCATCAAGTATGTTTGTTCATATTTCAGGTGTTTTGCCATCATAGACAGCAAATGGTTCAACAGAGTCATGTATGCTTTCATACTTTTACACACAGCATTGGTGTTTTTTGAGCCTACACAAGCACATGTTAAACCGGGGCAGTAAGTCGTTTTGTATTACATATATAATGCAAATTGCACAGTAACGGTACCAGCACAGTTAGTGACATTTTGCTGGCTTAATTAGGACTATAATTTGCTTATTTTATTTTATCTTTAGTGTTCACATGCAAATCATGTAATAGAAATATTTTAAATGGCACTGTAGACATAGGTTTACGTAATATCTCAGATCTTTTTTTGAAAGTGATATATGCCTGAATTTTCTAAATTTTCTATTAAGAAAAAAAGTAAAAGTCTAATTGTGCATGAATCATTCAGTTTGTTTATCAATATTATAATGTGCAAACATAATGGTTCCAATGTGACTGAGAAAGTTCAATGAATACTATATCATCATGCATGCCTTGTTGATATATGGATTTGTCTTAAATGTGGAATACCATCTGTATATTTGCTATCTTTGCTGTCTGTTTTTTTTTCCAAATGGTATTTTGAGGATAGGATATATTATTGGCAGATGCTAATTATTTACAATTTGATGAATTATTTTATAGTGTACAATAAAATCAAAGGTACATGTTGTGAATTTACTAATATTTTTATATAAAATCTGCTTTCTTCCAAAAGGGTACACTGGGTGGTTTTTGTCTTGGAGTTGCTCTGCCTCTTCATGTACACCATTGACATTGCACTTCATCTCCATTACTTCACCTTCAAGACATTTTGGACCTGGTCGATAGAAGAAACCAAGTGGACCAGGTAGGATTAAGAGTAGGGTACACTAAAAAATTAAAAATGATTAAAAAGAAAGACATTAAAGGTTTAACCTGATACTTTGAAAATATTGGCCTTTTTTCACCTACTGTATTTTATATCATTATCAACTCCCAGTAGAAAGAAGATTGTAATGATGGTACAATCCTCCTTTTACTGTATTTTATATCACTATCAACTCCCAGTAGAAAGAGGATTGTACCATTAGTACTGAATGTTGAAAAAAATCCTGGACATTTCAACACTTATCTTTGATTCAGCATTGTATATCCAAAACTATTGAGAAAGTGACAAACTGTAAACCCCTTGTTAAGTTGTTACCTTTTTTTGATATATTATTTCAGGGTGGAATTCATCTTTCTTTTGATGTTTGTGATAGATTTTGTCATTTTGGTGCTGCAGCATTTCATGCCACACCTGGTGAGTTTTTTAACATACCATGGAGTGCTTCCATTTTGGTGTGTCTACTAGTATATAAAAGTATCTTTATATCTCCTCTATCCCAAGTACCCAATAGTACAGGATTCTTTTAAGTAATCAGTGACAACCACAATACATAAGTTGATTGATATTTGGCCTGTTAATACCCCCATCACACTTATTCGGAATCAGCAGGAATGAAGAAGAATGAGCCTGAACAAAGAATTTTTAAAATTCGCACCACATTCGGGGAAATTAATTATTGTAAGAGTACTGTTGGAATACTCAGAATGCGCTTGAATTCGCCTGGAATGATGAGTGCACTTTCAACTGTATTAGCTCTCAAAAGCAGTTTAAATGTAGTTGGAAAACTAGGAATATTTATAATGCTGTAAGAAGGCAGTAAGAATATTTAGAATATACTTTGAACGGTGCACTAGTGTAGTTCGATTGCTGGCAACATTAATATTTCAGCTCATCTGAGGCACATTCGAATCATTCTGACGGGATATAAAATCCCCGTCACACTACAGGCAAAATGAATAAGAATGGCGTCTGAAATACAATTATTTGTGCATTCCAGGATATTCGAAGAGCATTCTAAAAACATCCTAAAAATCCTGCATTCCAAATATTTTTACCCATTCTTGTGGCCGGCTCGAATGTTTTTGCCATGTCAAAAAATTTCGAAGTGCATTCCAAGAGGAAATTTATCGCAATATCCCTACAGTATTCCAACTACATTTGAGCTGCATTTGAGAGGTTATATACCTGGAATGTGCAAGAATCATTCCAGGCGGGTTCGATGTGCATTCTTAGTATTCTAGAGGCATTCTTACAAAGCCATAATATTTTATGATGATTTGAAATTCCCTCCCGAATATGGTACGAATTTTTTAATTTAGTAATCCCAGCTTGATCCTACTGATTTCGAATAAGTTTGACGGGGGCTTTAAGCCAATTGTCAGTTTGAATATTCCTTTAATGTGATCAGAATGTTTCGAATGCTGTCGGAATGCCTTGAGAATATTTAGAATGCAGTCATAGTGCAGTTAGAATACTGTTCAAATGTCATTTGATGAATTTCCACTTGGAATGCACTTCAAAAGTTTTTGACATGACAAAAACATTCGGGATGCCACAAGAATGGGTAAAAATATTTAGAATGCACTCGGAATTTTAAGAATGCTCTTTGAATATCCAGGAGCGCACAAAGAATTGTCTTTCCGACGGCATTCTTGCTCATTCCGCCTCTAGTGTGATGGGGTATAAGGCTGCTGTTATTACTTATATCAAAGATGAGATTTTATTTAGTAATGTATTAGTAATGATATTCATTTACTTTGGAAAATAATATTTATAATATATTATGTTTTACTCTTGTAACAATGATGCTCTTGTGACAAGAACAAAACCTAGTAGATGCTGCTATTTCACATATATTTTGTTTCAAGATAAGTGATTATTATTGCTAAAACATTACTAGATGGAAAATCTTGAAACCATGAACAATTTGATAGATAAATGAGATTTTACTTATTGACCAGGTAATCAAAATTATAACTCAGATGACTGATTAAATAGGTAAACTTTGCCGTGACTAAGATATTTTGGTAATCAGTTATGTAATTATAAACAAATTTTGTGGGGTTGCAAGGATGCGAAGTGTACATCTGTATGTCCTGGTTTCATTGGTACAATGAGGTAATGGTCTGAAATAGTTGTATATAAAATTTTTATTATTATAATAACATATAGAATGATTTGAAATGCTTGAAGAAAGGTGAAAAAATATGGAAACATGTTGCATATTAGTAAAAATAAGTTACTCTAGACATGCAAGTATAAAGGAGAACATTTCTTTTTTGTGCATTAACATTGCATCACTATATAATTTTCTGTTCAAAACATTGATTTTGATAAGTTGAAAAAACTTTATTGATTTAAATTATAACTACAATGTCACGAGTTATCTCTTTTTCAGCATTGGGTTCAGCCATTCAGATGTTTGAGACTGGCAGCCATATTGTGCAAGTCAAAGAATGTGTCCCACATATTTGATGTGTGTTTGTCCATTATTTACAAGTTAGGAAAGGTACAGATACATTGTGTCTTTTAAGATTTTTGGCTTTCAAATAATTTGTCAAACCAGTAGATATATTAAAACCATAGAAAAAGTGGGACTCATTTGAAGGTATAGAAATGAGAAATTTTATATTTCTGTATTTTTGTTCTGCACAATATTACATAAGGTATATAAACAGTTATGATAACGGTCTACTGCTACTACATGAAAACGAAGATGAAATAACTTTTAAATTAAATAATTTAATTAAATAAAAATAACACTTTATAGATGTTGGTTAAATCAAATCCCTTTTCTATGTACAGACACTGCTGTGTTATCACACCAGTAGACAGTTGGTAATTAACTTTTAGCTGATTATTATGTATAGAGTGATCTTGGACTGGGTTCCCACAGATTTAGATCGATCCATCTGGATCGACCTAACTCCCTGGGGGTTCAAGCTAAATTGCTGTTTTTTATGGTTAGATTGGGATGAATTTTATACCATTAAATATGTTTCAAATGTAGATGAGGATAATTTAATTTATTGTTGTACCATATTCTTCCAGGTGTTTTTCATAATCTTCATCTTTATTGGAATATTCTCAGCAGTGGGTGTCCATGTTTTCTCCCAAAGCTATCACTGTTTATCAACAAACTCCAGTATTTCATCAAATGATTCCAATTCTAATGGCAGCAGATGTGTGGAGGATGCATCTAATGTCTACACAGGGTAAGCTCTTCTCATGCATAAATAACAAATTTTAACCTTAAAAGGTTCCTCTTTCCCATGCAGGATTAGATTTATGAACAAGGTCAATAACAAACACAGTATATAGGTTGATTGATATTTTGCCAGTAAAGGGCATATGATAAAGGCTTACATTTGAGAAAATAGCTTTGTACACACTGCTGATTAATACACTAGTACCAGCAGAGTCTATATGAATTTTACACTGGATTTATCTATGTTTTTTTATGCTTAAATTTTGATATTTTTCATTTTTTGACAACTGTTCACTGTATTTCCGTTGTAAGGTAGGGGCAAATAAAGTAATCAACGTACCACATTTCATTTCAATTTTTATCAATTCCAGTGCTTTTGATAATATTGGTATTGCTGCACTCAGGCTTTTTGTTCTGTTAACCACCGAGAATTACCCTGTAAGTGAAACTTCTCTTATTTATGAATTATGTTAATCAAAATTATATAGCAGTTGTTGGGATCATGAAAACAATTTTGCTTTGGTTATCAGTCTTGAATTTTTCAGACATATGACAAGAATTTGATATGATAATATAATGATGATATGATGATTATTTATAAGTGGAAATAGAAAACAGTATGGTGGAAGCTATATAACAGTAGTTATATAACTTTTTGTTATGGTTATCAAACCAGAATTCTTAAAACACAGATGAAAAATTCTCAGGGTAGACCAGCATCCAATTTTATTTTACATGAAACTCTTCCTTACTGATTTTTTTTTGAAATCCAGTAAAAATTGTAAACTTCTTGATAAGAAAGTATGTTGTTATAAAAATGATATAGTTTTATTAAAATAAGATTTTTGAATACCAAATATAAATCCTGAAACTTCAGTGGTAAAACAAGCTGTCTTGCAAGCAAGCATTTAGTATGCCATAAGTTGCAGTTTTAATTTTGTTTTGTCTACAGGATTTAATGGTGCCAGCCTATGACAAGCAGCATGCAAATTTTATCTACTTTGGTATCTATTTATATGTGGGGGTGTTCTTCTTGACAGCAATATTGCTAGCCATTGTTGTAGAAAGTTACTGGTAGGTTTGGAATGATAAGTATTTGCCATATATGTTTTTCTTAGCATTGTCTTGATGAGAAAGGTCAATTAGATTCTCATAATACTTATGACTACATGTAATATGTGCATTCATTTAATTATATTCTTTGTGGAACTCATTTACAGTATGTACAGCCTAGGATAAGATTTATAAATAAAAATGATAAAAGGACCATTTAACCTTGGTATATATATTCATGAAGCAATTCAAATCCATTTTCAGGGCAGTTGCTAAAACACATGTAAAAAGAGAGAGAAAAAGAGAGAGGGAGGAACTGGTGAAAGCTTGGAACATTCTAGATCCACTTGGAGAGGGTGAGATTGATGTGAACGATGAAAGAATATTCACCATATTTCAGATGCTCAGGCCAAAGGTGAATAGATTTAGTTAAAATGATTGTTTTTTTCTTTTTATTTAAATCGTGACAGTTTTATTTTTCAATGTTTGAGCAAGCTTAAGACTTAGTTTCTAAATAAATTTGGTAAGGTTTCTATTCTTGAGACGAACTGTGCATACTTATTGTTATGTCATGACATTTGTCATCATGCAAATATTTTGAATCAGACACACAGAAAGATTTTTAAAAATTAAACCAAATTTTTAAAATTAACATGTGTCAGCACAGTTAAATACTGTAAATTGGGTCCAAGTTGATGAATTTTGATGTTTAATATCTTTAAAAATATTTCAGGATTCTGAAGAAGAAATAAGAGAGCTTATAGAGTATGTGGACCATGACCAAAATAATGTTATTGATGTGTTCAACTGGACAACCAAATTGACCGAGGCTCTTCAAGTTCAGTTTGACCAGGATGCTAATGATTCTTTGCAGGTAATAGATGTTAAAAACTTATTTAATGGTATTTCAACAGTATTTTAAGATTTGATCAGTGCCTAGTATGATAGATATCAATTTTTTGGCAATGTTCACCCACTCCCCAGGAGATGTACTGTGACTGAAAGCTTATACTGTGATAAAGCATAGTTTGCATTTCTGATCTACACTTAAAAAGAGGTTTGCAGTAGAATCTGATTTACTTCATGATCAATCAACATAACAACAAACTGCGTTCTTGGATATTTCAATTCTCCAAAGGTTATTACTTCTGGTCCTCATTAAAATAAAAAAAATCTAGTTGGTGAGATTTTATTGTGCATTTTTAACATAAGGGATCCACTTAATTCATTAAGAAAGTTTAAACCTTAATAGGGGATATCTTTCTTTGACTTAGCTATCATTTTGAAATTGGTGGATGAGATATATGTTTCATATGTTCTTTATTCACACAAAATTATTGAATTTGCTATCATGTTATCAGTTGCAGGAAAAGACATGTGCCTCAAAGATGTCTGCAAAAGTGAAACAGTTCATAGACTCCACCATATTTACAAGAACAATTCTCATTTTAATAGTAGTTCACAGGTAGGTTGACACTGGTAGGTATAACCCTGCCAGCCCCCCTCCCCTTTCCAAAATATATTGAGTCGTAACATGGCTCTGTTGCCAGTTGACATAATACAAGACAACGCAAGACATTTCACTCAGCATGCATAAGGTATTTTAAGTGGTATTTGCAATTTGACTGCAAACCAAAAATTATTATTCATGTATGTTTTTATTTCAGTATTCTTTTCTGTATCAAGTGGCATGGGATGAAAGAAACAGACGAATTGATAGTTCAGGCCCTGAAGACCTGCATCATCTCTATATTTTTTGTAAGTGTTTTAACATACATGTAGCTTTTTTATACTTAACATACTTAAATGACCCAGATTTTGTGTAAAATTGTATTTTTATTGAGCAGTATGAGCAGTATGAATTATGGGTAATAAGGATCATTAAAATCTAACCCATATATGATTAATGTTAATTTTAAGTTACAGTTTTCAATTATTTCCTTTAACAAAACCTAGTCCTTATACATGTAAGTTTAGACTCACCATGTTAGTAAATATTTTGGTTTCTTTGAAGCAGACAAATGGAATTTTTTCTCTCTCTTAATATTACTTTTAAGACTTATTCATTTTTCCAGGTTGAAATCTTGTTGAAGCTCATAGGCATTGGCAAGCAACTGAAACAACCCCTAGAGTTCCTCGACATTATTTTATCAGTTGTGGCCATTTTGACTAATGCATTGTGGTATTTTGTGCCGAGTGTGTTCCAAGAGGTGGACCCAATGACTTACAAAGGTGCTATGGTGGTGACATCATGTCTCGCCGTGTTTTGTAGGCTTGGGTTAAACTCCCGCCAGACAAGGAAAGCTGTTCTGATTATCATGAAGATTCATCCTGTCATGTTTGACTTGATTGTTATGGTGGTGATCATTATGTGAGTACACATATTGCACTTCTTCTTTTTTCTTTGTGTTGGATGGTTTTTCACATAATATAAAGTAGGTCATTCTTTGCAAGTGGATATCAAATGGATACTAAAATACAAGCTATAGACACAGGCAAAATTTCTTTCTTTTTTTTTTTTGTATGTTTACAGGTTTTTCTATGCTGTCCTTGGATTAGAAATCTTTTTTGGGCAGACAGATTCCTCGGGTGCATCTGTTCAACATTATGAGTATGATTGTGGTCTAGGCTTTGAATCCCTGTGGTAAGTATTGGCCTTTCAGCTGTCAATGTTCTTAGTCACACTTAACACACTCCTCTATCACACTTACTGTCATACCTAACACATTCCTCTGTCACAACTAACACATTCCTCTGTCACAACTAACATTTCTCTTTTTGATGTCTCAAAGCATAAAGATAATGAAAGTAATATTCTTACTTAAATGTAAAAAAAAATTCATCGTATCCCGTAACTTTTCTCTTCGTTTAAGCCATGGTAAGTTAAAGATGGTCTTAAAAATATGTTATGAGTTTGAGGCTAGAGGCTATGGTAGTTATTAAGAATTCTAAGTGTCACAAGAAAAATTCTGATTGATATATTTTGCACCAATCTCCAAAGAATGGTTCATTTAAGAAAAAGTAGGATTCAGAACACACTTTTGTATAAAACTGGTATATGCCCAGGCAATGAATCGTATAATATTCATAGAGGCCATAACCTAGGAGCCCAAGTGCACTTGGGCAAGGAAGACCCCACAAAGCCTCTTTGTAACCCCACAAATGAAATCGTGCAAAATTGTTTGTAAATAATAACTTTTGCTTACTAGTACTCATTGCATCATGGTTTTTAGGATGATGAGTCGTATTGAATATTTGATATATACTTTTTATCCCTTAGGCCATAACATTTAATACAGGCAACACTGGTAACATTGTTAAAATGATTAGCTAGGATAGTAGGGTTATATAAGAAAAGCAGCCTTCTTTGGCCAAATCTCAATCATCCAATATTCTTTGTGGCTTTCTTTCTTATTGTGAATGGGAAAAGTTTGTGGTACACTGGGATGGAGGAGAAACAAAGTATGTTTTGCCTTTGTAATGCCTGCATGTAATGGGTTTTGATAAAATTGACTTAAATAACAAACATAACAAACTGGACACAACTACGAGACTGTGGCATTATGACATGAAATGTTGCGTTCTTTTTAAGCAGCTGTTTTTTTTAAATTGATTACTGTTTTATACATAACACTATCATTACACCAAGACTTAACCTACAAATTAAATTCTTGTTCTTATTTTTCTTTACTTTAGGAACTCCATGGTGTGAGTAACAAAATTTTATGTCTTTTTTGTTGAAATATTGTGCAAGAAATTATTTCACATGATTGCTGTCTGATTAGTGAGATTTTGGGCCCCTTCANACGTGTATTCTTTTTGAGGCAACTCGTCTATCTTTAGGGGCCTAATTACTGTGCCTGGGTCAAGTTGTAACTGTCCTTTTAACATGGAAGGTGTGTTGACATGGGCAACCCTTCACTTCAAACGAAGCCCTGAATCCTCAGGAAAATTATGCCCACCTTGCCGACTTTGACATTCAGGTACACAACAATACTGAGGCATGTTTATTAAGGCCAGTGCCACAGTCCAACGTATATGATATCCAACATGGCGACTGTGGAAGGACTGAATTCACACTAGCGACACCTGGCGCCAAGCGGGCTGGTATTCCTCATTCACTTGCACTTCCCTTTTGATATTTGCTACTGATGCATCTGTTTCTGCTAATGATTATTTCTTCTGCTTCTCATTCTAGTAATGATTATCCAGAGCTGCCATAGAGTTAAAATATGATGATGGTGATGGTAAAGATGCATTTTCCTGCCCAAATTTGTTTCATACGTGTTTACAAAAATTATTTTCCAGGTGCTCCCTGCTGCATACTTTTCAGCTTGTAACCACCAGTAACTGGCATGACATGATGAATGATGCAATGAAGTCCACCAACGACTGGGCATCTCTGTACTTTGTGTCTGCCTTTGTGGTCATCAATCTAGTGGTCATGAAGTAAGCATTTGCAAATAAAACACAAGTCTCTGTTTGTTAAGAAATTAGCTAAGCAGGATTGTGTAGCCTGAATTTTAGAGCTCCTTTCCTGGCCGGCCTCTTCATTTGTCCATACTTGCCCACTTGTCACATCTGAACTTCAGCAGTCTTTGATTAAAAGTAAAATGTAGCAATCATGAAACTGTTGGCTGTGTCACATGTCCTTCTACATATCCAATCTGGATATGTGTGGCAAACTTCAATCAAACACCCTGAGAGTCTTAAAGTTTACAAATGCATATGGAGATTTGAAAAGTCAGGTATCGCAGGAGTTAGCAGGTATTTTCCAACGACCTGAAATATAATATAGTATTTTGTTTACTGCCCATTTCTATTTACCTAGTAAATTGTTGTTACTCATAGAGGAAGCAAAATTAACACACATTTGGTGTCACAGTTACACTGAATGTGTGTGACATGATTACAACTTGGCCTTTTCAGTCTGTTTGTGGCAATAACCATTGAGGCCTTTAACAAGCTTGGAGCAGTGGAAGAACCAAGTGATTCAGAACAAGGCCCTGAAGCAGAAACACAGGTATGTAATTTATATCTACTGAGGTTACACACGAACGCACACGTGCATACATGCGTGCTTGCTTGCATACATGCACACACACACAAATCAAACGTTTGAAGTTTTGAGGACCTGAATGTATCCGGAAATATGCATAAAAATGCATCAGTAAACATTTTCTTTTAATTTTCTTTTCCAGGAAAAGTTTTCAGAGACTGCAAAGAAGTTTTTCACAAGTATTCTAGCCAGTTCTAGGGTAGGTCGCACTAGGATTTTACTTCATTAAAAGAGAAAAAAAAATTAAAAACTAAAGAAGTCTGCAATTTATTTGCAAAGGTACTTTTTAGTCCATTTGTTTGTGTGACGGCCTTTATTTTCAAAGATGGCTGGATGGCTTATGGATTTTTTGGAAATATGCCAGCTTTTGGCATACTTGGACTTCCTGGAATTTTGTAGGAAATAACAGGTCGTAATCTTGGATGGCCTGTATCCCCTATCATGTGTCCTCAACAGTCTGCAACTTAAACAATGGCCCCGCATTTTTTTCGTTTATCTGCATGTTCAGTAACTGGCAAATAGTTTCTGCTTTTTTCCAGTACTAAGTAGGTTCTCAGTCCTTGCTGACCTCAGGGTTTAGTAGGCTAAAAAAGTATTGCCACAAAATAACCTTGAGTATTGGTTGATTGGACTCTTTTAAAAATCTAAAGATATTGATTGTTTCTTTCATTGTTTGTGTCAGGATGACAGAGAAGACCCCACTGTGCAGGTTGTGAGTCATGGAGCTGCTGGAGGAGGGAGAAGAATGTCCATCCCTGCTCTCTCCAGACACAGTCTCAGTCACACAGTAAGAATTCCTGTATCTTTACATAAATCATGATAATTCTTTGGATGTAATTGTAACTAATGAAACTTTATTTGAATCTATCTGTCAGCGGTGGAAGATGTTTATATTCACTTGTAGACGTTTGTAGGTGTAATGAGAATTTTTTTGGCATTTCAGAGCCTGGCAGGTAGTAATGTCAGGTTGACAGAAGTGATGGCCTCCCCTCCCTCACAGAGTCTAAGGGATGAGTTGGAAGAAAGTGTTAGTATACATGATGTCCTCCATTGTTGGATTCATGGGGGTGTACAGTAGGCCACATCTCCCCTCCCTCTTTATTGCTTAATTGTTGTACTAAGAATCAATAAAGTGCAAATGTGTATCACACATATGAGAACATGAGGCATGTGCATGTGCATACATACATTTTTCTCTAGCTATCAAGTATAAAATGTCTCTTTACTTACCTAAGAAGTAAAGTTATGTGTATCTTGCATTCATGGAAAACATTTTTTTTTGTATAAAGTCTTGATGTTTCTTCATACAAACAACAGGAGGAAGATGACTACACAGGATTGACATCCACTGAAATAAAGGAACGGAAAATGAAAAAGAGAATGCAGCGTCGCAGGCGGCAAGAGACTAAGATAAAAGTGATAAGTGCATATCGTAAAAAGGACGACTCCCAGTTAGACCTTCATATGGGAGATGAAGTGACTATATTAGAAAAGAGTGGAGACTTTGTTAAGGGGACAGCTAGAGGAAAAACAGGGTGGTTTCCAGGTAAAAAATCTTTTATTAGAAATGAAATGAGTTTCTGAAAGTTCATGATGCAATACACTGAAAGAAGAAAAGACATCTTTTCTTTTCTTTGTGAAATAAAAAGAAAATGAAAATGAAAATCTGGATTTCTCCATAAGAAATAGTAAGATAATTGTGGATTAGATTAGGTAAACAAGATGTTTGAGCTGCAGTTTTTTAATGATTTTTATATTATAATAAACAATACTCCATATCTGTACCTTACAATTTTTGTGTTCCTGATTGCTTAATTTTTTATAATTATTTGACGGCACAATTTAAAAAATCCTTACTTGTTCAAATGTGGGACAAAGTTACTGGTTTATGTAAAAGTATATTACAGCTTATTGTAATATACTTTTACATATACCAGTAAGTAATAAGAACTGGTTATTGTAATCTTTTTTTCTTGTGTCTTCAGCCCACTGTGTGAAGGAGCTGGTTAAAGGAGCTAAGAGGGCCAGACGCAGACTAGCAGCCGCCACTGCAACAGTCGAACCAACAGGGAGCCTGACACTCACGCAGGGCCAGACTTTGGCATGGGGAGCTGTTTCTCCTGCAGCAGAGACAGTGGCACGTACTGAAAATATTCCAGTAAGCTTTAACTTAACAGTTTTTATAATTCTATGCCAAATTTGTCAGTAAACTGAGCATTCTTATTTAGATGATGTAGTGGCATTTCAATAAATTTGTCAAGCTCATGCCATAATAAATATATATGTCTGTATGTACTCGTGTTTGACATTTTGTTTATTGTACCACCACATGTAACTATTGTTCACAACCAGTATCTCCATTTATAATATAATGATTATCATTGCATGGTAAGTCCTTTTGCTCTGCCATATGGTTTTTCTAAGTCAGTGCATTTCCACCGGGTTGAAGCTCATTTATGCTTAAACAAAATTAATTCCTTCTCTTAAACATGTTTCATGTTTTAATGATAAAATGTGTTGGAATCACTTATTTTGACTCATCATTTAAAATGGAAAAGGGACATTTTTTAGTTTCAAAAGTTTGTCATCTTTACTTTTTCACAAACTTTAACATTTTCATTCTAATGCTGAGTGGCATTTTGGTCACACCTGATCTGCCCTTTGAAGGTCAGTTGGTGGATTTTTGCTGGTTTAATTGTCATGTTGTGTTTTACCAAAAGTTTCATAATCTTTGTTCTAGATATCTACTTGTTGTAAATCTGTCTTATGTTATGTTTGAGTTCTAAGCCAAAAGGAAATTTTTTATCATTGTTTTACTTCATACACACACCCAGCTGGTGGTACACACTTAGGAGGTAGCCCCACCACTCAGAAACTTAAGTTTCATTGAAATTAGATGTAATTCCAACTAACGTGATCTTTTGGTTTTTAGGGCTCTCAAACTATGCCAGCTTCACTACAAAAAGTCAACTCTTCACCAGGGATGTTGTCCCACCTAAACAGAGCTGATTCATTGTAAGTGTCACATGCAGGAGGGATGCAGAGAATATGAACTATTAAAATAATTCCAGTCTTCAGAATGTTTTCAGAGTTCCTAGTTTATAACTTCAGAATGCTTTGTTTAATGTATGCAAATTTGTAAGCAAGAGTGCTTACATTTTGATGTTTTCAGTGATAGAAATGTAACATTCAATTAGAAAGTTTCACAATGAAATATTTTGGTGCCTAAGTATTTAAAAATGATCATAATTAAGTGTTCAGAACATTTTTAGTGAATGATTTTCAGTGACTTATTAATTTTTTTAAATATATCTCTGTATTATTTGTACAATGCCAAGCAGGACCTACAGAAGATGGGCTTATTATAGTAATACACATATAGCATTCAAATGAACACTCATGAAACAATTTTGTACATGTATACACATATTATGAATCCCTTGATAAGGTGTCACTAATACAATTTTCTTTTAATTTTACAGTAAAAATAAAGGCACTACAAGGGTAAGTTTTTTATTGTTTTTTTGCAGAGACAAAATGAGTTTATCTAGTTATTGTATATTACATGGTAATTACCTACTTTTATTAGACATTGTTTATATAAAGCTTAAACAAAGATATGGATCATGAAATACTTGTATGCTTAAATAAGGTTTGTTATTTGCATTTGAAAATGTCTCTAAGTCATACTTTTTATGACTACGTATTCTACAAAGCAACACTTCTCTCTATTATGTTCCATGTGACGGGTGCACTGCAAAATCATCCAGCAAGGTCTCCCTCATCTTTCTCTCTCAGCATGGTCTGAAAGACTGCGAGTACGTTGTGACCCGTGGCATGAATCACATCTTGCTAAGTAGTACTAGTTCCATGTGTCGTGCTCTGATGTATATCAGGGGGGATAAACTCATGATCGTCAGTGAATAATTTATCCACCAACAAAACAGCCTTCTTTCCATTCCTTTTTGCTGCTCTCAAATGGGGCATCAAAAGCTTTCTCTTTTCATTGATCTCCTTATGAAATTGTTTGTTGACTCCAAAGGGTTTGCCAACTAAAATATCACGGCACAGCTTTCCTCACCATCTCCCGATCTCGAAAGGATGAAAACTTTGCCACTATCGATCGATGTATACCAATTATTCTCTTTTCTCTCCTGTGCGCTCGTTCAAAAGTTATGCCCTCATCAAAACGCATCTCCTTTTTGAGGAAATTCTGTAATAAATTCTCCAGTAATTCGTTGTTTTCCTCCTTAATTCCGGTGAAAATTAAATTGTCCCACATCGACCTCACCTGTAACATGGCTATCATGTAACTCATTCAGTCTGGCAGAAAAATCTGGGATAAATATTCTAATTGCACATTTCTGTAACACAAAAAGCTAGTGCCATTCTGACCTTAGTAGTTCTAACAATGAGTTCTTTTTTAGATGAATCATATGAAAAAATGCTATATCTTCAAAAAATTATTTTAAAAAAAAATTTATATTATATGTATTTTTTATCATTAGATAAAGCGACAGCAAGCTGGAGACTGGAGAAGGCAAATACATGGAGACATGACAGTCATGAACCAAGATGAGGTTTGTTTCAAACCTGTTTCCTTTGAGGCCACCCTTTTCCCTTTTATCACAGATATATTCACACATTGCAATTTTTGTATCAAAATTTGCAAAACCCATTTCAAATTTGACTTAAATCCAAATTTAAATCCATGATTTTACGTCTGAACAAATTCACTTTTTCATAAAGCCAGGTTATAGTATTTGATTTACAGAGACAGTTGTTTTCATTTTTCACTGACAATTATAGATTTTTTGTCTTTGATGAAAATGAAGCTGGTGGTAATGATTTTATTTTAATATTTCAAATGAAAAAGGCCAATAAGATGAATAATAGGGTAATTGATCAAGGTAATCTACTTTCTGGTGATTTAATCATGATCATTATCTCATGAAACCATGAAACAATGCAATTTATATAAGATATATTTTAACTAAGAAGATTCTCCCTAAATACTGATTGAATTCGCCATCATTGTTACTTTTGTGTGTGTGTGTGTGTGTGTGTGTGTGTGTGTGTGTGTGTGTGTGTGTGTGTGTGTGTGTGTGTGTGTGTGTGTGTGTGTGTGTGTGTGTGTGTGTGTGTGTGTGCGCGCGCGCATTTGTGCTCTCACATGCACATGCTTGTGTGCATTTAAGTAGTGTATTTTAACTAATACTTGTAACATGAATATAATTTCAGCTTTTTGACCTACAGAGAATGTCTAAGGCAAAATTACAGAGAAAAAAGGATACCGTAAGTTTTTTTTAAATCTTATTTTTGAAATATATTGATAATATGTTGTTGAAGAAGAAAACAAGGGAAAATATATGTTTATGATAACACACACCTGAGAGAATAACATAATATCACATCTATTCCCTTTATGATCAATAAATAATGCCTTTAACCTCGATTTAACAGATTTTTCTTTATTTTTTTCTATTATAGCCTGGATGGTCTGGGAACAGCCCGTCTCCAAATTCTACATTGACTACAACTTTAACAAGGTATGGTCACAGACTATTCACAAAGACTGCATTCCCACAGATTAGATCGATCCATCTGGATTGACCTATCTCCCTGGGGGTTCACGCTAAATTGCTGTCAGCCGAGCGGGAACGGAAGTTAATTACCCCCTTACAGTTTTTAGTAGGCGGGACAGACATTTAAGCCGGTTAGCTGACAGTAATCTAGTGAGACTCCCCACGGGGATAGATCGATCTAAAATCTGTGGGAATACAATCAAAGGGACCCCAGTCATTCAATAATAATTCTTCAATTTGATGTTAAGTCAGTTTCACCAGGCCTGCATTTAAATTAAGACAGCCTAACTTTGGTGAATAAAGTCCTTGTCAATTTTGTTGGACTGCTGTTTTTAACGGAAGAAATAGATGCTAATCTCATGGCATTCTACTTGCCTAGGTTATAGTTTGGTGGTTTGGGCAATGGTTCTACATTAGAGTTACTTGATATGGTTAGAAATCATAATTGCACAGTGTGTTCAGTTAATATATGAACTTATTCTGTCTGGCTCAAATGGAAATGCACTCCATGTTCCATTGTAAATTATGAGGTTTATACTGTGTGAGTTGAAAGCTTTGGGGAATTTTTATATTTAATTATGATAGCACTATGATCTTGCTTTATTTTGATTCCTCTATAAATGTTTAAATTTCAGTTCCATCTCTCCACTGCCAGAACCAGATGTTGAAGCCAATTTAATGCCACCTCGCTCCAATGTTCCACAGGTATGTTTGGTGATATTTTTGGGTTTCTTTTCACCCATGTTGCAGTTATTGAGCACTACCAGATGGAATTCTGTAGAGCATGGGCCTGTCTTGGTGGCATTGGGCAGGGAGGGTTCTTAGAAATTTGTTATTTAAAAAGCATGATATAAAAATTTGTATAAAATTTGCTTCATTTTCACATATAATGGTCTCCAATGCTGTATTCTCGAAGTAGTTCATTGTGCGTGTGTGTTTGTGTGTGTGAATATTTGTGTGTGTGTGATTGTACATGTCTGTGTGCAAATGTGCATGAAATTACATGTCCAGTCCAGTGATATACGTATATAATGTACACTATGCCCTTTTACAGCAGTTGTCAGACAAAGACCAAACTGAACAGTCCTCAGAGGTAAAGGAGTTGTTGCTGTTGAAAGAGTTACTAATGAGGCACTTTACTAAAAAAAAAATCACGTTTTTATACTTATGAGTTACTTATTTATATGTGTTGGACAACCCAGTTCTAATTCCTTTTGGACTTTGATATCTCTGAAGAATTATTTTCCTAATTCTGGGCACATACATGTAACTATTGATCTGTTTTTCCTTGTAAACTTTATTTTTGTGTGGACATATGTTGGTGGCAATGAGTTAAAGCTAATTCTCGCAAGACTTTAAACCATTAGTGAAATAAATTAATAGTAGTATTTTATTCATATGGAGGATGGTGGACATCCAGACTGGCTTGAGTAGATTTAATTGCAATACAAGTTATAACACCATGATCAACATGAGAAGTTTAATTATGGCATCCATATGGATGGTTACTTTATGCCCATTGCCTTGATCACTACCAAGTTAAGTTGGACTCTTCACCATTTACAATATCAAACTGTCTGAACCTAATGCAGCAGTGTCTAAAACCCTAAATATCTCTGTGCAATTATTTCAAACGGGCAATTCAGAGATGTTTAGGGTTTTACACACTGCTACATTAGGTTCAGTTAAGTTAAAACAAATAATGGTTGAATATAATGAAATGGACTACATGTATTATATTTGATTTAACAGTCAAACTACTTTACTGATAGTTCAAATGTCCAGTTTGCCTTTGCTGCACCTATATGTCTGCATCCTGAACTGTGTGGAATAACCTTGACTAAATGTTTTTCACTAACCTTGCACATTTTGACCTAACATTTTTTTGTTTGTAATTTATATTTTGTTAATTGTGTGTGTTGAGTGCAGTATGTATCATATATCTGTAATTGTACATTTTTTATTGAATGAATATTTGTTTATTCATTATTGATAAGGTTGAGTTTGTCAGTCATGTAAATTCTTTGTAGGGCTAGTTGACAAGTAGGTGAATGACTTTCTTTAGTAGGCAGTTAATATGATTTTTCACTAAAGCAGATCACTGAAATATTGTTACATATAATCATTTTTAATGTTATGCATATGGAAACCAATTCATGCTTAAGACATTTTAATGTGATAAGCCTTTCTGCTGCTTTAAATTAACATGTCTTTGATGTTTAAATAGTTTGCATGAGAATATTTTTATAGGGACAATTGGTGGATCTGAACCAAATATGAAAAATAACTTAGGGATTGCACATATGACTTGTGCGATTTGGTAAAGATATTTTATGACTTGTATGATTTGGTAAAGGTTGAATATAATAAGCTGTGGTTGAATATTTTAGATCACTATAATGCCGGAGCTGAATGAAGAGGAGGAGGAAGAAGAAAGTGAAGAAACTCTGGGCAAGTTAAATGTAAATGCTGAGAATGAGGAAACAGGAGGCAGTAAGTTTCAGGAACATTACTTTTTTTTCACCATAAAACAGGCAATTAGATAGATATATAAAATCACATTTTCATCATTTTAAAAGACAAGTGGGAATTTTGTTTACATCTAGTGACATCTGATTCCAGGGAAACTTACTTTGTAATTGCTTTCAGATCCTGAAATTTTCCCTTTTCATCTTTTTACCAAGACTGTTTTTTAACAAGACTGTTTCTGGAACAAAATGCATTATCAAATCTGATGGCTGTATAGATTTTCTTGTGTTGCTTTTGCTATAATATTGACTATGAAGGGATATTAAGAATTATGCAGACAGTATTTAATATAATTTTTTATTTTGTCTCTGTCAGAAGATAGCTTGAGTGTGGAAGTCCCCAGAATACCAAGCAAATACAAGAAGAAGGTTGAACAGAACAAAAAAGGAGAGATGCCAGAATGGGCCAAAAAATTCATTTCTACCAACAATATTGAAGTTACTGAAGATTCTGTTTTGGAAGAAGCTGAGATACCCGATGCGATGTCTGACCAAGAAACACCAGAAATTGATCTCAGGTAGCTTTGCTTATATACATATTTAAATGAATTAGGTATTCTGTTTGAAATATCTCCACATGCATTTACAAACTAGTTTGTATTTATTAAATCATTCCTAGTATGAAAGACTTTTTGTTCCACGTGTGGAAAGAAGGAGCACTATGTTTTTATCATTTAACTGTTTTTGATCAACAAACTACAGCCAGTTATTTGGGCAAAAAACATTTGCCAAAGGAAAGACACAAACCATAGAGAAAAATAGAAATTGAATTTTGTATTTATTTTTACACAGTATACTCACAAAAACAGTAGGAGAACCCCTTTCTGGAAGCAGTCCCTCTCTTGCTTCAAGAAGCAGTTCTAGAGACAGGTCACAGGAGGCAGACAGGTCACATGACAGTGACAACCAATCAGATTACTTACACCACAGAGCAGACATCAAGGAAGGAACATTGTAAATATGTAGCAATTATATTTGTCGAAAGATTGAGTGTTTTTCTTTTAAATTGCAGTGACCATGTTTTTTTATGCTGAAAGCATGATTATTTTATGACTTTAGCCTAGCTGGTAGTTGGTTGCTTGCACATCATGCTGCATATTACATGTAAGTAAGATTAATGTAACAAACATAATTAAGTAGCTCTACAATGCAAAAGGACTCATTCTTTATTTCAGAGTGGCCCCTGTTAGGTCAACTCTTAAATGGTGTCCTTGTGAGAGTAGCTGTAGATTGCTCAGATTTTAGGTATTCAATAAAACAATAAATTTCTTATTTTGTCTTTATTCTAGAACAAATCACAGTGAAGTTAGAGATGACGCATCTTCAAATGGAAGTCTTAGATTTGACACGTCCATTGAAAGAATGAACAATGAGTCAGCAATTTTTGACCAAAATGGTGACTTTGATGAATTCAACGGAGGGGAAAAGTCAGAGACTGGTAAAATGTGGGCATCACCTACTATAGGGAGCCAAAACTTTGAAAGTATAGAATCTCAGGTGGAGCCTTATAGTATTTCACAGGACATCTCACTTCAGCCACCTACTGAAAATCAAAGGTTGGAGGAGGAGGAAGAGGAATTCAATTCTGGTGTCTCCAGCCTGTCTTTACATAGTATGGACAGGATAGGATCAGAGTTACCAACACATGACTCGGGAACATTGCCCAATGTGGAAACTGTTGAAATTAGGTAGTAATGAATAAAATTTAAAAAATAAAGTCTGGTCCCTATGTACCACACTCACATTGCTGTTTGCAATAACAAATAACAATTATTAACATAGGGAAAGCTAAAATTTTCCTTCCTATTCTAAGATTTGTTGAATGGAATAAATAGTGTTGAAATAATTGGATTATGAAATTGCATTCCCAGTGCTGGTTAAGGATACATATGTTTTATAATTCATCTACTATTTTGTCTTTTTCCAGCACTTCAAACTTGCAAGAAGAAGAGGGCCTAGACCAAAGCACAAGTAAAACAAAGAAGTCAAGAAAGAGGTAAGTTTTAAACAGCTGGCAGTCAGCGTATTAATTTCAATGTTATGAAATATTCATACAAGAGGAAAGAAAAATTCCATACCTTGCATAATGTGTTGTTGTCTGATTTTTTTTAGCAAATATTTTAGACATTAATCTACCATTACCTAATTTACATACCTCTGTTTTATCTTTTTGTCAGTGAGTATTTAAATACCTTGTATGTCTAACTTTATCTATTTTTATACATGAAAGGAATGAAAAATTTAATTTCAATTAAATGATCACCATTTTGTCATTAATTAAAAACATTATCTCAGTGTTTGTTATTAATTTATGAAATTCAGAATATTATGTGAAAGCAATTTTTAAGTTAAATAAGAGTGTTTTACACATATCACCCCTTGTTTTCAGAGACAGAGCTGCTGTCATCAGTAAGTTGAGAAGACAGGACAAGGAGAACAGTCACTTACCATAGGAATCAGTCGTGATCACTTCACACTTTCAGACCTGTCAACCACCATAATCTTCTCAACATATACACCGCTTTTTCAACATACTTTGATCTATAATTTTGTGCTCTAAGAGAATACAGCAGATTTAAAACTTTTAACATAGATATGATTTAGATTTATGAAAAGAATACTAGATTGTTTTCTAAGGAGACTAATCATATTTTTACCTATGAAGCATGATATTTTGACCAATACTTTTTTACCCTCTTAACACAGAAGACAACGAAAAACTTCTTTCATCTAAAAAAAAAGATTTAACTCAAGTTTACAACAGAAATAATGCTGATATTTATACCTCCCTGTGTTATGTACTCATTATTAAGATAATGCCTTGTCAAGCCATGCACATTCTTAAACATGGCTGCCATGACTCAGTTATTCTGGAATCCTGCATTTATCGTACCCTCTACCAGGGCCACAGATTGATTTTTCACAAGATATTCACAGATATGTCTTTAGATAAATATATGGTCATTTTACTATCTCTGACCCTGTGCTGAGAAATCTAGGTTGATTACATGGCTCGTAATTGTTTGCAAAACTGCTCAGGCACTAGCTGCCATTTAATAGACATGACCAAGTCCCTTTGACAACAATCAAGACAGTTAATTGATCTGATTTTAATCACTTGCACTTTTGCAACAGATAAAAATAGCCCCTTGTGAATAGCATCTGACTTCAGATTGAAGTTAACTGAGGAATCTCCTGTAGCAGTTCCCTACAGAGTGCTTACAGTGTCATCTGCGCGCATGCAGATTTAATTGCTTCCATCTGGCCAAAAATTACAGGGTGGCTTTTGGTAATTTTTTCTTTAATATCTGCCACCCTGGTAGAGGGAACATTTATCATGGGCTCATCAAAGTGGACTCATTTTGATGGGTCCAAGATTTTATCATTTAGCCATCTTGTCACTGTGACTTGTTATTACCTGTTATGTGAGCTTTGAAGGTTTATGTTTAGTGAGTCCTGAAATATCATAGAAATGACTTCAGTTATTATATAACTACATAATTAAGAACTGCTGGATTGTATTTTTGTAGTTACTCTGATCATTGCAGTGCTTTTTGGATAGAAAAGGATGGGTTGCTTTTTTTTCACCACATCAAAAGAAAAAATGCCATATAAAGTAATCAAAATACATGATATTTTTGTGTTCAAAGGGTTGTAATTTTTTATCAGTTTTTATACAGGTTATCCATTTTGGGTATTGCTTTAATGATGTACATTTGTGCCGTACTCAGTATTGTAAAAATTGTGATTAAATGTGAGTAAATGTTCAGTCCATGTTTTATTTTTAATTTGGAGACATCAAAGTCTGAAGACATTTTGTTGTATAAGCCATACCAAAACAGGTGCAACCAGCAATTGAAACATACAACTACATATTATATTTTGTCCATATATATATATATATATATAAATCCATCCACTTTCTTGACAATTTTGATCCTTTGTCTACTTTGCTACTAATTTACATGTTTCAAATTTACACATTTTATTTTGTAAATGAATATTTAGAACAATATTTGTTGTACATATTTTAAAAGATCTAAGAGATGCCATATAATTTGCTGATTTTTTTTATCATGTAAATTCATGATTCCTTGATTTCAGTAATTTGCTTTCAGGATGTTTTATATATGCTCCTTTTTCCTGTTATTAGTTCTTGAGTATACTTTTTTCAATGTTTTTCTTCTGCTCAATGTAATTTCAAAGGGACAAATTCATTTCCATTAATTTGCTCCTTTATTTAGTAAATCGGGAAAGATATGTTACTTACCATTTTAATTTATTCCAATTTAACTCGACTTTTTGTAATCATTTAATGAATAAAAGATAAATGGTACTGTGAGAAATAAAACATGAGAAAGAGAACATGAGACAGCGTGCTTTATTATTATTTCATCAATATCAAAATGATTATTTGTAGAAAAATACAAAATATTGATGCACCTAAGCTTCAAAAACTAATAATGTAATACTGCATGATCCTAGTGACCAGGGAAAGACAACAATTAACTGATGGATCATCAAGTTACTTTTGATTTTGTAAAATGCATTTCATGTTTTACAATTTATATAAGTATGGTAAGATATCACAACCATTTAAAGTCACCAGAATTTCTTAGATCCTTTCTTAAAAAATTACATATCAACACAATAGTTGCTTCCAGAAAGAATGGATGAAGGAATGCCTGAGGAAACTTCCATGTGCTCTGTTATGAAAACAGAAAAGTGTTTATTCATAATATTGTGAAAACTAATAATTGCATAAATATTTTAAAATAAATTAGTTAATCAATTGGGGTTGATGTAACATACTAGTGACTGTAAGTTAAAGTCCCCACATAGAAATAATCAAGACAAATATCCTACTGGAACTTGCAACAGGAATCATCTGAATACGGCTTTAAAAAACGACAAGAAAAAAATTTAATCAATTAATTAATAATGATAAAAATAATAAGTTAATGAATGAATGAAATTATTAATTTATACTGTGCCATTATGTATGTTCTATCTACTTCTAGCTATCTCTTACTTTCTTGTAAAATATCAACATTAACATACCAATAATATACTTCATTCTAAAAAGATTTTTAAAAAATGTATCATTCATATGCATACAAATGCTTGTACAAAATACACCCATAAAAAAGATATTGATTAGGCTAAAAATCCTTGCTATCTTCTAATAATCATAAATAATCTTCAAAATCGTTGTCAGTCAATTTTGGAGATTTTGGCACAAATTTCTTCAGGAAGTCCTCATCAGATAAGGCAAGAGGCGGAGGGGACTTGGACCTTGGGGCATTTGTGCTTTCCTCTTGACCAGTCATCGACCTTGACCCATTTCTAATACCAAGGTCAGTGGAAATGAGGTCAGTTTGTTTGAGAGGTGTGTCTGGAAGCGGGGAACGATCTCTTTGGTGAGACGTCCCAATTTGTGTGCGGTCCTGAGCCCGAGAATCCCTTGTTGGAGAGAAAGCACGCCTACTTCTGCTGTGCTGTGGCAAGGATTTTCTCACATCCTGCCTTGTGGAAGACCATTCTCCGTCTCCTCTTTCATCAACGAGGAGTTCTCTAGTGTCTCTTTGGTACTGCTGTGAGCTTATACCCATGTCACGAGTTGGAGGGGTTTCTATTCTAACTCTTTTCTTGGCAGTGTGTCTTGGACTGCCCCTTGGTTTAGAAGTGCCAGCTGCTGCTGCCTTCTCCTAGGATCAAAAAAGAGTATAATGTTAGCCAAATGAAATTAGAATGTAAATTGAAATATGGATTATGTAAAAAGCAGAAATGATAATTCACCTAATAACCGCTTGTCAACGAAGACCTTCAAAATTTTATTATCTCTCTCACAACAGGGTATGAAATTCGTATAAATTTAAAGCCGGACAGCAGGGCTGGCAACTTTGAAAAGTAGCGAGCCCTGACCAAAAGTAGCCAGTCCTGATTTTTTTGAAAATTACCTGATTAAACCAACTGCAGGCAAGAACAATATTGAAACAAGGACTCCTAGTCTCAAAGTGAATTTATTTAAGTAGATTCTTCACTGTCAGCATCTGAAACCTTAAGCTCTGAACCCAAATCGGAAGTCTGATTCACTGCATGTGACTGTCATAATCAGAGTCTAGTTTAAATATATGAATTAAATAAAAGCAGACATTAAAAAAATTCCCCTTCTTTTTATTTAAATTCTCATATTTTTATTAATTTTCTTCCTTACATCAATATCACACTTTTGACAGCATTGCTAATTTATCAAATTCCAGCACTAAATTTTGAAAGTTCTGTAAGTAACACATGTGATGCTAGTCATTATATAAAACATCTTACAAAATTTCAGGTTATGCAAATAAACATTATTTCAACAAGATCTTCAGTCCCAAAGTTTGACTTTCCATTTTCTAATGGTTGAGAGGGGGTTGGGTGCAACACATTTGATTGACAGGCAGTATGTTGCCTTGACAACAAACTAGATACATCCAGTTCATCCAGTCCAATCTGGCTGTTGTACCCAGTACTTGTGTTTCTATTTTAGGAACGGTTTATTACTGAGCACGTAGATTTAAAACAAATGAATAGGCCTATTCAGTAGTCAGCCTGTTATGTGAATAAATTTTGTCTTGTGAAGTTCTGGAAGGTGTTCACTTTCATAATTTGGCGGTAAGTTTGCTTAGACTTCATTTTGGGACCACGTGTTTTGTACCAATGTAGGTCACTCTTTCTTATAAAACATAACCTGTCTGTCGGACAGCCCACCCTGCAAATTCACATTTCCGAACTGAATTTTTACCTGTGGAGCCCTGCTTTGGTGTCATCATACACTTTATTTGACTGTCTGATATCTTCCTGTGTTCTTTTCTTACGTGCTGGGGCATCATATTCATTTAGCACCAAAATACTTAGGCCTACAGAGGGTAGACTGCGAAAGGAATAATCCTGATTGCGGAATCTTGTAGTCCTACAGTCCACGTGCGTCGTGACTTCATTAAATTAATTTTTTTATGAGAAAGACATCGTACAATTACAATTACAGATTACAGAAGAATCAAAACTTAAACCGCGTAATTAGACGAGATTGTGTTGTTCTGAACTTGAACGACCACACATTGTTCGTTATTTGTCTCGTAAACAAGCATATAAATGCCGCGTTTGATACTTTGTATCAGACGTTTCATAACACGGTGAAGGCAGTGAAGGGTCTTTGCGCAAGGCATGACAGGAAAAAGGTGAAACAAGCATGTATGACCTACTTTCGGTTTTCGTTCATTTGTTTCAAGTGTCGATTTCTTGAAGGGTGAGCTTCATTGTTTTCGTTTTATTTCAACCTAATCTGCTTAATATGAACGTGCATATTGACATACAATTATTTTAGAGGCCAGAAAATCGCCAGACCGACAGACTGACAACTTTTGGAAAGAGACCGCCCGGGTGATAATTGAGCCGTCCCGGGCTGCCGGTCGGTCCTTATTTCGTACCCTGCTCACAATCATACACACTTATTTACTTTAGTATGGAAGCTGCTTGGCTTTTCATCAAGTTCACTTCTCAATGAGGTAAGAGTGCCTTGGAGTCTGAAACAAGAACACTAAAAATAATTATAATATTGAAACATAAATCATAAATGATAAACAGTAAAAAGCATTATGCCAGTCCCTTGTAGGGGTTGTCGGTCATTTCAACATCAACCTCTGATATCCACATATCCCAATGTTCAAAATATACCAAATTACAAGGTTTCTTTTCAAGTCGTGTTTATAAACGAAATTGTTATAAAATAAACAAGACAAGCTGATTAATATCTATTTTTTTCAATCTAATATTTGCTGAACTTGTTTTTATCAGAACATAGATTTAAAACACTATTATTACACAGTTGTTATATTAAAAGGTATTTGAAATGCGGGTTGTAGTAACAATAACATTTGCTATTTAACAACTAGCCCCTGATGCAATTTTTTTTTTTTTTTTTTTTTTTTTTTTGCAACATTAGTACCAATCTAACAACAACTTTTGGGCATCAAGATGGTATGATCTACAACACCTGGCGTATCGTTCATGTATCCTTTGCCTCTCTCTGTCCGACTCCTGTAAATATACAACATGTATTGTTATATCTGTTGTGTACTTTTTCAAAATTATAATTTCCATGTGTATTATATTGAATCACAATTTTTGTAGCTTACAATCAAGCTTTAAATAAAATGTTGACCACTATGTATGTACCTATGATATGACCATGATAATAATGACATGAAGAAGCCATGTTTTTAGTGTTTTTTTTAAATGTGAATAATCATTTCAAATGTACACCAAATTTAATGAACATGACAAGTCATATCACGACAACTGTTAAGAATGGCTTCAGGAAAGCTTCTTAACTTTGAAAGGCAAATTCCATAGCTTTCTTGGTATTCATGACAGAGGATTTGAAATTACGGCTGCCCTTAAGCAATAAAATTACACAATAATCAATATCTATTCTTTTAAGGTGTTTAATTTTAACCCTATGTATCCTCTTTTTACTAAGTATGCTTTAATTTTGCCATTTGCCTATGTGTTTGGTATAGCAAATGACAAATCGGTAGTAAGTGCTTTTGCTAAAATCCTGAACAATACTACCAGTCATTTACTGACTTTTTGCTAGGTAAAAATCCTGCTATACCTTCATTCCCTGCATCTGATCCAGCAGTGTTTCCATTTCCAATCTGGTCTGAAGTTCCTTTTCCCTCTGGTCATCCAAGTGGTCAGTGAGGTCCAGCACTTTCTCCTCCAGCTCTGACACTATCTCTGCCTTTTCTCTCTCTTTCTTGGCAATATCTAAAATAACAATAAATTATAATTTGCAAACTTTATTCAGTTTTGGCTTATGTTTGTCATCCTTAAGTTAATTTTTTAAATTTTCAATAAATTTATGATCCTCTCATTATTAGTTTTTAATTAGTTATTGGTAGTTTTCAGTCACACACCACAGTTGTTAAATCCCTAGCATGCTCTTTAAAAAGAACAGGCATGACTGGAGCTAGAAAAATTACATTATAAAAAAGAATGGTGTTGTGCATTTAGTTAATCAAAAGGACTAATCTGACAAAATACAGCCAAACTACTAAGGATATAATATGATTTTAAATTCAGTCAATTTAATTGATAAGGATAAGATGCAGCCATCACTATCTTACAGGACGTAACCTGTCCTTATCACCTACTTTGGTTTTTAGAGTCCAGTCTGTCAATCACGTCTCTCTGTTTCCTGATCTCAGACGTGAAAAACCGTCTGTCTGCCTCGCTGGTCTCAAGGGACTCCTTCACCTCTCTACGCATCTTGCGCTCTCGATCCATGCGATCACGAATCTCTGCACGCAGCCATTGGATCTTGCTCTGTGGAGAGCCCAGGAACAGGCATTATGATATATATGGATATCCATTTTATATTGAAGAAAACCATTCCCATACAAACACACTAACAATATGATTTGATTGCAAACTACTAGATCAAAGGAATTTGGACGACTGAACTATTAGCAATTTCTAAATACACATAAAATATTATTTGGAAGAAATAGTGATATCTAACTATAAAACATTTAAATTATTTATATTAAAAATATATACATTTCCATACTTTCCACTCTGCCAGCCACTTGTGTACACTGGTGCCACCTGTTGACTGCTTCACTGGAGAAAGTGCCTGGTAGCAAGAGGTGAATCAAAGTAATATTCAGATTTTTAAAAATCTGACACAATGTCACCACCATTACCTTGTATAACTTCTTTTAATAGCAATACCCAGCAAAAAAACAACACATCAAACAGAGATTTACAGTAAACTTAAAAATAGTCTTAAACTTTTTAAAATGTACTGTTAATAAGTTAAACACAGGACACAGATTTTCAACTTACCCTGTATTTCTCTACACAGTCCTGGGAGGCCACATCCACCAGGGAGTCCAGCTCTGTGCTCATGGTATGCAGGAGGTCCTGAAAATCATTCACAGATATTATATGCATTAAGAAATAGAACTAGTTGCAGATTCTGAAATTTACCACCTATCCTAATACGACTTGACAAGGAAGGATGATGAGATGAATGAAGTAGACCTTGGTTAATAAAGCATTAAAAAATTATCTGTGTAGAGTACTTCATGCCAAAAAATCAACTACTCACTGCAACTGAAAACTTGAAACATAAAATACATAAAACATTGAAAGAAACACAAATATTGCTTCCACAAACTCTAACCTCTAGCTCTCTCTCAAGCTTCCTGCTGATATCCTTAACCTGAACTAACTCTTCTTCTAGTCGCCGCACTCTGCAATTAACACAGTTAGTTATGATAAACAGTTTAATTTCCCTCCACAACAGACCTCACCATGACAGAACTGATCGTTCTAGACCTCACCATGTCAGACCTCCCCATTACCCATGTACCTTAATTCTTCATTCAGGACATCCACAATTCCTTCAGATTGCGATTACAAGTACTATAATACTGATATACATTAAAATACATTTTATAATGTTGACTACTACAAAGGTGACATTTTGTGTAGTGTATCTGCACCTTATACTCTCCTCATCTGCAGTCTGAGCTTTTGATTCATATTCCTGTTTAGCTCTCTGGTACTGGCGCTTCACCTTGGCATTCTCCTCTTCAAGTCTGAAAACAAGAGTGCACATCCAAAACTGTGGAGAAAATTACAATCTATAAACCTTAACTCTACAAGCATGAAACACGGTATGTCTGGAAAAAATATAATCTGAACACAGATGTAAAAGCACAAGATAGGATGATCTTAATCCACAAACTAGAATTTTACTTCAAACATGGACAGCACAAGCCTGTTTCTCTCTTAAAATATTTCAGGTTTTGAAAGTGTATTCCAACTATTTAAACATTGCATGAAAAGAGGCTATACATATCCTGGTCATATCAAAATACTTTATTATTTGGGAGAAAATACAAAAGAATAAGTAAACACAATATCATAATAATATATAAAAAATATAGTAGCTGGTCTCTAAGTCACAGCCACTTCATTCTTACCTCACTAGTTCCTCATGCAGTCTCTCCAATTCTGCCTTAAATTTTTCTTCTTGTCGTTTAGCTAGCTTCACCTGGGACTTTTCTTCAGAAATAGAAATCTAAAAGTATTGTTAAATCTTTCTCTTAACTGTTGTTGGTAGTGCTACTTTTAAACTGTGCAAACTTTCAGATTTATTTTTATGTTTACATATATGTTTACATATAATATTCGATATTCAATCCATTATTTAATCCATTATGTATCCATAAACTATATTCTGTGGCAAACAAAAAAATGTAAGGGCAGAAAAATAACAATAAGGTAATAACTTACTACATTAAACATAATGGAATAATAACAGTTTCCAATACATGTTTTGTTAGTAGTGCATACAAATTAAAATGTTAATCCAGAATGAATGACTTCATGTCAGACAGTACAGCTTAGTGAGTAGCTAAAATGATAAATCTTGAAAACATAAAAATATTTGAATGAATAAGTCTTTAAAAATGACTCATTATTACCATAATTCCATTTTTTATCATCCATACTTCACAGCATCCATGCTGTACCAGCCTTACCTTAAGCCCCTGTATTTCTGCCTCATGCTCAGTTTGATCACGTTTTATCTTCCTGTTTAGATCCTGTGTGGTTTTCATTTCCCTGCTCTTGCAGTCTTCTAGTTCACCTTTAAGCTGTTCCACAAGATGGATGTGACTTTCTTTTTCCTGGAACAATCAACATGGGTTGTATAAATATTTTAATGAAAAGAAAAACCGAATCTCTATTCCTGCATCACTTAACAAATGGTAACACATAGCAAGCACTAGTTGAATAAACAAGGTCATCCTTGAAGAGCAAAAGCTTTGTTGGTACAGGTTATGTACATTTTTGTTGACTCTTATCAATTAAATAGTGTGGGATATAATTTTCTTTCAACTATATTTCTGTTGAACATTTTATCAATTCTCACCTCTCTAATCTGCCTGGACAAGGAGTCTATCTCTTGCCTGGCTAGTGCTTCACTGTGCCGGAACTCAGCAAGTCTTTCCTCCAGCATCTGCCTCTGTGTGGATTCCTCTGCCAGCTGAGTGCCCAACTCTATACGCTGCCTGTCAATATCCTTAACTTCTTGCTGTAAATTCAGGTAGACATCTTAGACGGTTGTATTAAAACTTATGGTTATGGTTCAGACCAATACATACTTTATTTTTTAAAGTGGCCTACTAAGAATTCATCTTGAACAGAAATAGAATTTTTGAGGGGAATAAAGCTCTTTTTTGAAATGGGCCGTAGCTCAGAGTTGGAGACTACTTATCTTACAGTATGAGATTACACAGTACCCTTTATCTGATGTACCTGTAATTCCTGAATTCTATCCTGTGCCACCATATGTGCCGCTTGTGATGAGGACAGTTGTTGGTCAAGCCTGGCATTGTCTTCACTGACCTTACTGTGCCTGGACTGAAGAGACTGAAGCTCACCTTCAAACTGAAACAATAACAGAGCAGACAAAATGTCTTTTTTTAATCTGGACAAATGAAGAAGGTTTTGTATACATAAGCATTGGTACCTTTGTTGGCAGACAAAATATCTCCAAAAGCTCTCCACAAATTTTGTTGAAATTTTCAGAAATGTTATTTAGGAGGGAAAGAAGTGACTTCAATTTCAGGTGAATGCAGGTCTCGTAATATTTTTAAAAGACATTTTGTATTATAGCAGCCTTAAACTGAGAAAAAAAATCAAAGAAATTAGTTAGACTGTTGTTTGAAGAAACTATTATTGTAACTATTAGTAACAGTCAAACTTACCCTATCTATCACATGCCTTGCTTCTCTTAGCTCCTGAGCCAGCTCTTGATTCTGACCTTTCAGCTGCTCCACCTACAGTTAACACCAGAAACTAAGCCAAGCACAATGTATCATCAATCTAAGCTGTATCCACAGCCATGTGAAAAATACAAAATACCACAGACTCTGACTTATAACTTGAATTAACATTTTTTTTTCTCAACTAAATCTTGTAATTTTCTCTGCTATTAGCTAAAATTAACATGAACATCATTTAGACTGAATTTTTGAGTAATTCATATAAATATTCAGGTCTCAAAGTGTCCAAGTGTGTGACATCTACTGTATTTCTAATCCAAAACTTTTAATCTCTTATATTTGAATAGCCACATGTACATCTATTTATCCAGAGAGTTAAAAAGTAACTAAAATAACATAAAATAATCAAACAGGGATGCAACAATCTGTTTTTTGTCCAAATTGTGATTCTTAGAAATTCATTTGGTCAAATGTTTATATATGCCTGCAAAGTTTCCTTGCTTTACTTGCCTCTAGGTCTCGCAGTCTTAATTTTTCATCCTGCTGAGCTCTGATTTCCTACAAAACAAAACAAAATATTTGTTATGAAAAAAAAAGTTTACTTTTGTCTCAGTAAGAAAAATTCTAACTTCTATGAATCTTGTAGGTTGACTTAATAACTTAGTTCTGTTTAAGGACGAGAAGACATCTTTTCATTAATATAGATATCTTCTTATTAACAATAATATTTCATTTTATAATTCCTAGTCTTAAAAAAGATTCTAGCTAATAAAAAAATCTACATGATAACAATGATATTATAGATACTTCCAATTACTTACCAAAATGTCCGCCATCTCCCTCCTGAGGTTCTGTACCTGGTTGCTCCCTGTATTAGCCTGAGATCTGGTGCCCTCCAGTTCCTTGGTCAGCCTCTCATTTCTCTCTGACATCTGTTCTGCGCTGCTTTTCTGCTGCTCTACCTCCTTCTCGAGGCGTTTACACTTGGCTTTCCATCTGGAACACAACAACTTTTGTATTATTATTATTATTATTATTATTATTATTATTATTATTATTATTATTATTATTATTATTATTATTTGTATTGAGTCAGCCTTGAGATTGGGATCCTTTGATGAAGGATCTAGACAACATGCCTCATAGGTAAAAAATATAAGGTCTCTTTAGAAATGATTCACCTTTTTCAACCAACATCTGTATTTATCATCGTCATTTCCTGGTCAATATTATGGCATTGACCAGGGACATTTCACTTTCACGCTTTTCATCTCAAATATTCTACATAACATCCGAGACTCAGCCATACTGTTCAGAAATCTTTAAAACTTAATAAGGATGATAATTATAATGTGTTTTTAAAAAAATTAACAACACAACTGATTTAAATGTTTAGATGCAAAGTTGAAGAACTTGATGGACAACACAAAATCAAAACAAAATTCTTAGATTGTGAGCAAATGGGACTGGAAAACAAAAATTAAATTAATGTCTATTAGTTGTGTTTGCTGCATGTAGTGTGAATTTGAAATTTCCAATTGAATTTGAGGTCAACTTGCCACAAACCAAAAAATATGGGGGTCATTACTGCAATCACCGTGTCAGATAGTGACTCTTTAACTTTTGCTTACAGAAGCCTTGTGTGATAACCAACAAAACTCACAATTTGATATTCTCCTGTGCCCTAGATTTGAGTTCCTCCTTTTTTCTCTCACTTTCAGTCAGTTTCTGCTCTGATTTCCACAGGTCAGATTGATACTGTTCAGCATCTTGTGTCACATCTCTCAGTTTTTTTAATGACTCCTCTAACTGAATCAAAGTCTGATGTTTTTGTTTTTCTAGAGAGTCATTTTTCTCAGAGGCCTCCCTGAGCTGGTTGACAAGCTTGGCTGTATTTTTGTCTTTACTCTCCAAATCTTTGGTAAGCACCTGAAAAATGTTAAAAGTTGAAAATATCACTGTATTTTTGTCTTTACTCTCTAAATCTCTGGTAAGCACCTGAAAATGTCAAAAGTTTAAAATAAGATTAAAACATTTCTGTTCCTATTGGACAAAATAAAGGTAATAAAAACTGAATTCCCTTTTGAGTACAATAAACAGATTGCTTCTATACCTCTAAATGGTCTGTTAACTGCTGCCTTTGTCTCTCACTCTTGCCAAGAGTTCTCCAGAGCTCATCAATTTCATCTGCTCCAGTGGATCTACTTAGCTGCCCTCTCAAGTCTTGGATCTCTCTCTCTAGTTCTCTTCTCTCCCTTTCTTTTTCTTCTTCCACTGTATGAGAATAAAGATTAGATGTAATCAATATTCCAAGAGCTGTATATGATGGAGAAAATATAAGCTTCAGTGCAAATTAATCTAAAGTGAGCCTTAAATCATTCGTTTAGATTTCATCAAAAATACTTTTAAATTGATAACTCAAATGTTCATATACAAAAGTTTTGGCCACCTACCCTCTCTCTCTCTCACATACACCATTTTGCTACTCACATGTTTTTCTTTTTCTCCTATCTCTCTCCTCCGATTCTCTCTGTTGCAGTTCAAGCTGAGACTTATGGAAAGAACGCTCTTCATCTGCTCTTGCCAGTTGTGTGCGCAACTCATCTACCTGATACAACAATACATAAATTCAATGCAAAAATGTGAGCATGTACTGTTGGTAACCAAAATGAAATGAAGTTTAAATAATGAGTGTATGTAAATGTTACAAAAAAAAAAAAAAAAAAAAAAAATGCCCACTGTTTTTTTCTACAAATGCAGTTTTGTTCTGATATATGTATATATAATTAACAGTGCAAACCAAAAGAAATATTAAGTCATTGATCTGTTCCAGTATGTGCATTTATTACAACAAGCTTCCTGTATGCTATTCTTAACTAAAACATTTCAGCTAAAATTCACATCAAAATTTTTCAATCAGATGAAAGTAGACCTCAGTTAAATCATTCAGAGCTAACTTGGCCTTACAGTCAGAGAACAGAGAGAGACTTGAAGGTACCTGTTGCACAAGAGCATTCCGTCCTCCTTCTGACTGATCAAGACGCCGTCTGACATCCTGGAGTTCAAATTCAATCTATGGAAATAAACATATCATGCTGACTTACATATATGAAGTTTCTTAATCACAANATTATTATTAATATCATTATTATTATTATTATTATTATTATTATTATTATTATTTGTATTGAGTCAGCCTTGAGATTGGGATCCTTTGATGAAGGATCTAGACAACATGCCTCATAGGTAAAAAATATAAGGTCTCTTTAGAAATGATTCACCTTTTTCAACCAACATCTGTATTTATCATCGTCATTTCCTGGTCAATATTATGGCATTGACCAGGGACATTTCACTTTCACGCTTTTCATCTCAAATATTCTACATAACATCCGAGACTCAGCCATACTGTTCAGAAATCTTTAAAACTTAATAAGGATGATAATTATAATGTGTTTTTAAAAAATTAACAACACAACTGATTTAAATGTTTAGATGCAAAGTTGAAGAACTTGATGGACAACACAAAATCAAAACAAAATTCTTAGATTGTGAGCAATTGGGACTGGAAAACAAAAATTAAATTAATGTCTATTAGTTGTGTTTGCTGCATGTAGTGTGAACTTGAAATTTCCACTTGAATTTGAGGTCAACTTGCCACAAACCAAAAAATATGGGGGTCATTACTGCAAATCACTGTGTAAGAAAGTGACTCTTTAACTTTTGCTTACAGAAGCCTTGTGTGATAGCCAACAAAACTCACAATTTGATATTCTCCTGTGCCCTAGATTTGAGTTCCTCCTTTTTTCTCTCACTTTCAGTCAGTTTCTGCTCTGATTTCCACAGGTCAGATTGATACTGTTCAGCATCTTGTGTCACATCTCTCAGTTTTTTTAATGACTCCTCTAACTGAATCAAAGTCTGATGTTTTTGTTTTTCTAGAGAGTCATTTTTCTCAGAGGCCTCCCTGAGCTGGTTGACAAGCTTGGCTGCATTTTTGTCTTTACTCTCCAAATCTTTGGTAAGCACCTGAAAAATGTTTAAAGTTGAAAATATCACTGTATTTTTTATCTTTACTCTTTAAATCTTTGGTAAGCACCTGAAAATGTCAAAAGTTTAAAATAAGATTAATACATTTCTGTTCCTATTGGACAAAATAGAGGTAATAAAAACTGAATTCCCTTTAGAGTACAATAAACAGATTGCTTTCATACCTCTAAATGATCTGTTAACTGCTGCCTTTGTCTCTCACTTTTGCCAAGAGTTCTCCGGAGCTCATCAATTTCATCTGCTCCAGTGGATCTACTTAGCTGCCCTCTCAAGTCTTGGATCTCTCTCTCTAGTTCTCTTCTCTCCCTTTCTCTTTCTTCTTCCACTAGAAGAGAATACAGATTAGGTGTAATCAATATTCCAAGAACTGTATATGATAGAGAAAACATAAGCTTCAGTTAAAAAAATTCAAAGCATTAATGCAATCTAAAGTGAGCCTAAAATCATTTGTTTATATTTCATCAAAAACTTGGACTGATAACTCAAATTGCCTTTAATATGTTCAAATACAAAAGCTTTGGCCACCTCCCCTCTCTCCCTCACATACACCATTTTGCTACTCACATGTTTTTCTTTTTCTTCTATCTCTCTCCTCAGATTCTCTCTGCTGCAGTTCAAGCTGAGACTTATGGAAAGAACGCTCTTCATCTGCTCTTGCCAGTTGTGTGCGCAATTCATCTACCTGATACAGCAATACATAAATTCAACGTAAAAATGTGAGCACGTACTGTTGGTAAGCAAAATGAAATGAAGTTTGAATAATGAGTGTATGTAAATGCTACAAAAAAAAAAAAAAAAAAAAAATGCCCACTGTTTTTTTCTACAAGTGCAGTTTTGTTTTGATATATGTATATATAATTAACAGTGCAAACCAAAAGAAATATTAGGTCATTGATCTCTTCCAGTATGTGCACTTATTACAACAAGCTTCCTGTATGCTATTCTTAACTAAAACATTTCAGCTAAAATTCACATCAAAATTTTTCAATCAGATGAAAGTAGACCTCAGTTAAATCATTCAGAGCTAACTTGGCCTTACAGTCAGAGAACAGAGAGAGACTTGAAGGTACCTGTTGCACAAGAGCATTCCGTCCTCCTTCTGACTGATCAAGACGTCGTCTGACATCCTGGAGTTCAGATTCAATCTATGGAAATAAACATATCATGCTGACTTACATATATGAAGTTTCTTAATCACCACGTTACCTACGTTTTACCACTTTGATAAATGTCTACTTCTAAGCAATGACAGGAAAAACTAAATATTGGTAAAGTTAAAAAAAGTTTTAGCTAGTTTTAAATAATCGGTTTTTGCTAAAGAAAAATGAGTTTTATAGAGATATTAAAATCAAAGCAACAAAATTTAGGGTACAAATAATATAATTCACATGACTTATTCAAATTAATTTCTCTGTCTCACCTGAGTTTTTTGTGATTCTGCCCTGGCCAGCTGACCCCTGAGATGAGATTCTTCTGAAGTGGAGGAACGTAATCTTTGTGGACTTCTAGATTGCTGCTGCTGCTGTTGTTGGATTTTTTGCAGAATTCTTTGTTCTTCCAGTGCCTGTTATGAAGACAAACCGAAAACATAACATATATACCTACTCTAATGTATGAATGGAATAATTCATCAAATGTCAATAAATTTACTAATATATTGCATTTTCTATTTCAACTAGCAATCAAATACTAAATTTTTTGTCTTTTCTTTTTTCTTTTTTAGTCAATTTTTAATTTAATCTCACTTGTTTAAGATCAGAGGATATCTGCCCCACTTCCTCTTGCCTCCTGTCCAGGTATTTCCTCTCAGATCTCAACTCACTGCGGAGATCATCCAGCTTTCTGTCAACATTTCTGCCCACCTGAAAGAACAGCAGAATGCCAATGATACATATGCCCCCAGTTAGCCCTCTGAGTTTCAGAATCTCTTTGTCACAATGATTATCTTCATTTTACATGAAACCCTTATATCTATTTAAAATAAATAAAATAGGCCAAAACAGTTCACTCACTGGTTCTGCAATTTGTTGTCTCAGACTCTGTGAAAGTTCACTGAAGGCCCTCCTGTTCTCTGCTTCACTTCTAAAAATGGAAATTATATATTCAGACTATGAGCTGAAAGGTGTGCAGAAAGCAATAACCATTGAGCACTCAAATAATTGATAATGCCACAAACATGCATACACAAAAATGTATGCAGTCAATAGCAGAGGTAATATAATCATGTCAAATGTGCTGAGTCATAAATATATCCACATTTAGTTGCTGAACGTGGCAGTCACAGCTATGATTTTCAACTTAATGTAATACAGAAATGTATTCTTATGCCCTAAATTATGACACCAGTGCTGTTTTACCACAGGTGAGCGAAATATGTACTAAAATACAAGTGTTTCTACTTGTATGACAATATATTTTACAGTGTCCTGTAGGAAAGAAGATCTTTGTTGTAGGCCGAATACCTCCTATATATATGGGAATATCAGTTCTGTGTACCTGTTTCTCCTGAGTATCTCCCTGTTCATATCCTCCCCCAGTCGTGCCTGGTCACTAGTGATGTCCCGCAGAGACTGGTGAAGTTCATGGAGGTGATCTGCTGCATCCTCATCGTCTAGGAATCGAACCGTAGACCTCCCTCTCTGGCGCCTCCGTCTGGTTGGGTAATCTGTGTCACTGACCGAGCGCTGTCAAGAAAAAAAATAAGGAAATTAAAACTTCACATAAAAAATTGCATTTTAATGGGTTCCACGTATAAATCAATATGCATTGAAAGTATGCATTGAAAGATCATTTAAATCTTTATTGCTCAGATACATTTCAACTATTTTCTTATTCCCCATTAGAAAAATTCAATTTTTCTTTATCTTTCAATCAATCCCTCTATTTTTTTTTACCCTGTAATCTCTAAGTGGAGTTGTTGGTTCTCTTCTTCTTTCTGGTAAATGAAAAGAAAACAATTATCACGGCTACATGTATACACTATCTGTTATCCTCAGAATCTTTCAAATTTGAATTGAATCTTTATGAATACATACATCTTCATTTCCTTAATATATTGTTGTATTGCCATCAGCAAAAATTTATCATTATTATTTGTTTATTTATTTATCTATTTTTTTATTATTATTATTTTTTTGCGTTTTTTGCATTGAATGATATAAAATATTGGTTCGGTTAAAAAGGTTGAAATGTGACTATAGCAAATCTTCTGACCTTCATAGCCTTCCTCAAGGTCACTTGCCCTCAGTGTGGGTTGACTGGTCAATGTTGCTGACCGCAACCTTTCTTCCCTCAACTGATCAGTAGTTCTGGTCAGATCACTTCGAAGCTTAAAGTTTAATAAACGCAATTTTTAAAATCAGAATCTTTATAACCCAAATTTGTATACATTCACTAACCTAAATTTTAGTCTGCCACGATATGATGTGAGATACAAGCAGTGCACTACTTGAATGAAATATTGTGATAGTTCCATGCTAAAAAAGAAATTGCTTCAGTTTTAAACCAATAGTCACGTTATCTTCGTAGAACTAAGTACTGCATGTTGAATCAAAGCGAAGGAAAATAAAGGTATTAGCCTACAAGTGAAGACGAACTTTCAGTCTGAAGTTCTTTTGCAACATGTGCAAAAACAGTGCCTATCATAAAGACATGTCATGAGCTCACCCTGTCTATGGCAGACCCCTGTCTCTGAGATACCTCCCTGTAGTCATCCAGCATCCGATCCACTGCCTTCAGGTTCCTGGTAGTATCCTAGAAAACATGTGTATGTGGATATACTCTTTTGCTTAAAAGGATAACATTTTCAACGGAAACAGGGCAGGGTGACACACATGCTGAATGCTAACAAAGACGGGGATGAGAATGATGGCAAGATGATTGACATGTTATAAATCAAAAATTTAGTCAATTTTCATATATAGTAAAAATGTTTATCATGGCAGCTTACAAAACTACACTCTGAATAGAGCCAGGGTTAACTACTAGTATATTTCAATTTTGTATGATATGTTATTATCTTATTATGATATGTTGATATCTTATTGAAAATATCAATAAATATTATGCTCTTACATCAGCTTTCAAAACAACACTTTGAATAGAGACAGAATGCAGTTGTGACATGTTACCTAATTAGAAAACCTATAACAAAAACTTTAGATTTCTTATTATAACATTTCAGTAAATTTATTTCCTGTTTAAAAGACATTTTGCTTCATCATTACCGTCATAATTTCATCATAATATGAAAAATCTTATGCACCCCAGTTTGACGTTTTTTCTCAGACTCAGGTATAATTGAAAATCATATTTCAATATTTATAACAAACAATACAGCAGCATAAGGTTGGACTGTGGAATTTGATTTGAATATAAACTGATTATTCAGTTACAAGATAAATAAAAGGAGCATAATGTGTCCTGACAATGCACAACACATTTATACTGTAGACAAAAGAATTACAAACAAAGAAAACTATGTGTTCTTTTCATAAGCAACTGTTTCCTATTTACACTAATAACAACAGTACAATAGATATTAAAACATTAACATCTGTATTCTTATTTGTTTGGGAATTTGATTTTGTGATGCTTGAAACTTATACAAATTGATCTAAACAAGCCAAAAGGATAAGCAATACATCATTACAAATTTTGTTTTATCAATTTTTGGCCAGATTTTATCATTACATCTATGTATTTTCAAATAACCTTGATAGGCATTGATTTTTACCCGACAGTTAACAATAAACACCACCATGACTAAAACACTTCACATGGAAAGACTATTTTGACTGATTATGGTTTGGTTTTAACCTGCACAACTGTCATTTTTCTTTATAAAAATGTCTCTATTATTAAAAATATTATGCAGTTTGAATTCAAAATTTTGTCTGATTAAGTTTTTGTATAGGATTTTCTCCTGAGGGTAAAAAAATACTGATGCTTAAAAAATTCTGTGGAGCAAACTAAAAAGTCTTTTTCTCTGGCTAACCAACCTTTGATCCTCTTCTCCTGCCACTAGCAATATCTCTATCAATCTGGGATAATTAAAAAGCCCTTAACCCACTTGGGTTTACCTGAAGAGTAGAGGTAAGATTATCCACTCTCGCTGAAGTCCTTCTACTATGTGATGGCACTGAAGGCAGTTGTCTTTTTCCACGTGATCGCGACCTAGTGTAAGGCCTTCTTGATGAGGACACATCTGATTCACTGGATGGGCTTGACATCCTGAAATGAAAAATAATTTTAAAAACAATTTTTTCACTACGGATCATATCTGTATTATTAGAAAGCCAGAGAGGTATACAAATGCTGTTTTTTTGTATTTTCACTGGATGAGTAGTTTCTTGACTTAAGGTCGGTTTCTTAAATATCAACTACTACCAGTACTGGTCTTGTCTCTTGTATATGAGCACACTACTCTTTGCAAAGCCACACGTGCATATGCACTTAGAAAGACAAATTAAATCTGAACAGTATATACTAGTTTTCATGGTTCCATTTCACAATGCAATATGTTTAACTAATCAGAATACGCAGTCAGTTGACATACACATTTAAGTACCTCGATTATTTTGCCGTTGCTAAAGTTGAATACACCGCCATTTTGAATCATGTGTGCAGTAAATAAGATTTGGTCTCTGATTGGTGATAATTTCACCTTCACTTGTCATAAGCACCGTCAGTTGCATTTTAGGCAAGCATATCTTTTAAGACACAAAATTTAATCATTTTCACTTAATAAATTATGATAATACCTATGTTTAGCATTATTTCTCTATGATTTCATCTAATCAGACGATAAACTGCTTTTTCTGCGGAAAAGCGGAAGTCTATATCAAAACAATAACATGTGAGCAAAGCGACTTTTGGGTAGTGCCATTCCCATTTGCTCGAAATGTCATTTTCCAGTACGAAATTATTTCAAAACATCTCAACCAGAAACGAAACTGTATGTATGTGATACATCAACAAGAAAAGGGATAAACGGTTCTCTTTTAAGTTTAATTTGTAAAATGCAGTTGGTCGAATCGTGACTTACGCTTACAGCACTCGTACTGGGGTACTGAGTACCAGTTGCAGCGCAGCAAACTTGAAAGGTGTGAAAGAGGCGGAAGATGGGATGAAAGAAAATCAAAGTTACTTTTGTGGATTCACCAAAGGAAGGTAAGTGTATCTGGTATGCTGAAGATATGCAAAAGAAGGTTAAATGTATATGACGTTTTTAACAAAGAAGGCTTGGACTGTTGTTCGTGTCATCTTTGCACATGACGTTATGACGTCAAACGTATAAGGGGCGTGCATTGCGCTTCCAAAGCAACGATGTAAACATTGAAATATCAGTGATTTGGGAAATAAATCGTCTAGATGACTGACAACAATACTTAAGTGCCATCCCGGGTAAAACAAAAACAAAAATGAGCAAGAGAGAAACTTCATCTGACATATTGTCAGGTGGTCTGTCAAGAAACCCAAGTTGTTCTACCTTTCCTGCCGTTAGCCATGTGTCAGTATCAACAGCTGTAACTGCAGGCCAAATAGCAAAGTCCTGGAAGCTTAGAGCTAATGGGGGCAATGTGGTCAAAACACAGTCAATTTCCTCGACAAAAGGAAACAATGAAGGGGAAGAGCTAGAAGGACAAATTGCACAAGAGAATCTTATGAAGTTGCAGAGGATTTTTGAGGAGGCTGATGAAGATGGTGGAGGTGGCTTGGACATCGATGAGTTTAGACAAGCACTACAACAAACCACTGGCGCAGGTTTGGGAGATCATGAACTGGAAATTGTTTTCATGAAAGTTGACACTAATTGTGATGGTACCGTAGACTGGGATGAATATCTGTCATACATGTTAATGGAATATCGTGAAAAGGACAACATGAATGCCATGCTTGCAGAAAAACCATTTTCAGGTCAAATAAAGGAGCTACAGACCTCACAAGCCTCTTATTGTGATGTGATTAGTAGGGTTGATTTTTACCCACAGCTAAGTAACAAATATGGTTATGATGTAGATGCAATCGATTATTCACATGGCAGGTATGTTAGTGTCAGCCAAGAGGGAGTAGTAAACTTCTGGACATCAGATATGAAACATCAGAAATCTTGTATCTTGGAGACCACACCTAAAGGGTCAACATCCAAATGGGTCACTGATATGGTCTGTATGGCTAATGTCAACTTGGTTGCAGTGTCCACCATTGAGGAAGACATTTCTTTCTATGATCTTGTCTCAGGTAAAACTGAAAAGCATTTCAAGATAACCTGCCTAGAACACACAGTCTTGTGCATGCACTATTGGTTTGACACCAGCAATTTAAACAATGCTGTGCTTTTGTGGGGGAACAACAATGGAGATGTTTGTATAATGGAATTCAGCAACCTCATAACTAAGGGAATATTTGGCAAAGGAAACATGAAACAGAGACACTGTGTAGAATTTCTATACATGTCCTTTTTAAAGGGTCGCATTCCAGGAGTGAAGACATATCAGCTATCTAACCTTCATGCAAACTGGGTCCTGCAAGCCAAGTACATCCCAGCTTTAGAGTTTTTCATTTCATGCTGTCAGGACGCAGACACAGCCATGTACATGGGGGATTTCAGGGGGTCAAAGATAACATCCTACTTCAGAGTAAGAAAGGGAATCCTATGTTTTGATTACTGTAAGACACTCAACATCATAGTCACAGGTGGTCTGGATCACATGGTGAGAGTGTGGAATCCATATGTGACCAGCAAATCCATCATGGTACTCAAAGGTCACTCCAAGGCTGTTACACATGTGATCATTCATGACGAGAAGGAGCAGGTGATTAGCATAGCCAAGGGCAAAACTATCCGTGTATATGACCTCAAGGACCAGAGCTGCAAGCAGGTCATCCCTAGTAGGAATGTTCCTATGGGACTACATGACATCTCCTCAGTGTACTTCAACTCTAAGACACAGTCTCTTGTGCTGGCTACTACACACCTGGCCATCTTTGAAAGGAAGGAAGATGAAGACAACTACCATGAAATTACATCTCATGATGAGCCAGTTTGTGCTGCTCTCTACAACAAATTATTCCACCAAGTTGTCAGTGCATGCAATGCCTCAGTTGTAAGTGTCTGGGATATCAACGATGGCACCAAGGTGATCCAGTTTATCAATGCCCACAAGGTCGTATGCGATGGAGTGGAGACAGGGGTGGAAATAACAGCTATGACCTTTGACCCTACCTTGCGTCGTCTCATCACAGGTGCTAGAGATGGCACAGTTTCAATTTGGAACTTTAACAATGGTGCCTGTCTACGAACTCTTGAAACTTTCAGCAATGTAGAGATTAGTGGAATAGTTTGTCCTAGACAGCGGATAGTGATCACAGGTTGGAACCGTCGAGTAATCACATACCTTGATGATCGAGAAGACGAATCTTTCAAACAATGGCCAGTTAAGCATGCTGATGATATACTGTCAGTAGCTTACTATGACCCAAGCACCATAGCCACAAGTTCCTATGATGGAGACATCATCATTTGGTCTCTGGAAACAGGCCACATGTACTGTCGCCTCAACGTAAATGATGGGGTGCTGCCTCGTTCACGCAGAATAAAGCTAAAACGTACCAAGGAACTTACTGGTGATAGAAGCATGGTCAACATGAAGGACTGGATGACTTTTAACACAAGGCAGAAATCGACCATGTGTATGTACAAAGAACATCAAAGAGGAGCTAGTGGAAAGAGCGGAAGCCAAGTCAATAAAGATTTCACCCCCAGGAAGAGAATCTGCAATAAATGCGATGGAGAAATCATGATGTGGGAAAGGAAAGGAGCTGCGGAGTGCGATAAAGCAGAGAAGCTGTGCATGTGTGAGAGGAAAGAGGCTCTCATTGACAGTGATGACTCTTCGAGTGATGATGATATCAATGAGGGAGAGATTAAGGTGACAGTTCCTTCTTCCAAGGAAATACCTGTTATCAAGGTTACCACAGCAGATAGCTCAGACTCCGTATATCTTGCTCCTGCTACAAAATTGTCACCAAGAGTGGCCTCTGTTGCTGAAAAGCAGCCAACCTGTCAACGGGTAGCCTCTCCCCAAAGGCAGAAAGTCAGACGCCCATCAGTTGGTCAAGAGAAGTATGATGAATATCGCAAAAAACACGAGTCTTCTGTGGACAAACTACTGTTCCTTCAGAATCGAGAACATAATCAAGAGACAGCAACTCTTATAGCTTGTGGTGCTGAGGGCTGGGTTAGAGCGTGGTCAATTCATCACCAGGGGGGATTACTGGGTCAGTTTAATGCTGCTCACAAACCAGATGAGGCAGTGCTAGCAATGGCAACAGATAGTCAAAATGAATATCTCATCACAGGGGACACAGCAGGATACATCAAAGTGTGGGATATCACAGAGTACTGCGTTAAGAGAACAAAATGGATGGAGTCAGAAGAGTGCAGACTTGCTACAGAGAAGAGGCGAGCAAAATTTCCCTATCTCAAAGAGAGCAAGGTACCAGCAAATTTCAGGTTGCCCGAAAAACAGACAAAACCCCAGGGAGTTGTTCACCTGGCACCACCCCTCACAAGCAATCCAGAGCAAACCCTGAAGATGCCACCTCTACTGAATTCATTTAGAGGTCACTTGAAAGCAATAACCAGTATCGATTTTGTCGAAGGCAAAGATCTTCTTGTAACAGCTAGCTCTGACTGCACAGTGAGACTTTGGACACTCTGTGGACGGTTTGTTGGCACATTTGGTCAAAAGAATCCATGGGACCTAAAGGCTTCTATAACAGTCAAAGATCTGCCAAGAAATTTGCCCAAAGATGTGAGGAGAGTGGCTTCAGCATCCACTCTGAAAGTGTTGAATGCAGGTTCCAGGCCACGTTGGACCTTGGCCAGGAACATCATCTTCTTTTGGTTCTCAAAGTCCATGAGACAACACATCCTTATGAAAGACGCAAAGGCCCGTCCAATGGAAATTCAGTCTGATACATCTGTAGTAGAAGGTGTTGGCACCAGCAAAATACTTGGGAAGTCTTATAAACCCAAGCAACGCCATCATGCTCCTCACAATGTGAAAATTTCTCAAACTTCAAATCAGGTGAATAATATGTTGTTGCCATGCTGTGTTGTGTTTAAAAAAATAACAATTATTAATATTTTTGTTGGTTGCATTTTTCATCTATCAATAACTTTAAGAGTACATGAAAACAAATAAATAGGTTTTAAATAGCTGGTTAATAAAACATCCATTAATTGAATTGGGCAGGAGTGAAGTAATTTAATAAATGTTTTTTAATACAGTTTTATTCTAGATCTGTCATTTGAAAGACTATTGAAAAAATTGATTTTTTCAGGTGAGGGTTTACCATTCAATCCCGTTTACAGATCTTGAGCCAGTCAAAGAATTTGAAGTCCCACCAATTGTTCAAGAAATCAGAGAACGCAACAAGAGCATGATGTCCAACGAAAAGTCTTTTAGACCTCGAGCAAAGCGTTTGTTACAAGTTCATAGAATGCATAAACTTCTGAAGGGAAAACCCAGAACCTCTCCAATTCCAAATGAAGAGAATACAAGTGTTGGTTCAAAGCCACCAAACACAAATAATGAAAGGAATAACAAGTCCAGTGCTGAGAAACAAAAAAGTTACAGACTTCCCAAGATAAATAGTGCAATACCAGAATAATGTGCTTTGCCTTTGAATTAATGGATAAATAAACATTTCAAATTAAAATCAAAGAGTGCAGCTTGCAATATTAATTTTTAAATAATAATAAATCAAATGGACCAAAGATTCTTGTTTTGCTAATGCAAAATACTGGAGAACTTTTTTCAAGTGGTCAAATTTGACCAAAAAACAAAAAAGAGGACCTAAAAATCTACTTTAGAAATTCAGTCATTAATATGAATACATTTATTGTTGTTTGACTTTCAAAGATGTACAAAATGGTCACAACTTATACAGCAACTGTAAAAGTAACCAATACCACACCAGCATATTACAGAGATGTGTAAAAAGATTTCTATTTCCTAAAAGCATTATTTTTTTTCTAATTTTTCTTGTAAACATTTAAATCCTACTTCACCATTTTGCACCACATGTATACAATGAATTCCACAGAAAATCAACTACATTTTTTTAAAACAGCCTTTTAAATATGCATGAATTAAAAGATAAGTATTTTAAAGATATTAAATCTTCCATTTTCTCTAACAAAATAAACTTCTGACATTAAGATGAATTTCATGTATTGTCACCTAAACTCCATAAACGCATAAACTGGTATTGTCATGCTATCTATCTGGAAAAATCGATTGAATTAATAATCTGTACATCTCAAGAACCAATGAAAAATATACAATATATTTTTCAAATATGCCTACAAGGGTATAAATAGTTATATCTGATAATATTTCTTGATTATACAAAAATTTGAGATCCTCATTAAAATTGAAAAAGTACCTCTGCAGAGAAGTGGAAAGTCATTTTAAAGATTTTTTATGAAAACAAAATACATTTACAGTTATGAGTGCTGTCAACTATAGATCAGTTTTATCTTATTTTTAGCATGTAAAGAAACAATATAAAGCACATTCAGTTATTACATATCCTGAACTCAAGAAGATATTTCCAAGAAAACAAATCCAGTTCTGCAAATTGAGTTCTAACTGGATTCTTGGATTCTAACAGAATTCTGTGATGGTTTCATTTTAAATATTCTCTTCTAGCAAGCTGGCGCCATTATCTTTTTCTACTCCTCCTAAAAAATAAGACGATTTAAGATATTATGTAAACTAAGCACAATCAAATAGCCATGGTTTAAAGTTTTGATAAAACAATACTGACTGAAAACATCACCAAACATAATTATATTGATCAATGACATGAAATTTGACCAATAAAAAAGAAGGAAATACATAATCAATTCGACAACAATACTGCATGACAACAATATTACAACTTTTAATGTTATCTTAGAGGATATGAAAATTCAGGTAGTAAGTGCTTCAAATGGAATACTAGATTTTTTATCTTCTTTAGTGTTAATGTAGAACTAACTTGATGTTCCAATTTTCCGATTTTATAAAAAAAATCTTGGTAAAACAATGAGATAAAATACTGGTGATACCTCCTCACAACAATTAAAAAGTAAAGAAATAAATCTTGTGATGAGCAAGTCACTTACTTTGGGGCAGGCTCTGGCGGTATGTAACAGCTAGGGCATTCCCAGCGTCCATTAGGAATGCTACGGAGACCAACACAGAAGGTGTGATAGCCTCTATCACAGTGGTCACAAAACATCATCTTGTCCTGCAAAAATGAGGGAGAAATTGTTTCTTCTATGTCCTTCACAATGCACTATTCAGCTAACGCTTTTGTTGAATTTCTCATCAAGCCAGCAATTTCACAGAATCACATTTTTAACTAAAAAAAAGTTTCGTATTAGGAAAAATGATTTAAGACTCCATTGAAAATATTTAATTTGAAAGAGATTCACACCTCCTTTTGAGGAGCTTTCTCACATAAAATTTTTTGGTTATGATTTAAAGAAACATCCCACCATTTGCTAGCAAACTACAACTTTTAATAAATTAATGATTATTGGGTTTTCAACAATTTCCCAGCACGAGCTGACCTGAAATATTTCGTTAAATATGTTTCTTAAACCAATTTCTTTTTATATTGGCCTCAGCAATGAAGAATGCCTGAACTGCTTACTTCATCGTAAGGATCCATGCACTCCACACAAGTCTTGCATTCCATGCACTGCCAGGGGTAGGTCTTGATGATAGGAGCCATTTCAACGGTCAGGTCCAGACAACTTGGGTGACCTGTTTAAAAATCATATGCACTTAAATCGGGATAAAGGATTGGGACTACTTCAATCGTGACTGTTAGCATGAATGATAATTGCATCTGCAATGGATTTGACAAAATATTCTATAACGGAAAAAAAAAGCCATATTTGATTTCCATAACGCACAGAATAGGGGATTCTGGCTCTTTTGCAATGCTCTTCACTCAATTTCTAGAATATGATATGAATAAATCTCATAGATCATCCCAACCATTACTCAAATAAAACTTACCACATCGCTTGCACTCTGCACACATCACTAAGTCTTCGGGCTTTCCAGATTTGTTTGCTTCTGCACCACTATCACAAACATGACACTTGGCTCCATCTGGAGGCTGAAATGCCAACAATGTCATATAAAACTGACTAACTAATAGAAAATAATATGTGAAACTAAAGAGAAGACAAGCCTTTTGTGTAGGCTGTAAAGAAGGCACAACAACTAAGAATAAAAAACACACACAACTGGTTACATCACAGAGAACACACAAATATACTTTCTAATATCAAGCAAAATTAAATTGTATGAAGAATATCTCACTCTTAGCTCATCCTCATGTTTCTCCTGGCTGTTGTCTACTTCATCAGAGTCGCTGCTTCCACTGCTGCTGGACCCAGAACCAGAGCCCCCATCCTAAAAAGGACAAAAGTCAACAAGAACATGACTCAGACTGGAGCAAACAATTATAATGAAGACTAAATAAAAAACAATTTTGTAAAAAAATGTGCCAAAATGATGACAATACCCTTTTCCATTCATGCCAATATATCATACTTTCTATTATATCATAAATCTGAAAAAGTTGTAGGAAACACCCTAAAAACTTACAGAGGCAGCATCACTCTGTTCAGTGTCAGAGGCTATGCCCTCCTCTCCCTCTCCCATTGCCTTAACACACTTTGGGGGGCCATAGACCACAGTGTTCACAGGAAGATACTTCAGCTCTTCTGCGGAATACCTACAAGTACACATAACATTAGGTCATTCACAAGTTTGGGCAAAATCAAAAGGGGCATTTGAGAGAAAAGAAAGTAAGGAAAATAATAAATAACCAAAGGTCATCATGTATCTCCAACTTTAAAAAGGACACTTACCATAAAATATAAAACATCATTATATGAGTAAAGATTTGGCAATGTATTTACTATATTAACTGCAACACTAAGCACATAAAACAGACTGACTAAAAAAGACTGCATGATTCAATTCCTACATAAAATCAAACAAATATTTAAACTTTTCATTTGATAGTGGTTGCTGTTAAAAAGTTCATATTTTTTTTACCATCCATATGCACTACAAATTTTGATGTTTTGAAAACCATAAACTAACTGTTTATAATATTCATGGAACTGTCCTGGGATTAGTGCAACCGGGTATGCTGATGGTTTAGTTGCGCTTGGATCCAAAACTTTAAATTTGTTTTTGGGATAATGGACGGACTGGAATGTAATATTACAAAGATATACAAACAATATTAAATTTAGAATTCTTTACTGTTTACATATGGTAAATTCATATCTAAGTTAACTAAACGATTTGCACATCATATTACTGTGCCCCACCCTCATTAAAGCCCCCTTTACACTGGACGGCGTCCCTTCTGCGTCCAGCAGTTAGGCCCCATTTGAGAGTTAAAGAATTATAATACTTTACGTGCCGACAACTGGCCGATCTTTGAGCATTCATTCTGATACCAAATCAATTAGACCACAGCGATGCCAAATTTCATGGTCGCAGAAAGGACGCCGTCCAGTGTAAAGGGGGTATAAGGAATGAGGCTATAGTTGAATGAATTACCATGTGTCCATTTAGTAAATGTCTCTATTAATTTCTGATACATAATCAAAGCGATGAACTTAATTTGGGTAATGCAAGTGCTTCACTAAATCTTACAAATGTTTGAAGGTCAAAATATGCCTTCCTCTCCTCTCTTCTCTCTTTCATGAATTGTGCATTGAAGTCTGCAGCTGACTTGATAGCCTTTTTCATGTAGTAGTCCATTTTGTTCTTCTGTTGTTCTTGTTGCTGAAATAAAGGCAGGAAAAACATCTTGTATAATACAAAAAACATTGTTTCATGCTTTGCTAGGTTTTCACAACAGCTAAAAATGGAAATGAATCTGATGTGTAAAATTGCAATAGATACATCAAAAAAGCTTTGACTGAATACTTAATCAACTCAACCCTTCCATTTTAAGTATAAAAAATCATATTTTACATGATAATAAACTGTGGAGCATATTCAAGTTGAAAAATTCTTTGATAGACACAGCACTTAGCCAGAATGGAAAAAAATCAGTACACAAAACCCACCTCAATCAATTTTTTTCCTCTCTTCACTTATGTAAAGTCTACTGAACATTTTATATGGATTTTAAACTATAAATGTTATTATTATTATTATTATTATTATTATTATTATTATTATACCTTTGTCTGTCAATCCCACTTACCATTCCGTATTCTTTGTGTTTCTCTTTGATTCTCTGCCTCTCTCTTTGTTGTAAGACCACAAGGTACTCCTGTAGATAACCAGAAACATGAACTTATCATATCTTCCTTCTCTTTTTCCCTCCAATTCAAGACAATAGAAGACTAATCATTTCAGTGCTTTCACTGACATGTTTTTTAAAATATGTTCATCACACTAAAAATTTAAGAAATTAATAAAAAAAACTGCACTTTTGTCAAGATTTCTAACAAAAATTGTGCTCCCATTAAAAATAATTTTTGTATCAAATAAAGCGATTTTTATGAAATATCACGAAAGCAAAATAATAACAGAAATAGCTGCCAATCCCTTACTAAAACTGCCAATTTTGGCCCAATGGGCTGGTTATATTTTAAAAGTGGGTTCAAGCCATTTGTAACATTTTACCTGATACTTAGCTGGGTAGTCCTTTTGCATTAGATCACAAACTTCCTCACTCTTCAGGGGCGACAGGCCTGGTAAATATGAAAATGTTTTGTTGAAACTTACCAGAGTTTTACTGAAATCTACTACTTAAAATACAATGCAAAATGGGCATCCTTTTCATTTAGTAGCTACACTTGCTTTCCTGACTCAGATGCAGGCAGTCCCTTTTCTGCCAAGGCTTTAAAAATGTCTAGGTTGTTCAATGTAATATAACAGGGTAATATATCATACTGATACCCCTCCCCCCCCCCCCCAAATCCCAATATTATTGCAAAAATTGTGATTGTCTAAAAGTTTATTGTGTCAAACTGTTTGCCTCTGTGTGTTTCAAATAAAGATCTTACCCAGGTCGCACTGCTGCTCTGTGACCACTCCATTCTCCTTGAGATAAATCCTTTCCAGATATTCCAAGGGTCTTCTGGTCAAATCTTAATTCACAAACATATATTACCTCACCTTTTCAAAGCACTAAGTCAATATGACCAAAATCATACTGATAAAAAATATTATCACTCGTAATGGAGTTGGCAACTGGTGAATTATTACTAATAGTCAAGTGTGACACAGAAATTAAAAGCTAAGAAAATTGAAAATTTATAGATCTATAGCCATTTTCTTAAACGTTTTAGACATGTTATTTTAGGGATTTTTTTTAATTGGTTACTACTTCTCTTTTTCAGAAGGTCTAATGCTCAGTGTACACATTTAATTATTGAAGTATATCATGCAATCTTCACTGTCTTGGACAGGTTTTTCTTTCCCATGTATTATCAATGCCATTACATGATAAAATAAACTGTTAACATTATTTTCCCCTGCACCTGACATTATACTAAAATACCTATACTCTTACCTGGATACTTCCTTTTGAATGAGAGGACCTCCAAGTATTCGCTGACCTGTTCCTGCAGCATGTACCACTCCCCTGTCTTGTCCTGGGGCCACTGGTACTCAAACAGGTCATCAGCATTGAAACCTTTGGTTATACTACAAATAGAAAGATGTGGATTGAACTCAAGTGCCCCCAAATAAAAAAAAATAAAAATGCTTTTCATAACTAAAATTATAATTTTTTTCTAGATTAAAAATCATACTTACATTTAATTAAAATATTGGGATCCAAGTTTCTTCTTACATCAGTTACGCACCTTTACACCTTACTTTAAAATTATCCATTCCTTAAAAAACATCATATCTTTAATGCTTATTTTATACTAACCCCCTCAAAACCCTCCCACATTAAAAAAAAAAAACTGAGAGTATTCTGTACATAGAAGAAATCCCTGCCAGATAGCTTACTGTGCATTATCTTCAATAAGAGACACACTGCTTCTTCTTTTTTTCGCACTCTTCTTCTTGGGTTTTTTCTCCTTTCCCTCTTGATCATTATTATCTTCTGCCTCTGTGCCGACTACCGTCTCATCTCTGCTCACACATGACTCTGCCAGACTCATTTGACTGTCCTCCTCCAAGGGGAAAGCTCCAGGAATTTTTACAGATTCTTCATCCCTACTGAGTCGACTATCTTCTTCCATGTAGACCAAACCGTCAGAGTTTATGTTGGTTTTGTTTTCATCATTTTTTTCCTCTGGTTTACTAGTACTCATTTGACTGTCTTCATCTTGTGTGTAAGTAGCAGTTTGGCTTGTCACAGTCTTTTCAAGGTTTCCTGACAATGACTTTGGGAAGTCTATTTTAGAAAGGACTACAACTGGACTTTTTTGCCTATCATCAGTGGCTGGAATTTTTCCAGTTACAGGAGAAATAATGTCAACATTATCTGAAGTTACATCTGTCTTTTCAGTTTCTTTACATATTGTTTCATCTTCTTTCTGGGTAGTTTTAGCTGGTGAGAGTACTGGGTTTGTACTCATATCTGTCTCAACCAAGTTTTTAAGCTCAGTCATATCTGTATCATTGGCTTTCTCAGATACAGTATTTGTAGATTCAATATTTGCAACTTGATCTTTATATTTTGACACTTCATTGTCTTCAGTTGTGATGCTTTTAGAAACACTATCAATGTCATCACTGGGAGTATCTTCAGTATTATCAGCATTAACAGTATCAGTATTATCAGCATTAATGTCTTCAGATGTACCTGAACCTGATTCACCTTCAAAAGTAACCCGTTTGTCATCATCCCTCACTAGTTCTTTTGTATCTTCAGTGATAAATTTAGTATTAGGAACAGGAGTGTTGTCATGTGGTTCCATGGTTGGCAACGTCTGTAAAATAAATAGAAATATGCATGAATAATTATCTGCGCTTCTATTAATTAAGTGGGACTATTAAATTAGTATTCACACAGAGCAATGACAATGAGTGACATGGATAAAGAATACGAGTTTCAATTCTAAACACAAGACACGTATCTGTCCCTTTGTACTGAACTGCAAATCAAATATATACTGTAACTATATTTTAAAATTCAATAGTCACTGCTAATGCCTTTGTCGTATTTTCATTAAAAAAGATGTTGTGATTGCTGTAGTTAGAACCTTACTCGGCCATATTTACTGTAGAAATACACTAGACATTGCTAGAGTCCATGAAACCCCAAATGCTTTACGTTATAACAAATCTTAAAGCAGTGCAGTACACTAGTTTATGGGTGACAGGTCTCAATGTTAGTCAAGTTTCCTCAAATTAAAAAATACACGTGTAACAATGATGTTTGTAGGCTGACTCTGGAATCATTTTATCAAAGATCAGAAGCCTAAATTGATTTAAAAAATACTCCACATACTTATACACAGCCAGGCATAAATAAGGTCAAAACATTAAATTTTGTCAAGCACAAGAAATTTTACATGAACTGATGTGATTTCCCCCAATTCTGACATTAGGAATTTTAACAGTAGTTTGGGGTGCGTCTTATGTAGCCCATGTTTTCTATCATTATCACTCCGATGCACGTTCAGTGACTACATTATTAAATAAACCTAAACAGGATGATAAAAAGCTAGACAGAAAAATTTGAGTTAAGCAAAGAGCGACAAAGTTGAAATCAGATTACAACACACTTTTAAAAGCACAGTACTAGCATGTCTTTCATTCACACAGACCAATGCTCATATCAATGGGTGTCACTTCAAATTGCTTACATGATGACTTTGATGATATGCCTGTAATATGTATACGATGTCTGGCCTTTGGATTTGGCTTGACTTGGGGTTTCCTGCTGTGTGGTCAAATCATATCACCGAAATGGATCTAGATATACTGTTCACTTTTTTTATCGAAGTGGGATATTTCAGCGCTTGCAATTATGATATTCCAATACCAAATATCTATCTTAAGGATTGTATGCCCATTAGACGAAAGGGATAAGCCGCACAAAGCACAAAGCATAAATGTTCGACGTCTTTTCCGATAGATGGCGCTCTAAATATTTTCTTTGTTCCTTCAGTTTTTTTTATTGTTTTCTTTTTTTTTTCGTAAATAGTTGTTACATCTTCATGAAACCTCTTTAATTTTATGGCTACTAATAACGAGTTTATAATAATATATTGAAATATGTGTGGTTATAATTGTTTTTACTGTGAATTATTTGCAGTAGCCTATCTTGAAAACGTGAAGCTGCAATAATGTGGTGAGGGCGGGAACGTTGGACGTTGGAGAGGAAGTCAAGCCGTTTTTCCTTCTGCAGAAGACATTTTGAAGGGGATGCGATTGTGCATGCAAACGCAAAAGACGAAAAATTAGTAAGTGGCATAACTTGTTTTCTTGATAGCACAAATCAACTGATTGAAGTTTACAAATTATTCAGTGGGAAATATGACAATGTGCAATGTTGCCACAGGCTTCTTCAACGTGATAGACGTGATAACTCGTATGAGATTCATATTCCACACAATAAATACATTTTAAACAACAAAGAGAAATAATATTAACACATAAATGTATAGACCCTCCAGCACTAAGTTCCCATAAAAATAGGTTTTTATGGCAGTGCCACAGCTTTGTATGAATTCTGGTTAAAAAATTCTAATCTTGAAAATATTTTTTTCTTTCAGTTAATTTTAACACATAGTGTTTATTATGCATTAGAATAACATGAATATAGATAGTGGTAGCACCACAAGCGATACCTTCGAGGTTACCTAAAATCATTACTAATGTTATAAGTTTTGGCAATTTATGCATCTTTTATATTTCTGTAACAAAAAGATGAATAACACTTAAGGAAAAAAATAGAATATTAATAGTGAGGATAAACAAATGGAATATGAATAGCAAGGATAAACTACGTCTTGAGCGACCTAAGGCCTCTGTTGAACAACAGTCATTGGGATATTCCAATTTCCTTAGCTTATTTACAGCATGGTCCAATTCACCTGTAAAAAAAATGGCATTTTTGGTCATTTGTTCTGAAGAGCTTTTAGTCAGTCACAGTGTAGTCTAAATTCACTGAATATTGTACTTCATGATGTACGGTGATTGATTGGCAAAAATGAGCAAACTTTCATCTATCAATTCTTATTCAGGCTCCACCAACTAGAAAAATCTGTAATATGTCTATAGACAGTGAGAGTGCAGGTTATAAGTATGCTGAAGGACTGATGACCAACAAAGCTTTTGGGATAGCCATCAAAAACCATGCAGGCAAAACATGATTACCATTTGGTGATTCTTCTGGGTAATATATAATTTACTTTTAATATAATTATAAAGATTTATACTGTATATCAATAATAAAAGACATTAAATTTTGCATTTCTTTATGACATTAATGAAAAAGAAAGATATGTTATTAGTACTCATGGTTTTAGTCCCGACCCATCTTGTACGGCTCTGTTGGCTCCGTATTCTGGCGCCGTTACAATTAAGCCACCTCCTAGACCGCAAGGACCTGTGTCCCCATCTGTTGGATTTAGGTCACATATAATCTCATCCTGAACCACCACCAACACCACCAACACCACCACTTTTCACCATGAGCTGAACTTTGCAAGTTTTCCATCCCTTATGTTTCCAAAACTAGCAGAGATACACCCATTCTCCCAGTCGGAATGACGTCACAACCGGAAATAGTCCCTAACAACCAACCGCGTGGGGGCTAAATCGGTCGTTAAGCGCCATCTCGCCATGTGTTACAATGAAGACGTGACCAAAAAGCTCTGCGAAAAAAAGTGATTTTCATATAGTTCAAGAGTGAAAATAGAGTTTGAATATGAGGAAGGTCTTCGTCCAGATTCACTGAGCAGGTATAGGGCAAAACTTGATCTTTGTGGGCATTATATTTGTCCTTACAAGCTTCCAGCAGATGAGTGGAAAATGATCCCAAACAATCGCCAGACGTGATATTTTCATCTTTTTGGTCAGACCCCAAGTAAGTATATACTTTAAAAGTCTATCTAAGTAAGATCAACACTACTTTTTGTGCTTTTTTTAGGTGTTTGGTTAGCCATATACTAGTATTTATGGAGAAGGAAGCGTGAAAAATTTCAATAAAACGTAGGCCCTACCGATGACGATGTTTATCATAACGTTCCAAGCATTGATATCACACTAAATATTTTTATTCACCCTATCGTTGTTTGAACGAATTGATTAGCGGAAATAAAGAATTGAATAAAGAATAAAATTGAATTTTACCTTCCTTACTAGTATGCATTCCTTACTAAGAAAGTAATCCTCTTGCCTGATCTGTGATATTAGACACTTACCTGTAGTTGCATGTAGTACTTCTGTCATTGACAGCCCCTTTGTTGTTGGTGTTTAGCTGACCGAGTTTTTAATTACTTCAAGGTTAATTTGAAATACAGAGGCAGATTTTAAATTGTCTGTTTTTTGTACAAGTGAGTGTGTGTCTTTTTATTGAACAGCACTTCATTATCTTTCTCTAAAATTGGAAAAATGTTGGAATTACTTTCAGGGTTGCACTTACTGGAAGCCATGGAAAACTATCGTTCCCTGGAAGCTCACACCTTCTTCACATCTTGTTGGGCCCAGACAGCATACCATGTTGTGACTCAGAGTGTATGGATACAAGTGCTCATTTTTTTTTCAGTCCTACATATATGTGTGTTTGAATTTAAGTGGTCAACTTTTTTTCTCAGTCACACGTTGTGCAATTGCATACAAGCGCTCAGTTCTTTTCTCAGTCACACATTATGCAATATGTGTGTATGAATGAAAGTGCTCAGTTTTTTTCTCAGCCATACATTGTGCAATCAATATATTAATATATATGTGTACATTATTAAAATAAGTGTTCAGTTTTTTCTCAGTGCAATAAGTGTATACAAATGTAAGAGCTTTTTTTTCATGGGAAACATTTTCTGTACTGTATATCCGATTGGAAAACATAATGCAGTAGCACATTATGCAATGTCTGTTTACGGATATCAGTGCTCATTTTTTCTATTTTTCATCAGAAAATCAGCATTTTATTCAAGTATAATGCAATCACACTGTGCAAAATGTGTGTTAAGATGTCAGTGCTCAGTGTTACATTTTTATTAGAGTAAAATTGAATCTGATGGATTTACTGTTGTTTCGTGTATATTATCAAAACTTTGTTTGTTTGTTTGTTAAATGAAGTAGTTTTAATGATAAATATTTTATTCATATATCCTTGGTGTATCTCACGATTTCCATCCCGAATATAAATCATGTCCGGTATGTTTGAAATGTGCACTTGGCTTGCATATATCCACGTAAGTAACTGGCGAGGAGAAGATAGAATAAAAACAAATTTGAAATAGGAACAATTTGTATTTTTGTTCAAAGTTCTCAAGAGTGAACCATTTATCCATTTTGTTAATAAAATCCTTTCATACCGATCCACTCTCATCTCTGCCTTTTGGATCACCTGATCACACGTGGTACATATGTCATATGTAGGAAATACATTTGGCACATTATCAGGGTGTGTACGATTACTGATTCTTTTTTTTTTTTTTTTTTTTTTTTTGCATTTTTCGTAGTGAATTTTTTTAACTTTGGCATTATTTGTCCTTTTTATTGTTACAAGACTTGTACTTGTCCTTAATATTTCATGTGATTGACAAAAGAACTACTTACACCAAATTAAAATTCAGATAGGCTTTTAACACTTGTACAGCTCTGGTCTGTAATTGTGCCATAAAGGTGTCAACCCCAAATTATTTTACACTGATCATTATCACACAGGTAAACGCCAATTAAAGCACTTTTCCTTGCACTAATTCACAGTAAACTGATTGAACAGACACTAACAGTATAACTGATCTAACTCAAAGACATGACTGATCATTATCACACAGGTGGGCACCTGAACACCTTACCTTGCAATAATAGACATAATAAATAGAAAGCTGGTCGATCTGACACAAACAGTTTTCAACGGCAGTTAGTGTCAGCCTTGGCAAGTTTTGTAAAATTCCAGAAAGAAAAAATAATAATAAAACGCTGCACGATCTTCACGTCAGTCTCGAATTATTTGAACAATGATATAATCGTTGATTTATACATGTCAGCAGGTGTCATTACCACAGATGCGGTATTTATATAATATTTTACTTAGAATAGAATGCAAAACCCATCTAATGACTCTAACCTGTTAAAAAATGAAGGGAACAGACAGTAAGAGAACTTCTTCGCGGCGACCAAAGTTTAGATATCTCAATAATGCCATCACTATTTACTCTTGCTCTGTTTATCGCTGACAGCCATTTCTCTCTTCTAAACTCATTTGGAACAGAGAACTTGATCTCACTCTCCATGTTTTTTCTTGAATAACAGCCAGCTACACAAGTTTTTGGCATCTTTACGTGTTATTTGCTCCACGTCTAATACATGAACTGATCGCGGTTGCTAGGGAGTTTGCCCCCACGCGGTTTTTTTCTGCGCGCGCACATGGGTGTCACGTGGGCTATCCGACTGCAAGAATAGTTACCATTGAACTAAATTAAATAAGAGGTCATATACTGGCAATCTAACTGTGACCTTGAAATTGACACTGACCTACTTTTCACCATGAACTGAACTTTGCATATTTTCCATCTCTTATATCTTTAAAACTGGCAGAGATATGCCCAGTGTTGCCCCTGGGTTTCAATGTCTGCGAGTTGGCAGGGCAATTTAAGGTCCCAACAAAACTAGGGGGGTCTGGGGGCATGCTCCCCTGGAAAATCTTTACTATCAAGGTGCAATTTGGTGCATTTTTGGTTATTTGGAACAGATTTTTCAACATTTTAGGCACAAAATTGTCTTGTTTAAGATGCTATAAGGAGTAAATGAAGTAATAGCTAAAAGTGCAGTGTAAAGCTACAGCTACAGTGTAAAGTTACAAAAATAAATGGGAGGGCACATTTAAAGTATTGCAGAGAATGTCAGATCCAGTGTACCATATTCAGCCCAGTAAACCCAGAAATGTACATTGTGATAATCTTAAGCCATGTTATTAGTCCAAATGGGTTGATTAAGATACACATTTTTCTCTTTAATACAGACAAAATGCAACAGGACGAAGAAGAAGAAGATGACTGTAGGGAGAGTGTGCAGGACAACCTACAGCAACTTTGCGAGGCTGCCCTGCACCCTCAAATAAACAGAGAAAACATAGTGGAAGAATGCAAGATAGCAAGCAGGATCAACTCCAAAGAACTGACTGGACAATGTATAGATTTATAATAGAAAAATTTATCTTAATCTATCAGAAAATTTTAAGTCAGGTTATCCAAGAAGACCCAGAAGTGACTACGAATGAATTGTTAATCAGGAGGAATTTTTGTTTAAAAAAAGACAGATATTGAACTCTTATACATTTATTGGGGAATTACTAATTTTTTCCGAATTTGAAATGGGAAAGAGTAATAAAACATGATGTGGTCACTTCATTTTGTGAGATATTTCAGTTTAACACCATTTTCACAAACCATTCAATAAAAAAATCAAATGTAAATTAGATGTATGCTTTGAACTTTGAATTTCTTTTCATATTCCTTCTTACATTTATATATATATATGTATGGATATATTATCTTATCAATACATGTACAATTGCATGATTTATATTATTAGATTTACCAAATAACTCAAATATTGCTTATCATCTTATCTGGAGTACAACTGATATGATATGAAATATGGAAAGTAAGCAACAAGCACCAGCAGATCACTAACAGAATCCAAATCAATCGCATACCGAGGACTTGTGGCATTAAAAACCACATACTATATACAAAGTATTGGGGATAAGCTAAGTCACCATGCCTTTTTTTACACCATCAAGAGTTGCAAAAAGTAAGTGCTACAGTATGTGTATTATGATTGTGGTACAAATACTCAATCATTACATTCTTACTACTGAGGTATGTGAAGTTGGTATATTTATCAGCAAAAAAATAAGTTATTCTGTCTTAATTAGTTGGTGTACCAGCAAAACTTAAAAGAAATATGATATGTAAACTTGGCTTGTATTGGTTTACATTTGCTAATCAACTTATTATTTCATGTGATTACACCTCATAGGGTACATTCACAATGAAACTACTGAACTAGCTACAGGTAGCTCAAACTAACTCTCCAGGGGACTCTTGCTGATTGTGATCAGATTAACACACCTTTTGTTTCCAACTGCCCGTATATCCACTAGTTTTTCTGTATTCTGTGAGGCATCTTAATCTTTTAATCTGATTGTATTCAGTAAGAGTCCCTGCAGAGTGGGTTCAAACTACCTTATATGATAATTTAATTGTAAATGCACCCATATTGAATAATTTACATTTAATGTATTTCTTTTCATATATTCAAGTTGCATATAATGTTGGCGCAAAAGTTGTGGACCCAGAGGGATCTGCCAAAGCTGCAGAAAATGAACAAATTCGTAAGCAGGAAAAGAAGGACATGAGGGCAGATTTTAAGGCACAGAAGAAAGAAATGAAGGGGAACAGAAGAGGCAGGGGCCAGGCCGCAGCACCAAGTCAGCCTCCAGCTGGATATGGGTACCCACAGCAAGGTGACTACACCAACAATCCTTCTCTCCTACCCTTCATACCTGCCAATTCAAACTTTTAAGTTACATATCTTTTGGTTTTGTTAAATTAATTTATAAAACATACCAAAGAACACATTGCAGCCCAGTTTAGTGTAAGGGACCATTCAATTTCCCAGACCCATATCGTACTAACTGTGGATCAATCCATCTCAAAGGGGTATCTCCCTAAATTGCAATCAACTTCAGCAGCTTAGTCAGTCTGTCACGCCTACTGAAGGGGGTAATTAATTGTTTAGCAGCTTCAGTAGGTATGCCAGACTTCTAAGTCGCTTAAACTGAAAGCAATTTACGTAGCGGGAAACCCCTTGAAGATGCATCGATACTGTTAAGAAAATCTAGGTATGGGAACCAGTCTAAGTCCCACTGAGTTAAAATTACAATATATGAAATTTTGCCCAACTTTGGGGTAGGCACCCATGTGAATGGGCAGTGTCTATATTCATGCATTATTATACTTACTATATATTGTTTGAAAATAAATAGTATTAATCACATACTGGATAAACATATATCTCACCTATACATAATAGTATAGCCTGCTGTTGGTTGAAGAATTGTCTGCTTTTCTTGTTTAGCTTGAGACTTGCTGTATAATTATTATATGCATCTATCATTACACAGCTTAATTTTTTTTTACTATTCCTAGGTTACTATCCCCAGCCAGGTTATGGAGGCTATCCTCAGCCCCAACAAGGTGGTTACCCCCCTCCCCAACAAGGCACATACCCCCAGCCTCAGCAAAGTAGATATCCACCTCCCCAACAAGGTGGATATTACCCCCCTCAATCAGGTTATGCACCCCAGGGACCACCACAGAGAGGACCACAGGCAGCTTACCCAGGTACACACCAAGTACAGTATATGACACAACCATTTAGATAATTAGTAATGTGTAAATCAGTATCAGCTTCTTTAGAGTCACATAAAGCAATATAATTATGCTAACAGAGTGAAAAGATTTAATATCAGTAATTTTCATTTTAATTTAAGCCACAACAAAATTTAAAGGTACATGCAAACCGAGCATAGGTAGAGCGTGGATATCCAGTAACACATGTAAACCACTTCTACTAGTTTCTTATACGACTCAAATAAATTCGACATGCCAAGGGATAAACTAAATATATATATCACTCGATCAGCCATAAAAGAGCTTAAGACTGCTTCTTTCTTTAAATTTTTTGTCAGAAATTTAACCTACTTTCGTGACCTACTTTTCTGTTACATTGGCATAAAGCATAGAATGCTAGCAGCAAAAATCCGTTCAAACATAATTTTCGGGTAAAATTAAACAATGCCTTTTGGTAATTCTCTTAGTTATACTATTTGAAACTATATGCTGGTATTTGGTTGGTTTTTGTGACAAAAAATTGTCTGCATCTTTAAGTAAACAATATAAAAGGTACATCCACTATATTGCATGTATTAGGGTTGGTTTATTGAGAAACATGTACTAGTAGAACACACCATGGGCATGTATGAAAAACATTATCATTTTCAGTAAATGAGCTTTACAGATTCATTAAAGGAGAATATCCGCAATACTTAAAAATGCATTAATTAATAGTACCTGTGGGTGAAATTGTTTGTAATATGATTGTGTTTAAACTATGCAAAGTCATTGTGTGCATGTAGTAGATCTATGACTGATGATTCACTATCTCATCACTGACCATGATTTTCTTACTATACATAGATGAGGAGAAATGAATAATTCCTTGTGTTTTGTGCATGTTCTAGGTTACCCTGGCCCTCCACCAGCATATGCCAATGCTTCAGCACCACCACCATACTAATGGGATAAAAATAATGCTCCAAACTTTGTACCTTTGGTTTGGTTTTAGAAAAAAAACTGACCATGGAATTCCAGTTTATTGGCCTGTTTAGAACCAGTTGATCTGGATATCAAATATAGCGTGATGCACTTAAAAGCATGCCGAGATTTAATTGCTCTGCCCCTGCAGGTACGGCCTTGGAAGTGGGAATCTATTGTCAAGTGTGCGCCATATATGATCCGCAAATTAGGTAGTCCGCAGATCAACTGGTTCTGTACAGGCCCCATCAGTCACAATGCCAATATATTGTGTACAGAACACATTTAGATCATACTGACCAGTTAAGTGCTGTTTCCAGTAAGACCATCTTCCACTTGTGTCACGTTAACCACCAATATTACCCTTTAGGGGTCCCAATATTTTATTTCTTATATTTGCTTTTTACTATATTACACTGAAAATGGCAGATCTAAATTTGTGATCTTAAATGTACTGTTCAGAATGGCTGGATCACAATGAGCCTTCACTGACTTTATATATTGAATTGTAAAGTTAATGAATCAGGTATTTATACTTTCATTATATGTTTACTCTCTATTGTGTATGAGAGCTGCATCAATGATAGGTTTAATAATAAAAAAGGCTTCGTTAATTTTTCGTGTACAGACAGTTTCAGCATGTATATTTGTGTACTGTTTGTCCATGTTTTCCCTGTCTGAAATAGCTGTTCACCCTGGAACTTCTATACCATTTTTTTGTTTTACTCTGAATTTTCTAAGATTTATTTTATAAAGAAATTGCTTCAGTGGCAGAGTTCGAAAATGAGCTTCTCTGCAACTGTCCTTACCATACATGTAAGTGCCATGCACTTTTCTGTGTTACTTATTTACCTAGAGTCACAGAACAAAAATACAGCTCAGGTTTAGCAACCAGTCTGGTTCTGATTTCCCCCCTTTTTTCAAGATATAAAACTTTTAAACCTTTGAATTCTTGTGTTTTATCTCCCTTGTTTGAAGATATTTATCTTACCATTATAAGATATTAATTGTACTGCAAATGCTATATTGCATGCGTCGGTTTAGATGGAGATATAAATGAGAACCTATGTTACAATGACGGGTTAGATGTAGTTCTCTAAAAATAATAATGATGCCTGCTGGTCTCCTACGCAATGGTTTCATTGATGCCTACCATTAGCGTCAACAAGAGTCATTAATCTTGTTGAGTTGTCCAGACAGTCGGAGTTAATTTCATTTCGTTTTGAAAATAATGAAGAAACGTTAGTTGATAAATGGTGAATGTTATACAGGCTTATGGAATTAGTCCAAATGAAGGGTATTAAAACTGCGGTGTGCTTTGTCCGTATTTAGCCAGAAAGGGCGTTGATGGGTGGTATTTGAAAATGACAGCGTTCACCAGGTTTGGTATGGTACATGTATTATCACGAAAAGGCGTTGGTGGGTGGAAGCTGTCGCTAATGTTGATAGCACAAGTACAATATGATCCACCTGTTAATTGGATAGTATGGTGGAAACCTGCATAAACTCGTCAGCAAAGGAAATTTTATTTTACTTTCTGAATCACCTTAAAGGTATCCTATCTGAAAATTTCACACCAAATCAAATTACCGTTTTTAAGATCTTACTTGGGACAGATAATTAGCTTTGTCAGTTAAATATGTAGACAAACAATATTACTTTAAAGTTTGAGACAGTTTCAAACGCATACAATAAACATTTAAATTCAGGATTCGCACTATTTTACAAAATAAAATGATTTATATATACCAGCGTGAAATGCACGATTTATTTTGGACGAAAAAGAAAATGTAGAAACAAGTACAATATACAGAATTTTTAATGCACAAGTCATGAGAGCAACCGTCCTGTATGGGCACATTGAGCAACTCTCTGCGGATGCACTGTCAGGCAATGTGAAATGCCATGAAAAAGTGACCTCATGGTTAATTTTGTGTCTCCTGGATTGTTTCGGAAAGTCTGCTGATACAAGTGACAGATGTTGCTGTTCTGGTATTCGTTAGAGCAGAACAACGATTCTCCATGTTACCATCGTTACTCGCTCCACGCTGACGACATCGAAATAGAAGCCTGTAACCACGACGTACCTCTTTAAAACGCGCCCCGTAGATGATTGGATCCAGGAAAAAGTAGAGTAGAAGACATATGCTGTTGATGCGCACTACAATGAATAAAATATACTCTATCTCCGATCCTTTTTCTAATTTCCCCATCGCATAAATGATGGCTGTATTGGCAATACCTGGTGCCCAAAAAAGTATTATAGCCGACAACAATAGTCCGAGCGTAATCCTAGTTTTCTTCTCTGATTTACGATGGGGTTGTAATGCAGCTGACTTTTTCATGCTTCGGCGCACGGTGATATAAAGTCGAACATATAAAAAAGTTGTTACCAAAAGTATAAAACCATTCGTTATATTAAAAGCAATGCGTTTCGCCTCATTTGTAACTCGATACATAAAGAACTCTGCACAGTCTGGAGATTGGTCGGTCATTATCACCTCAATGCTGTCAAAAATAATTTCAAAAGAAACAACAAATGCATACTGGAGTAAGATAAGGATTCCAAAACGTTTCTTTGTCAGTATGCTTTCGTAGCGATACGGCTTTGTAATTGCAATAAACTGGTCAAATAATATGATTCCTGTTGACAGAAATGCAGTCATGGTCATTATGTTAAGCAAAGTAGCGAAAACTCCTGACAAACATAGCTGCACTGAAGTAGTTACAATGTCAAATATCTGTGACATTTTGGTTGCCAGATATGCTACTAACATCATCGTGACACCCAAGTCAGAAATTGCAATATTCATTAGCGCCCATTGATACTTTTTCCAAGGCTTCTGCATTTGCAACAACGCCAAAACGGAGACCAAGTTTTCAAAAAACGCAACTGCTGCCAAACAAAAGAAAACCACCGTGCTTTGCGTGGTAAACGCGTACGCTGCATTATTCACATGTGGACTTTTCGTTGAAAAGTTTTTGAAGTCTCCCGTTTTATTTTCAGCATTCATCTCTGGCAAGCATGGTTCATAGGAGATGGCGCATTTCGATGCCAACACGCAGCACCGCATATAACTGTTTTTTNCTTTGGAATACTGTCAGAAAATATCTCTGAATCTGCTCCTTTTATTGACCATGTTACCTGTTGTACATGATTAAAAATCAGTGTTGACTGACTGTGCTATTATAAGCATTTATTATTGCATCAAAATTGACATAATGACCTATTTTGCATCTTTTTTTTCTGTTTTTTGTCTGTACATTTGTCAGCTTTGCTGCCTTGTTTTTTTTCAGTATCCAAGTATAATGGTCAAAATTTAAAGAGACCTATACCAGAAGTGTTCAGTTTCTGAACAAACTGAAAATAGAAATCTAAAAAAAAAAGCAGATCAAAATCAAAACGTACAGTATTCCCAAATCGTCTACTAACGACTACTCACAAGAAAACACTTCTATAAAGAATTGAACTACGCTTGTTCTTGATTCTTGATATATTACTTCTTCCCAAATCCATATTAGATTCATTTTTTTCTGATAAAAACGGTTTACTATTACATCGATTTGTTGATTCGTATTCGTCACGTTGAATTGTTGAAATTTACTGTAATAACAAATCTTGCTGATCAATTTTAGTACGCACCTTTTACATGTATAGGCTCCTAGATTGCAGAACTCGATATCTGTCAAGGTACACGTTTTGCAAGCAATCGGGAGCCAACTGAAAATATATTGTATTCTCTCTTATATATAATAGCAGGTGTGGACCCGCGCATTATATACTGATAACAGCACGCGTTTTTACAATCAATGGCAAATTGACTAGCTCCGCCTACTCCTTGTGACATCACCGAGACATCAACAAAACGAAAGACTGTTACATAGGTTTCCTCGCCATATGATAATCATTATACAACGTTATGTATAAGATTAAAATACAAGTGACAGTGATCGGTAAGAGTGTAGTGCGCTGAATCCGATTCTAGCATGTATATTGCATTATCTAATTTCCTACTTTGATTACCAAATTGTAAATAATATAGCATACAAGCAGCTGTTGTCATTGGTAATGGGCGAAAATGTTCAAGGGATAACAAGTGAAATAAATTAATTGAAACAGAAACTAAACACACATCAAGAAAAATTGATAAGATGGAAAGGGTGGGCAGTAGATGCATGGAAAAAACAGTAAAAACAACAAAGAACAACAACCATGGTCTTGCAGCGTAGGCAGAAGACAATAAAGGCAATGTTCGAGGATTGAAAGAAAGAAGCTTTTGGATCTATATGCATTAGACTATACGCCCTACACGACTGCTTTGTTCTGTTGCCCACGCTCTCTGAAACTATACTATTTAAGCTGTCCAGAGCTTGAGAGATGCGCGCTCAGACAAACTGCGCACAGTCTTTCGTTTCAAGCAACCGTACTTTCTTTCTCTTTTCGTTTTGGCAAACAAATGCAAAAAAAAAAACAAAAAAAAAAAAAACATGTTAACGCCATCCGCGAATTACAAATGATTTGAACCAATTAACTCATCTAGTTACTTGATTCCGAAACGTCCAAATTTGTCCAGGCGAAGGAAATGTGCTTGATAGCGAAAATAAATTTTGCCCCCCGCTCCCCACGCCTAAAAAGATAAACAAACACATATATAAATAAACGAATAAATAAACACTGCTGCTTTACCAGTTAAGAGCTAAAATAATGCCTTTGTTTCATGGAACATCATAATTAGGAATGATTTTCCCTGAAACTTCGTCTATTTTTACTTGAATGCTAAGAAATGCCTAACACGAATCAGTTGGGGAAATAAATGACAAATGATAGGCCTACGTTTTCGAGATTTACTTTTTTTCTTTCTTTCTTTTTTTTTTTCGATTTCTCGCCATTTTTGTGCTGCAAGTAGTCTTTATCCCCCGAACTCTGACTAGAAGCGAAGGGCCAACTGCTCGCGAGCGGTTCGTAATGCGGATTCGTATTTGTTTGTTTGTGTACTTGTTCATTAATAACAACATTTGTGATGATGTCAGGCATAAGGTTTTCCAGAGGAATGGTAGAATATTTTTCTCCTTGGATGGGTTAGTTAAAGAAAGTTTTGATTTCATGAAAAAAGTAAAATCCAGGATGAAGTCAATTAGAGTCACTCAGTCTCGTCGGCGGTCCTGCCACAGTCAGTTCTGCATTTTGGGACCAGTAGATGTGTTTGGTCATTTGTAGTCATCAATCAGGGGCGGATCCAGAGATATTATCTGACAGTCTTCCAAATTATCTTTGTTGATCTATTCTCCATTTTTGACTGTCTTCTGATAGAAAAAACTACGTACTCATCAATGTAAACTTGACAATCTGACCGTCTTCCAGAAGTCCCAGAAAACGGCCTAAATCCGCCCCTGTCAATAGCCTATGTGCGGTAAATTGGTTTATCGACATATCGAGTGAATTAAAAAACTTTATCCAACCCAAGAAGTTGTACAACTTCATGTCTGATCCCACCTCTCTTGAAAAGATTTTTGGAGTGCTGTAAAGATAAAATGTGGGGCTTTAGTGATGAGATGTAGGTGTGTTTAGACAATTAAAATTGTGGATGATAGATATGGTAGATTGATTTTGATCACATTTTGCACTCTGAAAATTGTCGATTTCGGTAGGTCCGGATATGGCATTTTTTGGAGTGAAAATGTAACGTTATTTTGGATTTTTATGATGTCCAGTAGCTGTGTTTGGTCATTTGTAGCGATCAATAGGTGCTGTAAAGTGGTTTTGTCAACATCTCGGGTGAATTGAAAAAACTTTTTCCACCCTCCCTACCCCGCCCCTCTCTCTCCCCCCCCCCCACCCCACCCACCCACCGTCGTGCCCCTGAGGACCTTTTTGGAGTACTGTAAAGATAAAATTTGGAGGTTAAATGATGAGATGTAGGTGTGAATGATAGATATGGTAGATTGATTTTGATTATATTTTGCATAGGTTCAGATATGGCGGCTTTTTTATTTTATTTATTTATTTATTTATTTATTTATTTATTTATTTATTTATTGAGATTTGGGGTGAATATGCAGCATTGTTATTTTGGATCTTTTTCAACATTTTGGGCGAATTGAAAAAAAAACTTTCTTCACTCCCCCCCCCTCCCCCCATTTTAACTAAAATTATCCAGTCTTAACAAGATTATGTTACTATTACAACCAATCAAAACAGAAGTTTTTATCTTGTTGAAAAGACGATTTACCTCATTAAAAAATAAACCAGAATTTTATGAATTGTCACCTAATTAAGTGTCTGTTATAACCAGTCATAACTATTATGAAGGAAAATGTGAATTAATCAAAAAACCATATTTAGAGCAGAAAATATTATATTTCCTAAACATCAACTCACAACTGTTACTCTCACTAATAGGACACCATATTAAACTCTCTGATAAGCAACTGGGTGGTTATCATAGAGCATGATAAACCATAATTTCACAATGATATCATTGTAAATAATGATTACTCTTCCAGCTTGAGGCATCATATGATATCCAGCAATATCACTGAAACACTGGCTGTGGTTGTGATACATACAAGTACACTTGTATGTGAGAACTAAAGTATTTTGTTGCACTTGATTTGCTTTTTTTATACGTGTTGTTGACTTTTAAATATTTTTGGTTTTGTCCAGCCAACAGTCAGGATGCCCATTAAAGAAATATTTGAAGTTGGCAAATGTAAGTATGAAACTATGTTGTTGTCTAACATGTATCCTTAAAGGACTTTAAATCTAGAGTAAACAAACTGTTATGATTATCTCAGTGCAATATGATATGCTAAAAAATATGATTTATGTTCCTCTTATTCAGCAAATAAAAGAAATAATAAGAATATAAAAGTGAGGTGCATTTTTTATAATTAGTCTAATAGGAAATATTGAAATTAACCACAAATGCTGTATATTACAATCTTTATTTCAATTAGATGCCGTGAAAGGAGCAAAGATGTTGACAGACCCAGAGGGTTTCAAGCAGCAGAGGGCACAGGAAGAGGAACAGAAGATGGCTGACTGGGACCAGAAGAAGGCAAAGAAACAAGCCAGGTTGAGAATTTGTTCTAGATTTATGCTGTAGAAATCAAGACTGTTGTATGTTTAGACCATGAAATTGTACAAAAGCCAATCATGTTACTATCAATTTCAATATATATATATATATATATATATATATATATATATATATATATATATATATATATATATATATATATATATATATATTTCATATTCAATAGGATTATATCTCAAAAGTTTTTTCATCACTTTTTTCTTTAAGAAATGACCTTTACCAAATTTTGAGTAAATGAAATTGCATGGGTATAGTGCAATTACTCAATGAAGACTGCCAGCAATACACATTCACCAGATCAAAAGATTTAGACAGTTAAACTCTTATATACCTAAAGTTCAAGAGGATGTAGGGAACTCCCTTTTCTATCAGCATGCCTCTGGTATTGCCAGTATTAGGCAGAGGCATGTCCATAGTAGAGAGGCACTATTCCCAAAGTCCTCTGACACTCAAGGGTGCTCTTTTCAGATATGACAAAAAACTAGATAAAATTGGTGCAAGGACTGGCAGAGGTGGAGCTGCTCCATCAGGCAAGTAATTTACATGACTATCATACTCATTATTTTAATTTCTTATTAGTGTATTAATTTCTAATCTAAAAAAGTCCATAGGTAGACAAGATTTTTGAATGTTGCTGACCAGAAGATTCAAATCTCAGGCTGATTTGTTTGTGTGGATAAGGGAGGTAAAAACTTGTACAAAAGTGTGGATGTATGTGTCGGAATGTAAATGATTTTATGTGACAGACCAACATGAAAAAATTTTAAGTACAGTAAGACATTTCAAAAATAATTTAGTAAGGGAAATTGCCCCCCAAAAATTAAAAATGTTTGAACCAGTTACTGAAAAAAATGCTTTTAAGCTCTATTAGTGTATCGTGTCATTTGAAAATTCTTATTACCAGGTGCACCCAGTCAATATGGACCACCCCAAGGCCCATATGGTGGTCCTCCCCCTGGGCCCTATGGTGGCCCACCCCCTGGGGCATATGGTGGTCCACCCCCTGGGGCATATGGCGGTCCCCCTCCTGGAGCATATGGTGGTCCCCCTCCTGGAACATACGGTGCTCCACCCCCTGGGGGATATGGGGGTCCCCCTCCTGGAGCATATGGTGGTCCCCCTCCTGGATACTATGGAGGACCGCCCCCTGGTCAGTATGGATACCCAGGTTTGTACAGTACAAGAGATGTTATGGTCTAATAAGTGTCAATGCTATTAGCTTAGCATTTGATACATTAAAAAAATGAAGTCTACATTTTATTGAACTGTAAATACAACAACTGCATTTACATACCGATGATACGCTTACAAAGAGTAATTCTTTTTCTTTCAACATTTTTGTTGCATCAGTGTAAATTTATACGTTCTTAGGATACCCTCAACCTGGCCCATCTCAACAGCAACCTGGAGGCAGAAATAGGAGAAGATAATCTTCAGACCCCAGAGAAGGCAGGCTAAGTGTGATCTATGGATCTGAATGAGTCATCCCTGAAATGAAGTCAAACATTAAGAATTATTTCAACAAAAACACATTTAATAAGAATAATTTTATTGAGCACAGAAATATTTTTACATTTAAAGGCTCTCTAATTACTATTTATATAATTATATATAGGATAATAGTTATGATTGGTAAATAAATGAAAAAATAAATATAGCTTTATACATTATATATATTATAAAGAGATGCCGAGTACAAGTTGAATGGAGGAGATCCTTTGTGTATTTCTTACTTATTGTTTTTTTGAAGATGCTGTAGAGTATGTGTAATTATGGGGCTGTAGCGATAGTCCGAAGGTTCAATAGTCCGAAGGTTCATTGGTCCGAATGTTCACTATAGAACCTTCGGACCAATGAACCCTTGATTAAAAAATCGATAAAAATGTTACCACTTTTCGGACCAATGAACCTTCGGACCAATGAACCTTCGGACTATTGAGACGCCCCCGTAATTATTCTTCTACACAACAATAATTCCACTATATAAAAAGCCACAAATGGAACAGCCAATTATCAGGGGCGAATGTAGGATTATTTGAAGGGGGGTTCACAGATGCGAAGCTGCCCCCTCCCCCCACTTGGCGTGGGGTTCGGGGCACACTGAAGGGCCCTGAAAAATTTTATAGGGTGAACAGTGCCATTTGGTACGGTTTAGAACTATGATTCAGATAGGCAAAATTCTAATTTCAAGACGGGACCATTGGTACAATTTTTTTCAGAAATCAAAGGGGGGGGGGGGGGGGGGGGGAGGACCCCCCCCCTTAAATCCACCACTGCTTATTATTCATATTTGATGTCACAAACTGATTATTTGCTTTTAATAAAAAAAAAAAAAAATTCTGCAAATCATGGTTGCAAATCATGTTTTTTTCTATATTCCTAGTAGTGCTGAGCAAATGCTCATCACCTGTAACTAGTTGTCAACATTTAAGGAATAACAATCCAGGGCATGTCTCCAAAGACAGAAGACAGTACAAATGATCAATTAATAATAAAATGCTTAAAGATTATTATACATTAGGTACATGGACTAGTGTTTTATCTATCTTATCTATTAATCTGTTTCATTGTTTGTATCCATTTGCTCATTGTTAATCATATTATTTATTTTTATTTTCAAAAATAGAATATCTGAGTGTTGTCTTGAGAAATAAAATATTTTATACTTCCATTAAACCAGGCTGTTTTCTTTAGAAAAATTTAGAACATGTTATTGTCCAGGGAAAAGGAATAAAAAATCCAGTTAAGACAAGAGAAAATATGTGCAATATATGTACGTACTGGAAATCATTTAGAAGTAAGTCTGGTAGATGATGTATTCCACTGTCTTTTCTGCTGTGATGATATAATTAAAAAAAAAATCTCTGTTGTCATATTTCTAACAAACACAAATGACATTTGATACACTATTCTATGCTGTAGATTAATGTTCTCACATATATATTCAGAAAAAGATGCTGAGACAGGGCTTCTGACCGGAGTTCGCAGGCATGCCTTGAAAATGCCAAAGTGAGAAAAGAATGTTTCAAAATAAGTAATCACAAGTTAAAAGAAATAGATTAACAAATTTATTGCCCAGTCAAATTTTAAAAGTTACTGGGCTCTGGCTGACATAGGGGCCCGCGATAATTTCGAATACTTATATTGTCATTGAGGGATACTGTACTATGTAGACCGTACAGGCTTCGTTTTTCGCGCAAGCAAACCGGAAAAGAGCTCTCTAAATTTTGGAGACCAGAAAACTTTATATCTTTGGAATGCACGCTGGGCATTTGATGGAAGAAAAAATTCTAATGGAAACCTAAGAAAACTAGCGGTGCGATAGTTACTGTAGAGGTATGTATGGCTTACTCAATGATCAGATATTATTCAGCCGATTTTCCTTAAGCAATGCTGAACGCTTAGTTAAAGTGCATTGGGGCATTTCCAGGATGTGATAATTTTGAAGACCCGACAGTCTGATTACATGAATACTGAGGAAGGGGTATCAGTTACAACAGCGAATGAATCATTACTGACTGCATGTGCGCCTACGAGGTTGGCTTACATTTTTGTGATGTATACCAAAATGCTTGCCTCTGTAATTGCAATTTTATGCGATAGTCTCAGACATCGTATCACTGTTTCTCTTTATTTCTGAGTCTGAATTTTGGCCATTGACTCTTGTCTTATCAAAGAGGAATTGGCGTACTTGTAGTTGAGAAGTATGTGACACCATTAAAGCAATACCGTGCAACATAATTATTGTTGGAGATTTCAAAAAGGTCAATCAGATTGCCATATAATTGTAACACACAGATTAGGAATGCATTGTTGTTCTATGTTTGATAAAGTTTGGAGTTCTTTTCATGATTCTTACATTTAATGTCAGGGCACTTGGGAGGTTTTGAAACTTGCAGTTAAGCCCCACAATTTTCTTAGTGTTCATTGATGGTGCAATTGATGAAATCGCTAGAAAGAACGAACAGTGATATCTGTTTTTGTCATTGTATTGAAATAAGATTTGCAGTGTTACTTTGTTCTGTAAATGCACCACTATAAGATAGAGGTGTTGCAAAGAAGCTAGACAGTTTATTACTGTTTCAGTTCTTTAAGCCCAAAACAAATTGACAATCTTTTCTTTGTTTGGAAAAGAAGTAGTGGTAGAGATTTTATAAGAAATAGAAGAGAGAAATGAGCCAGGAATTTTCACTGATATGTAACAATGCTTTGATTATGACACATTTCAAGACATCAAGGAGATGTTGAAGTTATGGTTTCATATCATATTTCATGAGCTTTTATTTTTTTCTGTTGGGTTATAATTCAGAATCAGACTGTATACTTCAGACTTTTTGAAGGGCTTTTATTTACTAGCCAGTAGCTTTAAGACAATTTATGTATCTTGGCTCTATCAGACCAATTATTGACATCGGTGCAGGAGATAAGAAAGTGCTGTGGAATTGTATTTTGGGGAATTACTTCCTTTGTTTGCCTTTGTGGGACATTGTAATAATTTACCATATTAAATCATTTACCTAAACAGGCAGTAGTACTAGTAATAGCCAGTACACAGCCAACAATGTTAGGTTACATTGAAAGTTCAATATTAATTGTTATTCTTTTCATTTAGTAGAGGTGTCAGTCATGGTTTAAAAAAATCTTGAGATTATACATTTATTGATAACTCAAGATTTTAGTTGTAACCTTCAAAAATGACTGCCTACTTTAACTAGTACCAATCCATACTCATTTGTACATGTCAAAAACAGGTGAAGTTTGTAGCCAATCATACATCTGTGGAAGGAAACGTTTCAGGTATATATGAGTGAGTTTTAGGCACATGGCTTACTCTTCCTCATATGCTTAATACTTATTTAGATGGTATTCATTAGATCAAAAACTGTAAATTTTCTAAAACTTAACTGTTGTTGGAATATATCAAAGGAAGGAATATAGTCAACATTTCAGTTACGTATATATACAGTACGTTTTAGTGATTTCACCATTGGAATTTGAAGTAAGAAATATATCAGTATTCCAGATTTATTTGTAGATTTATGTTATTGCTGTGATACAATGATATGCCTTTTGATTTCTCTTGTGTCATTAAGTTTTGGAGTATAACATGTCTCAGAAGATCATCGACCATGCCTTACTTGGTCTCCATCCTATACATAGCATATCTTTACCTACATCAATTCTGTGATGAAAAGCTGATTGCATCTGCAGGGTGCCGATTGAGTAATTGCAGCTGACAGAATAGTCTGTCTCTCTCTGGATGTATGGTTGTATGTCCAGCAGTCTGCATACCTTTGGCTTGCTGAGGCAAGTGTAGATGAAATACAGGATAATACTTAATCACTGCAAGGCAAATTTGAGTACATACCCATGTTTTCAACCATGACCTGAATGCATTGGGTTCAAAATCTAGGACTTGGTGGCAGTATTTATTTTCATTTTATTTTATTGCCCACCGTTAACAATCAGATTTTTACTTATAAATTTTAATTAATTATTATATTTTTTCTTTATCAAAGGTGTTTATGAAATACAAAATGTATCGAGTGACTCCCAATCAATGTATTATTTAAAATTTTGATTGTTAAATGAACTAAAATTTTGTTTTATATAATATGTACAAGAGAATAAATAATTGGTAGTACCTGCTTTAGTGTACTAGTACCTAAAAAATTTTAAGTGAAGAAATACTGAAATGTGCTGGTAAATCAATGAGGTAAGTTACGAGGGGAAATGGGTGTGAAGAAGTCATCAGTGATTATGTATTTCAGGTTATAACTTTATTACAAGAACTAGTAAAATGTATGATTCTCATAATAATAAAAACTTTGCACCATAGCCAAGTGCAGTCTTTGACATGATTAAGTAGAACAAATATATGGCAATATTAGGAACAAAGCTATAAGCTCATGTCTTATGTGTGTAATATACCACATGACAAACATGGAATGTAACACTATAATATGTATCCAGCAATACCACATGCAGATCATAGCAGACTAAACACCTATCCAAATGGTGTCTGGTTACTGCACAGGTATCCATGATACACAGGTATTGCATAATTATAAAGAATTCTGTTCTTGCCCCGTGGCACTTAACATGGCACTGTTGCACAGGGGTTAATTGCTGCCAATTGGCATAAAGCAGTAAGACACCACAAACAAATTATGGGTTTTGAAAAACTAATGGCTTCACCCCCATTGGGACAGTAGCCTACACATCTCAGTTTTGTTAGGAAGACTTGATCACCTTTAACATAATGACCTGATTTTGGCCATGTTTCAGTATTAACTTTCCATTTGATATTTCTGCACTTGCTGGACATTTGCTATTTTACGATTTGCCTGGGGTCAGTACCTAATTAAGATAATTGGAGATATCAGTATGATCAGCAAGGTGTATTAAGACTGGTCATAGGTTTCCAGGTGTAAAGCCACCAGTCCATGTATAGAATACTGGGATGCCTTCATTTAAATAAACAGGGGATCTTGTAGCTTGTATAGATCTATTTAACAGATACGAAAAGGAAATATACTTAGATATTCTCAGGAATCTCCAAAGGAATGTTATAAATCTGTTTGTAGTTTTGTCTAATATACAGGTAAAGTTACATTATAAATAGAAATATTTCATAAGTTTATTATTACTCTAATTATTGTTACTTTGTTTATTTATTTATTTCATTTATTCATTTATAAAAATTATTTAGTTGATCAAAATTAATAGAAGTTTATATTTATGCTAAGTTTTTAACAAAGCAATATTTTTCATGAAAAAAGTGCTAAAATGCCTAATGAATAAACAACAATGCCAGGTTAAATTTAGAAATGTAACTTTTTTTGGTTGATCCACTTCTAGAAAAGGGTCACATTACCAATATTATTCCCTAAATCTAAAAAGAAAAAGAAAAGGGGCAATCGTCATAGATGTCTTTTATTGTACCACCAGCGTAAGTGGTGTCAGTGTTTGTGGATTTAGCTCAAATCAGTCTTGTCATGATTATTTTATTGGTTTTCATATTTCTCTGTTGTATTTGTTGAGTAAAGGTACACACAGTAATAAATCCACATTTCTTCCAAGCATGTTTTTGCACATCATGCTTCTCTGACAAAAATTACCAGTTAGCAATAATTGGAGAAAAAATAACAATGGCATTAAAGAGTTGCTAAGCCACTGTTCTTCACATTTCTGTGTTTCACATTTCTGTGTTTCACATTTGCAGACTTAAGCTATTTAATGGGAGAAGGGGATGTTGAATGCATAAGCTACTGATATTCATTCAGACACCAGTTTTACTGTAGCAGCAAGAACAATGGCTTCCAATAGAACTCCATATCAGGTAAGATTGTTTTTAAACAGTCTACATCATTTTTAGTTGGAGGTAATCAACCTTTTTGAAAATAAAATGAAAATTATTATTTTAGTCTTCTGTTTTCAACAATTACTGAGATAGATAATATTAGGTAAACGGGTATTTCAGTAGTATATCAGTAGTATTTAAGAATCAGCATCACTTCAAAACTTGTGTACTTCTGTTTTTCTTTTAATTAAAATATTTTTCCAACAAATTGGTGCTCATCTCTAAACAAATTGTCAACTACTTGTTTCATAAGTGTTTAGTATGACATTTGAAAGGAAAAACCAAAAGACCATTTCTAAAATAAATTACATATGATATGTGACGACTGGATTGATACATGTATTTCTAGAGGTCCAGTCCAACTAAGGAGCTGTTCCTCGACATTCTTACAAAAGAGGAGAAGGAAGCATTGTTAACCAAGAAAATGGAAGACTTGAAGAAGAAGAATGAAATGTTAAAGAAGAGACATGAGGTATGGTAGAATGTAGTGGTAATGTGAAGTACTTGGGGATTCATAGCAGTAGAAAGCATTGTTTTCTTTAGTTGATTGTGATTGTTTTGAATAGTACATCATTCTGAATGATTATTGAAGAATGTAATTTACATGATTTTGTGATTTTATTTAACAAATGCAGAGAGTAAAAACACTATCAAAAAATCATGACTGAAAATAGAGGTTGTAATTTTTAAACCTCTGTTGAATATGGCTAACACTGACCATGTTTATTTATCTCTGTTAATGCAGGAGGCTATGAGGGTTTGCCTGTTTGTTTGTTGACAAGATATGTTATCAAGTTCTTCAAAGATTTTGATGAAATTTTAAAGATAGAAGTAAGGGAGGGGGGGGGGGGCATCCAGCAATTTCAACTGAATCTAGGGCTATCAATGTCTTGAAAGAATTTCTATTGCCTTTCCCTTGCAGGAGGTCTGTGCTTTGGTGGTGCTGTCTATTTGTACATTTTATTCTTGAAATGACATTTTTTGATGTCACCAGTGGAGCTTGTTGAGGAAATTAACAATAATATTAGGTATCTTATTATGTGTCATCATGGACTTGCAGATTAAAAAAAGAAATATATCCCCAACCAAACTGAATTATATAAGTCACTAATACAACTGTTTTACACTTTCGTTTGTTTTCTTTTAGGAAGTAGAGGCAGACAAACAATTTGCGCGACAGATCAGTGCCAAGGATCCCCCTGTGAAGGATGATGGAGACAGCTGGCCCAGAAAACCTGTCAAAGACAGACTAGGATCTCCTAGAAAAGAGGCACCAGTAAGAAAAAACAACTCATTAATACAATATGTTTATGAAATATTTTTTAACAGTTAACACTGGAAAAAATTTAAATTTGAGTTTAAGTTTCACACCTGCAGATTTTCACTTTAAATTGAGTTCATTATGAGACAAAAAGAAAGTATTTTGTTTACATGTCATAATATTCATCTTTGAAGATCTACCATAAAGATGTAATATCTTATCCAAGCTTTAGGCCTCTAGGCTTTCCTCAGGGGATTTGAAAAAAAATGATGCATCAGTATAATATATTCTACTTAATGACTTATTATATTTCTTATTATACTTCCTCAAAGATCTATACAGTGATTTTTTGATGTGAATCTTCAATATGTCATAATATGAAATGTTTACTCAACAAGTAAAAGTGATTTTTTATTACATTCAGGATTTTGACTTCGATGACTCAAGAAATAATCACCAACATGACAACAGAGGAAGGGGAAGACATGTAATACTGAAATTTAATATAAATGTGGTTTTAACTGTTTATATTTTTTGTGATACTTTCTAATTTTTTTTTTTTCAAATTCCATATTTTAATAAATGCTTATGACTAAGAAGTAAATATAACTTGTTAAAGAAAAATTGTTCTGCATAAAGTATTCTTAGATGAATAATATGAATGAATATGGCATGGTTATGGTCCTACCCCCCTTACAGATACTGTGTGAAATAATAATCTTCATGTTTACTCCAGGAGTTTGGCCAAGATGATTCAAGAGATCACCACAATCATGGTAGTAGAGGAGGGCGTGGCAGACAGGTACTTCATGTGCCAGTATATGGCTTAATTATTGCATTTTAATATTGAAGGCAGTCTCTTAGCAGATATGTTCTGAGATTTGAATGGTACATGACAAATTATTAGTTTGGTTAATAACAGAAATACTTATAACTGTAATTTATATTGTAATAATTCAAGGGTGTCTCCATATTTATATTGTCATTTGTGGTTGCCTTACTTATTGAATTCCTCATTTTAGGACCACCGAGGGGGGCGAGGAAGGGGAAGGCATGTAAGTCAGTGGTTTATTGTACATCACATTTTATGATAGTGACAGTTTAAAAAAAAACATTGTTTCTAAGAATAAAATAACATCTGTTTGTAGTATTTTTGCTTACATCTTGGGTAATATGCAGTAACTGGTAAAAGATTTGAGTGAAAATGGCCACTTCAATTTGTCACTTTAGTTTCAGAATATGGATGATGAAGAAGGGCGACCCCATTCTGGTGGAAGGCGAGGTAGAGGAAGAGGAAACCGTCCAACATCCTTTCACCAGCAGCAGGTCAGCAGAAATACCCGAGTTGAAATAATTATATTTTCCAAGTTTTTTTTTTCATATTGTCATATATGGTCCATATTCTTTCAGGCACAAGTTACCAATTATAGGAAGTGTATGACAGAAGTTTTGTCATTTATTGTAATAATTTGAATTTTGATTATCAGTTTTGCTGTGATTCATCATGGTGAAATTCCCTAAGGACATATATTAGGACTGGGTTCTGACTTCATGGGAATATGTACATTGGCACATTTCTCCAAAAATGGTTCCAGTCTTTCTTGTTTGTTTCATAGGATTCTGGGCATGATGAGGCACCATGGCACCAAGGTGGAGGTAGAGGAGGAAAGCAGGTGAGATGAAGTCAGAATGCAATGAAAAAAGTCCTTTATTATATAGAAATAATGTTTTAAAAATATAGCCAAAGAATGGTTTGTGGACTGCCAACATCTATTAAATTTTGTATCTGTCTGCTGCTACAGAGATGAATTACAGTGCAACACTTGAGCATTACTGGTTAAAATTATATGGTGGAATTGGTTTTGAGTTTTTTATTCTAGAACTGTTGTTATAAAAAGTTGTTATAAAAAGTTTATATCTTAATGTATCATGTCAGGATCATGATGGCAGGTCTGATGACAGACGTGGTGGTAACCGTCGACCCCCCTCTGGAAGAACTCCCACAAGTCCTACGGAGGTAAAGAAACATCGAGGACTTTAGAAAATGCATTGCTGATTTGTAATAAAGCAATGACACTGTACAATCTTTTAGAATAAAAATTACCAGTGTTTTGGATAAAGAGTGTGTAAACATTTTTGTTGAATTATATGCCTGATGGCACCTTTAGTCTTGTAATTCAATTAAAAGAGAACCCACTTTTTTTTGTTAAGGCTTATTTGGCCTAGAACATAATTTTGGAAATAATTCAACTAAACCATGTGAATTATCAATGTATATTTGACATTTCCTATAGGGAGGACCACCTCCAGATCCAGCATTCAACTTTCTGGCAGACAGGGCACGTGACCGAGATGATGATGGTCATGGTCCTCCACCACAAGGGGGCAGTAGGGATGAGGGAAGCAGACGACACCCCAGGAATTTTGGTGGTTCAAATTTTGATGACGTAAAAACTAGAATTCAGAAAGAAAGAGGAAAGGTAATTTCATTTTATAGTTACTCTTTAATAAAAAAGATTTTAATAGGTCATGGACATGATATATATGTTTTGTTTGGTTGTGATTTGGAGAATTTATTTTACAGTTTTAGATATATAGTTAAATTGTCACATGTGTGGGACAGACAGTTTCTCAACTTCATGTGACATTAAAATTTTTAATAATTTTTTACAATTTACAAGTCTGGCAGAAGAGATGCAATTCTGGCAGAAGAGATACCTAGGCCCTTCCTTAATGCTCCATCACAGGCCATATTTGTTTCGTTGTTTTGATTAACTTCTTCCATGATATTCTCATGTGCACATCTTATTTTGACAGACAAGGTACAAGGGTCCTCCACGTTCCAACATGGAGATGGCAATGCGTATGACAGGGAAAGAGAGAAGGGAGTATCAGGAATGGAAGGCAGAGAGGGACCGCATTGATCAGGCTCGTATACAGAGGCAGCGGGATACAGGTGGAGACTGGAGGCGGGAGTGGGATCATGATAAAGAGGAGGCGAGGTGAGAGGGAATGAGTGTTACAGAAAGCAGGGGCAGATTTCACAAAAAAAGTTCGGTCAGAAAATTGGCTGTATTTTTTTAGATAAAAAATATGAACTATTTCAGTTCAAGATTTATCTATATAATAGTAGCCCTCTGAACCAAGTTATGCACTTGTTTGTACATCACTGTTTTACAATTAATTACAATAACTGCAATTTACCTACAAAAACTAGATGAAGGCATTCTAATGATTTAATTTTTTTCTCCACAAAAGATTTGATGATCTCCCTAGCCCGTCAGCCACTGAGCCAGCAAAGCGACCAGGTATGTATTGCAGTACATAATGGGTGTTTGCCATTGTTAAAAAAGAAATGCTTTTTATTGTGTTCTTAGGCCACGTGAGTTATTCAATTGTCCACATTTCTTTTTATTCTATTCCTTACAGAACCTTTTGTAGAGATTAATATTTACTGAAATGAATGATTTAAATGAGTTTGAAGAAAATTTCCAATGGTGAAATTATAATAGAAATTGTGTAAATTAATAGATTTGATCACAGAATAGTGGAGGAATGTGGATTGCTTGCAAATTTGTGTTGTGAAAGCCATTTCTATGAGGGAATCATATCTACATGCATTTTGATTAAGTTTTTTGTCCAGTGGCTTGATGAGTGATAATTTAAAGTTGTTTTCTATTTGTTTGACCTAATAGCATGGTTGATATATTGTTGGATTCTCGTTTGTTTTCAGTTTTAAACTGATGCTCTGTTGTAAAATTATTCAGGATTTTTTTTTTCAAATCTTTTTCTCTTTTTAAAGCTTCTTGGCCTACTTTTTTCTTTTTTAAAAAAAAAATGAATTTCACATTAAATCATGTTGTTTGTTTAAATTGACAATCTACAAATTACCACAAGGTAACTGATTATTATTATTCAGGTGATTAACATAAAAATAAAGTAATTTGTACATCTGTTATAGGTGCCAAAGAATGAATATATAATTGTAAATTTTCTTTAATGTTGATACTAGGAGTGTATTCTGCAGGCACATAATTATGTAAATTTTGTGGAATCATTCTTTTTTTTTTATTTCAAAAATGTTATTTAATATAAAATGTTTAGAGATATTGTGATATTCTACAAGAGCTCTGTATTTAAGCTGAAAATTGCTTATTTACCACCAGACAGCATGCAAGGTGGACAATTCCTTTTATTCTTTCAAATTTGATCTCAACCCATCTCATTCAAACACTTATATAAGATGGAGAGATGGTTCAAGGAAAGTGGCAAGGTGTTACGTGATACCTTTGATGGTGGTTTGCTTTTGGAATTAAATTACCTTACCTTAAATTGTTTTATTTGAGATTACCTTTGGTTGTGTTTTGCATTTTATCCATGTTTACCTGTTCTAAGTTTTAGCTAACCAGCAACCTCTTAATATTATAGGTGAGGGCCATTAAGTATATCCTTGCCAGTCATTGGGTTATATGTTCTATGATGTGCTCTACAGATATGTAAAATCAGGACAGTTTTTCTAGCAAAATATGAAGACCCACATATTCACCTTGATTTACTGTGAATTCATAGAAGCTATAAAACAGGGGGTCTTTAAATGATATGATATGTATGGACACTCTTAAGGTCAGGAGGAAACCTTTTCCAAGAAAAATTTGTGTAATAAACTTGCTGAAGTACCTGTTATTAACATGCATATCCTCAAAACGAACATAAAGACAATGACTGGTATGGTATATTCAACTTTTATCAAAGAATGTATTGCTTTTTATTTAACATATTGTAGCAAGTAAAAGGTGTAGTGCAGCTGTGAGTGTTTTGATATATATATATAGCAGCGTAGGAACTTTTTTTCATTTGGTATGTGCACATTGCATGTATTTGCATGGTTGACAGGAGGGAATTTTTTAGGATTCGGTGTTACAGGTTGATTTTATTTTGCCTTGTGGCATGGACCTTTTATATGTAATGTATTAAACCATGACACCACCCCTAGATTTATGATAGTAATGGTGACATTCAGCAATCAGTAACTGTGGGTTATCAGATACCAAGTTTATAAGAGAATTGCTTGTGAGATTTTTTTCCTTTTATGAGACCATCCATCAAACTAAAAAAAAGACATTACAAGAAGCAGGTGATGTGAAACTAAAAAGAAATTGTTAACCTTACAGATTAACAGCTTATTAGAGCTAAAAGAAAGATCAGGTCTTACTAATGACACAGTGAATGACACAATGAAGTGCATTGACCAAAATAATGACAGTGATAGAGACTTTCCAGTGCTGGCAAGATACAGTGGCTAAATTAATACATATTGGTAAACATAACCAGTTGCCCACTATGGCATATCACATTCCAGTAATGCCAACTCATGTTGTTTGATTAAAATAAGGGAAACGTAAAAATATTTATTATTTCTTTACCTCCACATAATTAAAATTATTGCTTATCTAAATAAAATAACAAGCAAGTTACAGGAGCATATAAATGAGCAAACATTACTAAAAAAAAAAACTATTCTTGATATCCTGCCCCACTGACTGGATACCAGCTCGTGTATTCAGCCAACTGGATTTGACAACAATATATGAAAGCACAGGTTTGCATCAACTGATGACATATCAATCCAGCCATCATATCCTGCTGGCACTTGAAACTCTCTCTCAGAACAAAACTTTTTGTCTGGGTGCTTGGTAAAACTTATCAGGAGGTATTTTAAATGTTACAAAATCACCTGCATCTTTTTTGGGTTTGACTTGGACTGTCTTCTTAGGCTGTATTCCCAGAGCTTTTAGATCGCTCTATCCCCGCGGGAAGTCTCACTAGATTACTGTCAAATAATCCGGCTTAAATGTCCGTCCCCCCTACTACAAGCCGTAAGGGGGTAATTAACTTTCGTGTCCGTCCCGCTGACAGCTATTTAGCGTGAACCCCCAGGGAGTTAGGTCGATCTAAAGTAGATCGATCTAATCTCTGGAAATGGGGTCTTAGTTAGTGGATGTTCTAGTTCCGCATGCCAGATGCTTTAATTGTTGTTTTTCTGTGGTTAGCCTGAAAAGAATTATAAATTTTGAATTAGTAACCATGTGAACCTCCATTTCTTGATTTTAATTTTGAGACAGATTAAAGGAATTTCATATTAAATTTTGGAAATACTTTCTAGAATTTTTTCAATCTTAGCTGCAAGATTTTTGATATTACTAAGTAATGATTGGATTTGAAACAGTGGAACTTTTATCTCTTTGATATCTTGACCACTGGCTATTTTCCTGTCATTGAAGCTGGCCGTATAGGGAGTGGACGGTTTGATCGTGGTGACAGACAGGAAAGGCAGAGAGGAGAAGGTATCTCAAAGAAAGGTACAACACACCAGCATACCTTAAAATTTTGTCCTGGCAGGAAAAGTGCAATAATCCATTCCTACTAATGTGCAGATACTGATGATATTTGAAAAAACTCTGGTCCTGCTCTTGTCATGTTGTCATGGTTTTGAATGGTCCAGGAAACAGCTGTCTCTTGTTTCTCTAATTATATTACTATCAGCTTTCATTAAATATCATCCATGCTACCAGTGGTTAGAGTATTGTATTCTTGTTGAAGTGCTAATGAATGAGGATATTCTACAAATGTTTGTCAATCTTTATACAGTGGAATAATTTTCAAGATATAATTTTGCACTATTACTTTCATTAATCAGATAGAAGAAAAAATACAGATATTATATGTTAAATGGCTTATTTTAGTAGTAGTGTTAGTAAATGCCAATGTATTTATAGTAACTTTTATAATTTTACAGCATTAGGGTTTAAGGTGTATTGTAAAAAGGTTAAGCTCATGTAATATTACTTGTTTTCAAAAGAAGCTAAAAGAATATGAATCAGTCATTACTATATTACAAACATGTATCATGTATGAATGTCACATGTAAAAAGAGAAGTACACAGACTTCTGATGATTCAGAATAGCCAGTTGCTTTTCTTGTGATCAGCATCAAATAGTTAACATGTAGACCTGCACAAAAGCTGGTCTCTTCTATTTTCTTTCAGCCAATCAGCAATAATGTTTTGATGGAATCAATTTTTTTCTGTCAGATCAATTGGATATTTTAAAAAATGTTCCTTTAGTCAGCATAAACCAGATTTAACTCTACTGAAAACTCTTTATGTTGATATATTCCCAGCATTGTTAAATACATGGAACATTTCTTGGTCTTCAGATAATATATATTAAAAGGAACATTTCAACAAGGTGATATATAGTTTAAAACTCTTTCCTACAATTAATTAAATAACAAAGTTTTGTTGCAAAAAAGTTTCATTTTGTTTTAGAGCCTCCCCATGGTGGCAACAGTAACCAGGGAGGATCAAGAGGAGGCAAAGGGCGAGGCTCAAGTCCACGGAATCGCACAACTTCATCAGGAAGTGATGAGCATCGAAAAGTCCAAAAGCAGGAAGATTCTTTACTCATCAAGATTGACAACCAGAAAGCAGGCCGTGGAAGGAAATCTGAGCGTGGAGGGCGTGGTCGTGCAAGAGGGCGAGGACAAGGGCATGAAGGAAGCAGTCGGGGAAGGGGAGGAGAAAGATTAACACAGGAGGATAAATCTAAAGCAGAGGAGAATCTGGGTTCAACTTCTAGATCTGACACCTTGTCACAGTCAGAGTCCTCTGAATCTGGCAGCCAGAAACATTTAGAATCAGAAGATTTAAATGACAGCAATATCTCATCTGGGCTCACGGAAGGTGGCTATGGTGAGCATTCTGACCAGTGGCCAGAGGGAGAAGAGCAGTGGCATGAAGGAGAGCATGGACAGCCAGAGAACCAAAACAGTCCACATCCAAATGAAGATGAAGGGCATTATGGTGATCATCATGATGACGATGAAGAATGGGAGGATTGCCCTGAGGATGAAGATCACCATGATTATGAGGAGGACGAGGAGGAGGAGGCTGAAAATTCAGAAACATCTAAGCTAGACACAAGCCAGGAAGTTGAGTCACTGACAAAAAATCTGAAATTAGACATTGCAGCAGCAGCTGAGCCTACTACCCCGACCAGTCCAGAGGTCACCCTGAAAACTCCTGTCCATGTGGTTGACTGGGCAGCAGAAATGGAAGAACGTTACCCTGACAACAGCCCCCCACAGGCTGGGTGCAGAAGCGATGATGTTGGTGCTGCAGGGGACACAGCAGCAGAGCAAGGCAATACTCAAGATGCAAGCACAAAAGATGAAGGAGAACATGCAAAGGATGATATGGCAGATAACATGATAGAGGACAGAGCTGTTGAAAAAATTGGGGATGGGGATGTCCAAGAAAGTTCTGAGGTGACACCAGATGTTAAGAACACCATGCATGCAGAGACATCAGAGCAGGCAACACTCAGTGAAAGCGTAGTGGCAGATGTTGTAGAAAATAGCGAGAAAACTTGTGAACAAACATTACCCACACAACAGCTGCAGCAGTCAGAACAAGATAGTGATGTTCTTGACACAGAGACAAAGGTTGAAAATGGCAATGCAAACCCAAAACAAGTCTTCACTTCTGACAATACAGAACAGAGCAAGGAAGAAAACAAAGGTTTGCATTGGATATTAACAGTTATTTATTAAGTGACTAGCTATCTATTCTTTCAGATTCAAAATATCATTTATCTGCAGGTAACACAGCTGGATTGCCATCTAACTGTTTAACTTCAATTGAAAAAATTAATTTGTTGCCATTTGTTGATTTTTTTACAAAAAAAAAAAAAAATAATAAAACAAAGAAAAGAAAAGAAACTTCATGCCTTATAAAGATTTGTCAAGATATTTTTGCCAAAAAAACTTTGTCTTATAAAGATGTCAAGTAACTTTACAGACATAACCGTACAACTTGTTTTTGTTTAATCTGGTTATAGATGCCACAGAAGAATGTTCCAGACCTGAAGATATCAGCACAGAGAACAAGGTTTGTAGTGGGGTGGGGGCGGCTTTGATATTAAATACTCATAAATAGTAATTATTACTTAGATACAATGTCTTTTATATTCTCTGACAGCTTATCTACATTTAGCTTGTTGATATAATAGTATCAGTGAGATGATTGAAGGAGTGCAGTTTCACTATACACAAAATAGAAGAAAATTAAAAGTATATGGAATTATTCATGTTTATCTTTACTATGAATGTTTGATAACAAATATTTTAGTTCCCCATTCTATATTTTGAAGCATTACTTTTTTCAGTCCTAGGCCCATGTGTTCTTCATTTCTATTGGCTAGCCGACAGCATAATGCAGAATTGGCCGTGTTGTGCCCCCAACATTCTGGGATAATGGTCACATCATGCCCAATACAGTTCTGTTTCCTGAACAACTGTCATATGACCTGCTGATAAAATTTCAATTTTATGGCTTCTTAATTTTTTTTTTATTAATTATAACATTTTATATTATTTAGTTCGTATTTTAGGAGTATGATGGATTTTTTGAGCTGGAGACAAAAATTTCAATTTATTTATTTATTTGTTAATGTTACATGGTACAAGATTTTTAATATTACCACTTTCTACTGCTTTAATTTATTTTTATTTAGTGCATTTTTTTACTGTTATTAAATTAAATAAACTACTGATTGTCAGAAATCACAGTTAGATGGCTTAATTTGATTCATGCTCAAGGTATTTGTCCAATTTGTATTATTTGATGTGTAAAGAGACAATTTTATTAATAATATGATGAACTGCTAACCAGTGGGGAAAAGGCAAACTTGTACTGCAGCAGTAAACATGTGATGAAAACTAGATGCACCAGTAATTGATTATTCCTATGAAATTCCTTTGACATTTTAAAACAAGTAAGTAGTAAGGAAACTAATATTACTATGATGCTTAAAATATATGAAAAAGAGGGCATTTATAATGAATAATTTCATTTTGATTCTAGTAACTCGTATCCCATTTAATATTTATACATATTGTACATGTGTTCTGATCATGTTTCATTTTAGTAATTCCTCCATGAAGCTGGTTTTATCACATGCTGGAATTTTATAATAATTACTCACTTAAATGTGAAAGGAGTAAAATTGAGATGATTTAAATATTAGAGCAGTATACATCACTTATTTATTAATCTGTGTTATGTTTAAAGCTTGTACATACTGACCTATGAAATCAATTAAAGATTCATAGTTTTTTTTAAAATCATATTTGGTTTCTCAATGGTTTAGATTTGTCATGTTTTCTTTCTGTGTTATATATTGACACTGCCATAATGAAAAAGTTTTAAAATAATACAGAACTTGGTAAATTGATGAAATTTCATAGACTGTTCATATCAGGGTTTAGATGAGCTTCATATACCAAATACTGAAGATTATGTAGTATTATCTTTTGGATTAGAAATAAGAATTGTGAATTCTTTCAAATTTTGGCAAAAATGTGCTTGTTAATGAAATATTTGATTGGGCATATCAAATCATGCTAATACGACCACACAATATTTAATAAATTGGAGCATGCAAAGCAGTGCATTATCAGACTATAGACAGTATTACATGTATCGTTACCTATAAATGAGTTATGTAATAGGGTTTTATTAATGTTGACAAAAAATCTGCTTTAAGAAGAAAGACTACATTTTCTAAAAAGAAAAAGGTCTCAAATGCTATATGCCCTATAGCATGGTCTAATTTGTTTGAATGGCAGATTTGAGCTTATCCACTTTCCTAGCAGTAAGTTATGTTCCAATTTAGAATTTACCTGAAAACATTTACTTCTGTACAGTTATAAGGTATTCTGTATGACAGAGCCATAGAGATTATAGAAATGCCACCTTCAGTAGCTTTACTTATCTGTAGGTATAGATATTCTATATAGTATTGGATTGTTAAGAAATTGGCTTTCATTTGAAGATTGAATGTGTGCCTTTGTAGTTGTCCATGTTTTACATTTTGAGATAAGTAGTTTGGAATTGACCATGAAGGCAGAGAGGAAGTTTAAGTGTGCAGTAAGGTGTAAACATCTAGTCCATTCATGGAAGTAGGTAAAACAACTCTCTTTTTTTTTCTACCAAGAGAGATGCTTAAATTTTTATAAAGGTATAAATTATTCATATTTCATATATACTTTGTAGAATGGAGTTATATTTTGAAAGAGGCAATTGTGCATCATGTTGTACATCAGTGAAGCAAAAAGTGGACAGAATCAAAATATGAACATTCTTGAAATAAAACTTAAAACCTTATGCAAACTGAAACCTTGTTGTGTCCATTGTTCTTCAATAAGAAGATTTAATAACATTGTCAACTATTTCTTGTTTGGATGATTTTGTAAGATATATCAACAGACAGGATATTCAACTATGTTTATTTCAACATTTTACTATGGTATTACAGTAAATACAAAAGAAAAAGACTGATGTGACCTGCTTGACAAAGGGAATGAGCCAAGGCACAAAGTCAGAATCAAACCTCTGTAGCAAATGTATAATTTCCCTGGAAATTTTAAATATTTTCCCATAATCAAGGTATACCATATCCAAAACCATTAACAGCGTTAGGATCTGTTTATGAGTCCTTATTTTGTAGTTTTTGACTCAGTCTTGTAATATAGGCTTGTAAATTTTTTGGCGAGTCCTTCCCTCCCTTCCCATTACACATATAAATTGTTTATTTTACCATAAACAGTTGCTTGTACCATTTTTATTTTGACGGAAGTGAAAGCAATGAAACTGACAACTAAAAAAGCATTCAGAAAGTGCAACTAAGTAATTCATTGATTAATTAGCTCAATATTAAGCATCATAACTGATATTTAAAAAGATCTTGAAACATTTTATTTTAACAGTATTTTAACTGACTTAAGATTTTACTTAGAAGTTCATAAAATTGAGCTTTTACATTCTTATAATGCAGCACAATCCTCATTATGTTTCTTATTCATTAACTAAATTATTAAGTCAGCACTAATTATTATTACTTATATTAAAAGATTTTGAAACATTTATTTTACCTGACTTTACTTTAGAATTCATGATAATGGTACACCACACGCTAGAGGAGCTAGATTTGGTTTGAGAATCTTTGTTGTTTTTCACCGGTTTGGTAGGACTTAAACCAAGCCCCCCCCCCCCCTCCACACACACACTGCAGTCTGTGTAAAAATCCCTAGTGATCCACAATGTTAAAAGCCACAGAGAGATTAAACAAAATTAAAATTACACGTTTGCATAATCATCGGCTGCGTCACTATTCATCTAATCGCACATGTAGTATTATTTTGAGTGCAGCCAACACTAAGTTCCTGTATGCTGCAAATCCTTTATTCCCGTAAAAATGTCGGACAGTTGGTTCCATCGCTGGATTCTTTCCATGTAACTAACGCATGTCCTCTACATTTACGCAGAGGCCACACCCAGGCATCAAAATATTATCACTACTAAACGGGGCATACTGTTACGGTTACGTTGGTGCTGAAAGTGAAAAAATTTAAATCTTTGTTTTTATTTATCAGTCAGAAAAATAGGGGAAAAAACAAAAGAAAAGGGATTTGGGAAAAGATATTCCATATTAAATGTCAAGTCTGTGGTTATCACGCCCTGCCACTTCACCTAAAAATCTAATTTACTTCTTAATTTTCTGTGAAGTGCTAATTTACATGGTGGCAAATAAAAAGAAGCAAGAGACATGCCATTGTATTAATGCTTGATCGCCTTATCTTATTCACTACTATAACGTTTTTGAACCCTGACGCCGCAGTGTCGAATGCAATAACTAATCATTTCAAAATGTCGAAAAATGAAACAATACCTTAAACTGGTGAAGGGCAAAATGGCAGTGGATTATATTAGATGGTTTTCGAGAAATTCAAGACGTCTTTGTTTATCTACCTTAGGTGTACCATAAAAACACTACCCCTTATACCTCACACCCAACGTACACAGGTCATTAAAAAGGTTCACGTGAAAATTCAGTTGTTTTCAGTCTCTCGATGTTGCCTCCAGTGCTGCTGTTAAACAGGTCTTTTTAAGTATTATTTCCACAATCTTACAACTCATTCTTTACTCTAAACTAAAATGAGCTGTAAAGTATTCAGAATTTGATTTTCGTGAACCTTTGTTCGATAGTCTTGGTGGTTAGCCTTTACATCTGTCTTTATAAACAGCATTGAGTTCTGAAGCCAACCCAATCTCTGGCACTGTTCTAGTAACGCTGAAATGGCTTCGTGGTACAATGACTACGGCTTCGTTTTTGGGCATCCCCAAATGTGAACTTCGGTATAAGGCATCTCTTGAAAAAATATTCAACATGTTAAAGGAAATTACATTTATTATTTCTGACTTTTTCAAATTAGATTTCACTACGTATAACATCGTCAATTTGATATTAAATCTAAACGAGATAGAGTGAAAAGCATAGGCTACAATGCGCGACAAATTGCTCTGAAATTACCATCTATAAAACCGTCTTCGAGACCCAATGTCTAGCTTTTACCGTTATAATGAGGGAAAGTCAGAATGAAGAGCGAGAGGCTCAAACATTGAAATCGGTTTGCAGATTGTAAATTTGTAAACGGTTTTAGATATTATCTTACTTTGGTAATTAAGGTCATTAAGAGATAAGAGTTTAAATTTATCCTAAACTAATTTTTTGCTATATAAAGGTATAAAGCAATTTAATATTCTAATCTATTTACATTCCGAGTCCCATCTTAATTGTCGTAGGTTTTGAACAATAGTGTACTTACTTAGTCCAATCATAAATTGAACCAAATTCTTGTAATTCTGCCCTGCGTCACAGTATGTTCCGGTAACGTTGGAGATGGAAAAAGCTCTCACAGACACCATTTGTAGATTAGTACTCTTTTCTACAGCGAAATTCAGCGTGTTTTGGTAGCGGTTTAAAATAGATGAATAGTATCCCTAGATTTACGGAAAAATGATGAAATTTCGATTTACTTGTCAAATAAGTATTCAGTTGTTTGATCATGAGTTAAATGCGATCATTTGCACAGGTTGTAAAAAGAGCCAATAATATGTGACAGCAAAAGTAAACAAGTTTTTTAATATTACAAAATTCAGAAGAAGATTAATTATATGACCTATATACCCGCTTGACTGTGTAACTAAATGGTATCTGCTTTATTGTAGTATTACGGGTAAAAACCAGTCTTACCTGAATGATGAAATCGGCCGACACGTTTTGCGAGCGAAGATCAGTTGAATCCGTATAAAAGTACCAGCCATCAGTGCCACCTACAAGATTTATTCTCTGTCTTTGACTTTCACCAGAAACTCAACGCAATCTTTTGGTGAGCAATATGAATTTATGGAAAAACCATTTTTGGCATAAATGGACATGATAGGAAAGCAAACTCACCTTTCATCAGAAAGTTAGAAAACTCCTGATAGATGGGCTCACTGCTTCCTCCTAAAACATATTGATATATAGGAAAATATAAATGAAAAAGTCTTTAAGATGTTCAAAAACAGAAAGCCCCTGTTTGCATGTCGAATTCATCAGAATTGAGCGATTTGAAAAAAAAAAAAATGGCGAATCGGAAAAATAATTCACTTGTTATTGAACTTATTGGGAATATAAGGAAGTTAATTATAAGTGGACTTAGAATGGCCATGTCAAGATGAAGTAAAGAGAGTGGTTTATCTTACTTTGTTCATTTTTGTTTATAAATACCGAGAGCCGAGAGCCCAGTCAACAGCGACATCCAACTTCTATTTTGTCGTTATTTACCCCCTCCTTCTCACACCAGTAACATTTTTATCTAACCCCCTCCCCTCTTCCTTTCCAAACTTCACACGTGTCTGTATATAAGTATTCCGCCAGAACGAGAACGAAATCAATAATTAATATCTTGCGTTTAATTAGTTTTTTTTATGTAACTGGGAAATGTAATGCTAAATAATTATAATACTCGCTTAATTTAATGCAATAAATACCTCTGTTACTTTCATGCATGCATGGTTGTGAGAATTAATACTCTTATCAAGATATATGATAAGAGGCGAAAATCAACGATATTGCTCGGGTTCGTAATCGGCCCTTACGTCACAGAGAGCATATAACATTTTTGACACAGGAAATTTATTTTGTCACAAAATATTTTTCGACTGAGAATAACCGCACTTTCATGTTGGAGACCAACACAAAAACTCTCTGTCTCTGCACTATCAACGTTTGTTCATTGTACACTTATCCCAAAATTATTTTCTTTTAGTCTAATCATTAATTGTCCTAGAATATCTCTCATAAACTTTAAAAATCTCTCTTTTAATGTTTGTATTTGACTTTAAAATATGAAATAATAATAATGAAATCAATGATATAAACGAAAAGCATTAAACATAAAAATTAAACATTAGAACCTACCTACTATGAACTGCAAAGCGCAGCATGCATTTCCTGAAAATTCAAATGAAAAGATTTTCAACAGAATCGGATTAAAAAAAAAAAACAAAACAAAAACATATAAGAAATGGAGCATTCTAGATACTCAACTGCCGTCACCGTGTAGTAGAGCACTATTGTGAGAAAAAGGAATAGTGACAAAGTAATTGTAAAAAAATGTGACAAAGTAATTTAAGGCTTTTGTGTGGTTACTTGAAGAAAGAATAGCTGCACGTAGTTATAAATAATAATCAACTCTGAAACATGATCTGGCAGTTGATATTTGTGACGATCTGCGGGCCCGAGTGAGTGTTGGTGTCAACTGCAGGCTACCAGAAAGATGATTGACCCACCACAAGTTCCGCAATCCTTACGTAAATCTATATCTGAGAGTTGGCACCTTGCGTAAGCAGGCAGAGTGATCACAATAAGAAAAACCACAATGCATCTGGTCGTTAATATCGCCATTATGGTAGTCATATCCTCCTCCATATAGGGGAGACCGGGCTTAAAGTTGCACGCTACGCACTCTCGATTATAAGGACAAACCTGGAGATATATGTTGGATCGACAATGCCAGCCCGTGATTAGATCTGTGATAGATATAAATTGTTTATTTATTAATGCAAGTCACTGAAATTGTCCCTCTCAAAGTTAATAAACTGATTGATTGATAAATAGAAAAATAATATAAATTTTAAGGCTTTATCCCCTTTTCCATCTTTTACAACCCCAACCCCAATATAAAACAAACAAACAAACAGACCCTAAATAAATAAATAAATAAATAAATAAATAATACAAGACAGAACCAAGCAATTTTTTCATCCCTTACAGCCCTGGAGAGTTATGCTTATTTTAATGCCCCCCCTCCTTTTAGTAGGCCTATAGGCCTACTTATTAAATCGCCTGTGCCTCAGATAATCAGATTTTACCATGGGAGGGGCGTCCGCTCCCAAAACGAGAAAAAAGCACGAGTACGTTAATCTGTCTTAGCTCCATATATCTTGATATAGGTGGATAAAAATGTCTGGTTTAAAAAAGAAAACATATACCATATTTAAATTCTTCGAAAGGGAACTGTGTAGGCTACCAATAGTTTATTAACATTGGGTTGCGGGGGGGGGGGGGGGGGAGAAGGTCGCGTTTCAGCGGCGTTTACATTAATACATGTACGTGTTTCAAACACGATGGGAAAATACCAGTCCCTACCCCTACGCCCCCTTGGTATCCTGGATTTGAGAAAGGAGAGATGGCGTCGGTACAAGCAAAAACATTGCCACGTGGAAACATTGACTCAGCAACTGCCTTTAGCCGTGACAGTTCTATTCTTAGAAATGTAAATGACGTCACATCATCAATGCGCATGCATTTTCGATGTAAACATGAGGATTCAATATGGCGGATGATGTGGAAAAGGAATTCCTTGGAACCTGGAGGGTAACTAGTTTTATGTTTTTTGTGTTTGCTGAATGAATAAAAATTTGATTAATTTTGAAATGAATGGACTTTTTCTTCTTTTTTTGCAGATTGTGGAATGTGTATCCCTGACTGGAACTATAGAGCAGACGGGAATCGAGGGGTGGGTATCTTGATGTCCATTGTTTCATGATCAGCCGGCCCTGATCAGCTGATTCAGGACGACGTGGTCTGAGTTGTTAAAACGTGATTGAAGATCATAATATATTGTTAGCCTGTTAATGAAATCCACACGGACGCTAAACGTAAATGAATTGATGTTGCCTTGACATTCAGTTTTTATTATGTTGACGTGGGTTGTATTAAGAGTAGAGAAGAAATGTGGGAAAAATTCCACGGTTATAGGCTATGTATTATCTTATATATACGGTTATGTATTATGTTATAGATATTCAGTTATATATTGGAGGCGAGAAAGGCAGTTATATAGACAGACAGAGCTTGGCCTCAAAGATGGTATGATCAGCGCCATAATGTGCAAGGTGTATAGGAGGGCAAAGTGATTTCCATTTCGTTAGAAAAAGAAAAAAGAAAAAAAAAAGCAGTTGTATTTTCCTTTTCATTTAATGAAAAGGTGAAAATACAATGAAAAATCAACCACAAATTTCATTTTTTCTTTAAAAGAAAAATTGAAAAAAATAATTCTTTGTTTTTCTATTATTGCTGTGATATACAAAAAAAAAAAAGCAAACAAAAATGACATATTTCCAGATGTGATAGCAAAAAAAAAAAAAAAAATTAAAAAAGTGAAAAAAAAAAAAAAAAAAAAAAAAAAAAAAAAATAAATAAATAAAATAAAATAAAATAAAATAAAATAAAAATAAATAAATAAATAAATAATAAATAAATAAATAAACAAATTTTCCAATATCAAGAGGGTGGAGTATATTAGTATAAGAAGGGGAGTAAACAAAAGCAGATAATGTTTTTCTTTTACTTACTGAACAAAATAAAGCTTATGGAGACCCATAGCAGCTGCCTGAAAGAAACGACACAGCAAAATTATACATGAGAGAATTAACATACTATTGTGTGTGTGTGTGTGTGTGTGTGTGTGTGTGTGTGTGTGTGAATGCTGAAACAACCAATTCAACTAGCATTATGCATAAATGGTGGCACAAACAATTGCCTTTGATTTTAAGTGACACCACAATGTTTCCATAAAACTCTGACATTATACTTAAGAATGTAGGCCTAATGGCAGCCTACATAATTGCAATACTAAAACAAGCGTTAAGTGCAACATATATGCTTTATTACCTATTACATAACCACAAACTGATAATCAAATTACCTAGATCCACATCTACCATTTCCTCTTCCTAGACATTTTAATGCAACACTAACTATCTTTTATTAGAATCCACACATTTGTATTTTGGTTTGACTCTGGTTTTTCATGCCATATGAGCATTGTGACGGACAATTGCATATAATTGTTGTATTTTAAAAAAATAGTTGTACATAAAAGAACAAAAATATGTTGCAAGAATTGTCTCCCTCGTTCAAGATTTTTCAGTTTTTACAAACCAGCATGGGATCAAGTAGTAAAAGTGTTCATCAGCCTAAAAAGATATGAAATAGAATAGAGTAAAAAAATTAATAAAATGAAATAAACTGGGACTTCGAGACATAGATTTAATAAAGAGCTGTATTAAGAAACCATATTGAAGAAGTAAAATTTGCATGTTATATCATCAAGTAAGGTCTTGAACCAATTTCGAAATCGACTTTTCATTTCATTCTGGCCATTTGTATCAAATTCTGACAAGATGGAAATTGCTTTGCCTCACCCCCCCAATATAGACATCATGATTTCATAGGGGAAAAACCTACCGTACAGTGTATTTTAATAAAATTTGGACTTCAGATTTCTTTCAGACACTTATCAGTGGTTCATTTTGAAAGCATGGCTGAAGATGTTTTGACTGTTTTGGCACTTTTATGTATATCAGAATAGGGCAACATATCTACAATTGTTATGGAGTTTCACAGTAATTTTTCTTTTATTTGTGTAGAAAACCAGCACCTGAGGTTACACAACAAAATGACATCAACTGCTTAAGTTGTGCAAAAAAATTCACTCACGATGATATTTGAAACAGGTGGTATAATAGTAGGGCAGAGTCAAATTGTAATTCTTTTTCATATTTTTTGTACCACTTGCTTTTACATAAAATGAAAATTACTCTAGGATAGCAATGTAATGCCAGTTTTTGCTGATGAAACAATAGCTTGGATTGGATAATTTTTGATTGAGCTAGACACTTTTACATCTTTGAAATCAGAAACGTGCTTATTTTACAGTGTTTAAAGAGAGAGAAGTCTAATGGAGCATGTATGAATTATCATGAAATATTAAACCAGATAATTAAAAAATGTACTGAACTGTACAGTTACACCTTATTTTGATGTAAGGCAATGTTGAACATGAGATTATGCATGCCAGCAGATGCTAGCAAGATATATCGTGTTAGTTTACTTTTAGGAGAGGAAGTATACCAGTGGAAAAATGTAATGGAACATCTGTGCTGTTTTATTGCAGCCATCAGATTCTGCATTTAACTTCTGTGTAATGGGTATCATTCAATATAGTCTATCTTCCAGCTTAGCATAAAATCAGATAAGATTTCTTTGGATTTGAGGGAGAGGGGGGTCAGAAATAATGACATATGTAAAAGTGTGGTGCACAAACAAAAATAAGCTTACAGAATTTATCCATGGGTATTTTTTCGGCCTGTTTTTTCTTAAGTTCTGTAGAATAACAATCTTTTGCACAATAGTATGTACTCATGATGTTTAGTGTGTTACTTTTGTATTAGATTATAAAACGGCATTGCTGGAGCGTATATGTAGAGTTTCACACTTATTGACAAAGGGTCAACCACACTTCATGCAGGTTCTCACACAATTTCTAGTCTTGTAAGACATCATGCAGTGCCGACGGTCTCATTTTATGCCATCTTGGATGATCCCATATAACTGCAGCTTGCATCATTTGTAACAGGAAGGACAAGTAGAATGAAATTTTAGATAAAATGTATTTGTCAGTCAAACTTCAGTGATAAAGGAATTCATGTACGTGCCTATATTCATGTGTATGTGTGTGTGTGTGTCATTGGTAATTATCTTTTTTCCTTTTTTTACAGATGTGTAAATCTGTTTCAGTCTAGCATTCATAATATAAAACATGGTTTATCATTTACGTCTTATATTTTAGTACTGAGTTTACATTGGATGAGAGTGGAGAAGTGACTTGGAAGGTTAGTGAAGATGCAGAACCCATGCCGTTCTTCTCCTGTGAGACCTATGAGGTATGAAAGCAAATTTAATTTTCTTGAAACATTGTCAACTGACTCCACATGCATGTAGTGGGAGAAATCTTAGAAAGTAGCTTGATAAAATTGTTCATTCAACTGTGTAAAAGTTATGAAACTTGGGTGTAAACAGGGGCAATTTAAATCTGTAGTTTAGGCAGCGGAAGGCCAGAGCAAGTGGACTGTTTCCTTTAGAAAGCTTGAGGTTCTAGAGACAGGTTCAGCACTGCTCCACCTTGTACTGGAGACAGACAATCTGATGTTACTCCCCACATGTTCACACATAGAAATCTCATCATGACTTTTATATCTTATTTGGTAAAAAGTGTAGATGTTCTAATTTACTATGGTATACTGAATGATATCACATACTCATCACATGTTTTCTATCTCAGTGGCTATTTTACAAATAAGTGATGCACCTGTCAAGCATACAAAAAAATTAGATTGGGAATTTATGTATTTGATATGTTATTCCTTTTGATTTTATTTTGATCAGTATTTTGATATCACCACATACACTTCACTGGTGGTCACCTTCTGGAGCTAAAGAGCATCCAGTTTATATGTCAGAAAGTCTCTTTGGTCCCTCATTGCATAGATTCCGTAACTTCTACCAAAAAGCTCTCTACATCTGTTATGAACGAATGCTGTTGGTATTGTGTCAGACATGAAGGTGTTCTAGTGCACTTGGCATCTTAATAGCCTTTCTCTTCTTGCCTGCTCTTTATCAAAATAACATGTCTCGTAGTGATCTCTGCATTTAACTTTGTGATGTCCTAATATAGATTTATCAGTATGATGACCGGTTCCTTTGTTATGCAGCCAGTGTTATGCTAAATCTCTCTGCTCAGGAAGTTTTCTAGGTTTGGGAATAGAGAAGAAACTCTTGTTTTTGGTGACACTACATTTATTTGTTCAGCTGTATGCTTGACAGGTAAACATGGCTACTTGAACTTAATATTCCAAGTGACTAGTATGCATAGTTATTTTCTTGCATGACCAAACCCTTGTTGCAAAATTAACAAAGAGTCTTGGTGAGATGAGATGACAATTACCAGTTTTAGATTATGGCTCATGAGTTTGACTGGTTCTCTTAGGCTGTATTCCCATAGCTTTTAGATTGATCTATCCCTGCGGGGAGTCTCACTAGATTACTGTCAGATAATCCGGCTTAAATGTCCGTCCCGCCTACTACAAGCTGTAAGGGGGTAATTAACTTTCGTGCCCGCTCGGCTGACAGCTATTTAGCGTGAACCCCCAGGGAGTTAGGTCGATCTAAAGTAGATCGATCTTATCTCTGGAAATGGGGTCTAAGTTAAAAAAATAAATGAATAAATAAAAATCTGTAATCATTAGCCTACATTTGGAATATTTTGGATCGTAATGTAGCACCTAAACAATCATTTAAGGCATTTGATCAGATTGGCTTCTGACATAGGAAATTAAGACTTTTAAGAGACAATGCCATTATTTAATAAAGTTTTCTTCATGACAAATACTTCCTGTGGTAGGAAAATTAATTGACTTGTCAGCAACAATTTTCACTGAAAGCAGGACACCAGGAAGTTTTTATTAATGTTCTGTAAAAAAAAAAAAAAATGAAGGAAATGCTTTTCTGCACTTGTAATGGATATAATAAGTAATTAATGAGCCTATTATTTTAGGGTAATGCTAACTAGCACTACAATCAGTATCATTTATTCATCTGGACATCCCTTGTGATTTTGCTTTGGAGATCATGAAAGAAATTAGATCATAATAGCAAAGATACATTTCATTCACTAGTTCAGTGCTGTCTTGCTTTGATCTTGTAAGGAATTTAGAGAAAGGAAGATATTTATTTTTATTTTTGGGGAAAAGTTTTTTGGTGTGCAGGGAGTGAGATGTACTGGTACCTTTTTGCCTGATGTTTGTTAGCATTGAAGAATGGATTTGTTTTTGGCTTGATATGCTCAATAAACAACCACTTTTTAAAATTTATATGAATATAGAAGTTTTGGATTTTTTTTGAGTGTAGATTGTATTCTAAAACTCATGATTGACTAAATATTACAATCTCAATTCATGGCAAATCAATCTTTTGTTGTCATTTGTTGCTTTCATGCACATTTCTATTAAGGTGAAAAGGCAATAGGTTCATTTGGTCATGTCTGGTCCAGTATAGTGGCCCAATAGAGTCAATTAATGATTTCATCTGTAAATGGGCAATAGCTACTGACAAATATAATATGTGTATTTGATGTCAATATTTGACTGCAATACTTTTGCATTTCTCTTAATGCATCTAGTTAAGGCAATTTGAAAAAACTTTTATTGTTCCACAACTAGTTAAGTAAGGTGGTATATAATACACTGAACATTACTGACATACCACTATTTTTACAGTAACATACAGTAATATATATATATATATATATATATATATATATATATATATATATATATATATAT